ATGAAGAACTCAAAGCTATGGAAGAAAACGAAACCTGGGTTTTAGTTCCCCGTCCCTCTGGGGTTAACCCTATCAAAAGTAGGTGGGTCCTGGTAGTGAAAGAAGATGGAAGTGGCAACCTAGTTAGGAGAAAAGCTAGACTAGTGATAAAAGGGTGTTCTCAAAGAAAAGGCATTGACTATGATGAAAACAATATCTATGCTCCAGTCGCCCGTCTCACTACTGTGCGTGCCTTGCTCTGTCTGATTAATGTAAATAATTTGGTCTCATGTCAGCTGGACGTTAAAAATGCCTTTTTAAATGGAGTCTTGAAAGAAGAAATCTATATGTGGCCACCAGAAGGATTGAAATTAGATGATTTTGAAAAGGTATGTAAACTAAAGAAAACTTTATATGGCCTTAAACAAGCTCCAAGAGAATGGAATCTGAGATTCGATTCATATGTCAAATCTTTGGGTTTCAAACAATGTTCAGCTGATAAGTGTGTATATATCTTACTGAGAGACAATATAGTTGTATACTTACTCATGTATGTAGATGATCTAATCTTAGCAAGTAATTGTAAGGCCCTAATGGATAAGTTAAAAGGAAGTCTTATGGCAGAATTTAAAATGAGAGAATTAGGAGACATAAATTACTTTCTAGGTATTAAAGTGACCAGAGTGAATGGAGGCATATTTCTCAGTCAAGAGAACTATATTAAGAAATTAGCAGATAAATTTGTATCAGAAGGAATGAATCCCAATGGTGTTAAAACTCCTTTAGAAATTAAACCTGACAGAGATTTAACCAGAACTCCAAGTGTTATCGGAGACAAACCGTATAGAGAACTAATAGGATGCTTGATGTATGCCTGTATGGCAACCAGACCAGATGTGTGTGCAGCTGTTAATTTTTTCAGTCAATTTCAGACAAATGCGACACAAACTCAATGGAAAGGTCTCAAAAGAGTCTTAAGATATTTAAAGGGGACAGTCACATTTGGTTTGTGGTACAGAGGTAGTTCAAATACGCCATTAAGAGTATTTGCAGATGCTGATTTTGCCAACGAACCTGATCGTAGGTCTGTCTCTGGATATGTGATCAAAGTTTTCGGTGACTCAGTAGCCTGGGGAACTCGAAAGCAACAATCGGTTGCATTATCCTCCACAGAGGCAGAGTATGTTGCCTTAGCTGTTGGTGCGTCTGAAATGTTGTGGTTGAAGCAGTTGTTATCCGAATTATGTGTGCCAGACCTACATCAGCCGATTCCGATGCATGAAGATAATCAGGCATGCATTCATAATTTAAAAAGTTGGGACTCCAAAAGAATGAAGCATATTGATGTCAAATATAATTTCATCAAAGATTTGAATAACAAAAATGTTATTTCAGTGACCTATATGCCAACAGAAGAACAAACTGCTGATATTATGACCAAAGGACTGTCTGTTGAACTGTTTTACAAACACAGGGAGGATCTAGGCTTATGCTATAATCCAAATTAACTTAAATATAATTATCCGAGTATAACGAGTATGTAAAATTGAGAGGGGGTGTTGTAGTGTGACAATTTCCCATACTTGTAGACTGGAGTTTGATCATACTATCTCCACCCTGCTGGAGCCTCCATGTTGTTTTATTCTGTCTGTTCCTTTTCCGGTGCCCACTGTGTCTATCAGACTTCTCCTGTACTGACGTGAAAAAAAAGTGCTGAACTGAATCCCCAACATCGTGTGCTCCTTGAAGAAGAACCCTAACCTAAAGTATAAATAACTACAGTTTCCCCTGTGCTCAGGGCGGACTGGTGCAAGGACTGCTGGTCTGCGGCGCGGGACGCGTGCGCGGCACCCACCGGCTGACGGACCGAGCGGCCACGGGAGGGAAGTCCAGGCCGCGTTGACGACGGCCAACCGCGAAGCGGCGCGGCTGCAGCGACTGCTGGCTCCGCTGACCGGGGCGCGCGTTGTGCAGGCCCCCGTGCTCCAGGTAAGGGTCTTCCAGCCGCCAGCCAGAGGCACGGGAGGAATGTCCTCTGCACGCTCAATTCTCAACTAAGAAACGCTGTGCCGGCATAATACTAAGCTCGCTCTGCCAATTCGTTTCAAAATAACGCATTGATAACTTGAGCGTGCATTTGGGCACTCACGTGGGGCAACCCTACGTTTCTCTATCCAATCTTCACTGAAAATATGAATCTGTGGAGTTTGCGAGGGCGCCTCCGGCCAAAATATTGCCGAAGGCACCTTCATAAATTCACGAAGGGCTTTGATAATTTACGAAAATTCTTGGTGATATTCGTACATTCTCAAACATTCAACCTAAAGTTTCGGAGGACACGTGATAATTGTTTTTTTTTTTTTCCTTCGAAATTTTTTTAATGGGACCCATGGCAACATTTTTGAGAGGTGCCTTCGTTCCCGATCTATCCCACAGTTTTGGGATTCTATCTCAGGTGAGCGTGGGGGGCCCCGCGACGGCGACGACGGCTGGTACATCGAAGGGGGCGACATGCGCATCACGAGGGCCGTGTCCGCCGACCTCACCGTCAAGGAGAAGAAGGCGGTGTCCGCGGCTCTCGAGGACGTCAAGATCGACTACAGGACGAAGGGGCCCGACGCCGTCCTGGCCCACGGCGACCCGGACGTCGGCGCCCTCGGCGGCGTCTTGAACAAGCTGCCGGACTGCGTGGCGGGCCAGACAGTGGCCAGGGGTGCCGTGCTGCTCAGCGAGGCGGGGCGCCTCGAGGTGTACTTCCAGGACATGCCGTCCAGGGAGCGCTCCAAGCTTTTTGGACGAGTCCGGGGCCGCGAGCTGGGGGCCCTGGAGGGCCACGGCTGCCACGGAGACTGCGATCTCTTCACCGTGGACTGCTTTTGCTGGGAGGGCGGCGCTGGCTCCACCACCCTCAGCGACGTGCAGTTCGTCGAGTAACGATGTCAGTGTTGCCTGGCATGTCAACCTCCCAAGTTGTTGGCCTTTTTCACTCTGTTTGTTGAACTGTAACGTACCCATTCCGTAACCGTACGGAAAGCGGTACGGATCGGTCCGTACCCATTTACTGTGGCAAAAAGGTACAGAAAATTCTGTTAATTTTTTTGCCAGGATTCTCCGTAGGCTCTTACAGTATTCTCCGTAGGACCGCACAGTCTTCTCCGTAGTGCCTGGAAGACCGTATAGTCCTACGGAGAACACTGTAAGGTCCTACGGAGAATACTGTGCGGTCCTACGGAAAATACTGCAAGAGCCCTACACTGTGCGAAAAAACCACAGTGAATCCCGTTAATTTTTTTGCCGGGATTTACTGTAGTTCAGAACACAGGATTTACCGTGCCTGGCTACAGTATCTACTGTACCTGGTACAGGATATTCCGTACTCCACCCCTGTGGTACAGTAAGTCCCGTATAAAGTACAGTAGATCCTGTTAAGAAAGTACAGTAAATCCTGTACTCTGAACTACAGTGACAGCTGTCCTAATCACTACAGGATTTACTGTGATTTTTTCCCACATTTACGGAGAATTTTGACAAGGGGGCTACGGAAAATTACCACAAGCTGTTTACAGAATTTTCAGTAGCCTTTTGCCACCGTGCTCCTTACTGTGACTATATGGGAGCTTAGGTTGTGCTGGAAATTCTGCTTCTGACGGGGGACAGCTCGACATCCCCCGGGTGTCCGAAGTTACCCCAGTTGACGGCAGACGGCACCGTTAGTCTTAATCTGTTCCAAGCCCTGTGTTTTCATTCTCATCGCAGCACATAACTTGCGTAATTACATGTGTCGCGTGTAGATTGTTTTTTCGATCTAGGTTAGGGATTTTAATTTTCTTTTCTGTCCCCGATTACGTTAACAGAATGAGAATGTAATCTTTTAGTATTTGGCTTTTTTTTTATTTAGCATAACTACATTTGGCTGCGCGTGCGTAGCACTAGCTTGTGTAATTACGTAGCGTGTAGATTATCTTTTGTTTTTACTTTTTTGTTCTCAGTGTAACACTCTAGGGAGTTAATTTTTTTTTCTGTCCCAGACGAGTGAACAGAATGAGTAAAAGCCTTTTATTGTTAATGTTTTTTGCATAACTATATGTTGCAGTATTTAAAAAAAGTTTTTTTGGCAGTGTTAGTGGTTTTACTGATGATCTCTGCTCTCATCTGGGCACAATCCCAACCAGTGTCTTCACCCGGCGGGGGTACCGACTAGCCGAAAACAGTAGGCTGAAGGTCTCAGGGGGATTCCACGTCAATCCATCACGGGCCCCAAAAAGCACTTGTTCAGATCCGGCTCCCAAATTTTCCTATCGTAGCCTACCACCCCAAAGGGAAAACTCAAATAATTCTTTTTGCAAAAAAAAAAATTTAGGACTTTTAAACCGACTTAAGCCATGGGCTTTTTTTTAAATTTCAAAAAAAAAAAAATTTAAAACTTCTACCTCAGTTTTTAAAAAAATTTTGTCCTTAGGGGGCTCAAAAGGGTTGAAATCAGTAAATGGCAAATGAGACAGTGAGAAACGAGTTTGGGCCCCCCAGCCTTTGCCATAAAGAACGTTTTGGACCAAAAAGAACCGTTTTATGACTTCCCAAAATACGCCATCTTACTTTTTGACCAAATTTGGGATCAAAAAAACCCCAAGGAGGTACCCTAACTGCCAGCAAAATATTGACGATGGCAATCCATTAACACCAGAAATATTGTCAAAAAACTTTAAAAGTTATCTTAGTGTTTACCAAAAAATTGACTTAAGGACACCTATATGGGTCCCGTGCATTAAAATGTTATCCTGGTGTCTGTCCTAACACTCTGGAACCATTTCGAGGTAAACGTCTGCATTAAAAAAGTTTAGGTCAACGTTTTCTTACTGTGTTATGCCTAAATGTTCGGTGGTGTCGTGCAGGAGGTTGGCGTCGTCCACGGTAACGGGGCCCCGTTAACTGATATTTTTCCAACAGTATTGAAACCTTTCTGACTCTATTTCAACAAAGGAACTCAAAGTAATGATGAAAATTAATTTTAACAAAAAATGTTGAAAAAATGCATGTGCGCAATTTACTAAAAATAAACGTTAACAACCCTGCCGTTCCTTCTGGACTTGGAAGAACGCGCGCGTGCTAGATGCTCCGTGCAGTCTCCTCCCAGGCGCGGGCCACCACCTGGCTTGCATTCTTCATGTCGATGGTCTTGAAGGATTTCTGGGTATCCCTGGCGATCAACATTTGAGGTCCGTGAGGCCGTTCACCTCGATGACCCCTTGATCAGGTAAATAGGCTAAACAAGAGAACAGAAAGAAACAAGAAGGAAAGACATCAAAGAATTGATATCACATGGGAGGGACTCGTTCTTTACAAAGCTAGATGGATGTGTCAGTCGCTGATCGTTACATGAATTGTCCTCAGACGATTGTAATTTTGCATTTCAACGAACGCTTCCGGTTGGTTCTCCTCTCAGGCAGGGAACATCGATGCATCGCGATATCTCGAGATATCGATTCTCGTGCATAATCGAATTTACACTAGAGTCCGTGAGTCCGTGCCAAAAACCTGCTTTTTCCATGACCAAAACCCTCAGAAGGACACATTTCTTAAAAAAAAAGTCAAATGAAACTTATTATTTTGTCTCTCATCTCCAACATAAGACATGCAACACCTGCCAAGAAAATTTTTATTAGGAAGAAACCGCTAGCAGTTCTGAGACATATATCACGATTAGCGAGAAACGATGTTTCTTTATGACCAAATTTCTCAAAATTATCCATTATCACTTGGAAAATACCCTCCTAGTTTTTTGTTGGCCAAAGATCTCTGGTCGTTGTCGTTGTTGTTTGCGTTCCAGTGGCGTTCTATATCAAAAGATGCAAACACTTGAAAAGAGGTTTGTTTCACATAATGCACTAAAAACGTCTCTCTTTCATGTTCATTTTTTCAATTTCTCATTGCAAGCAAAAAAAAAGTTCATTTACGATCTAGCGACTGACACTCCATCTTTTATTTGATACCACTCTCATTTTCCCCCATGCTGTCAGATCTGAGATAAAGATGTCCCCCCCCAAAAATCATTTTTGAACACAATACTCGTTCTCTTCACATAGAGTTTTGTATGTTAGTGAGTGGTGTGTAAAGAACGAGTAAAAATATTGATATGATCATCAAAATCTAAAACCTAATGAACTTACAATGAACAAAAACCAATGAGAACACTACGTTGTTAAAAAAGCCGAACATTTCAAGGAAAACGGTACGGCTAGACCGTACCTCGCGGTGTACAGAACAACTAAACCCAAAAACCGTGCTTCCCATAAGAGCCCATGTCATGAAAAACCGTACTCCGTACCCCAAAAGCCGTACCGGCTGAGGTACGGTGGTACCAGACAAATTGTCTCCCAGACTGTGCCTGTACCTTTTCCCGTGGATTTTATCTGCAGTGTATAAACCGAACTGTCAACTTGCTACTATACAAATGCATACTTGGGCGAGTATACACCTGCCAGCACCTGCGAAGCATAGAGATATGCGGCGCCAAGCGTGCAGTTAAGCATGTGCTTAGTAGACAGATATGTTTGCAGCTAATTAACGATGTACATACAAACCTGAACTGTCTGGCGGCGCTGCCGCACGGCAGCGCATTGATGAGAAGGCGGCCCGTCCCGGTGAAGTCCTCGTTCGTGAAGGGGAGGAAGCGTTGTCCAGAAGAAGGTGGAGGCCGCTGCTCACTCGCCGCTCCTGGAACTGGCTCTCGGACACGGCGGTGCGCGCATTCGACCCACAGGTCACCTTGATGACCCCTCCTTGCTCCACAGCTGTACAAAAAAAAGGAAAAAGATAAGAGAACTGATTTACAATAACAGGGATTGTCGAGGGGTTACCCTACTCCGGGAATCGTGTGTAGACCCAGACTCGTAATCATTCAAAATAATTTCAAAATTATGTCGAAAAAAAAAAGCTTGCCAAAATTTTCCAAGCTTAGAGTGCACTGGCTTTGCAGTGTGTGCGTGAAACATTCCAGTTTTTTACCTGTATGCGATGGTAGGATGCATTGTCCATGATGAGGAGCGACGGGCTCGGTCAGGTTCGGCACAATGTCCTCTTGAGCTAATTTATTTAATACGTGCAACGCCTTCCCATGACCCCCTCCGATTTTGACCAAAAATTTTTTCTGAGATGCCCTTATGGTAAGAAAAAACATCCTAAAATATTAGGTCGCTAAAAAATTTATTGGCCGAGAAAACCAATGTTTTCTAAATTTGCCACTTTTTTTACTTAATTTGGGAGTTTCTTTACTACTCTGATGTTTTTGGTGCTAAGTGGCTGAAAATCAGAATTCTTATGTAAAATTGCCCAAGGAACAAGAATATGGTCACAGATTTGACCTACGACCGATATCTTGAGAAATACTTACCCAAAACGACCAAATTTTACTGAAAATACCCAAATTTTGGGGAAACGGTCAAAAATATTTTTCATCCACGATCCGTTGACGCTATCTTGTAGAAAAAGAGCTAATAAAGCCAATGAGCACACGCCCAGGTTCGTAGCTCAAACCGTTTAGAAGCTGTAAGGCGTCAAAGTTAGAGGTTTTTTTTAGGGGGCCTGAAAACTGGCACTTTTGCGAGGGGGCCACCACTCTCATTTCAGGCGTACACAAGATTACGGGATTACGGGAAATTTACCAGGGATTACGCGTGAAATTTTCGAAAATTGGTGTGAAAACGTTGAAAAATAGCTCAAAAACGTTGAAAAATGACTAAAAACGTTGAAAAATGACAAAATTTTGTCAAGGATTACGTGATTACGCCATGGATTACCAGAGATTACCAGCCAATTTGTACACAGGATTACGGGGGTGGTGGCCCCCTCGCACTTTTGATCTCTGCGCTCAATGTCCGGCACCCGAGCCGTACCAGCCATGATCCTTGCTTTCGAGGTGAGGTCTGCGTGCGCAATGGGAGTCAAGAAGAGGGTGAAGCGGCCCAGCGTTTCTGAACAGGGTCCTCTTTAGAGCGCCTGAACAGCCGAGGGTTGGTAATCTCACCAAGCGGCGCTTGGAAAGCACTCGCCGCACCGTGGGCTCGCTGAAGGCCACGAACAATGCTATTCGGTGTAAGTCTAAAACTGTCGCCCTCGACAAGCTTCGGATTCTGTTGGCTGCCCCATCCTTCGCTCTCTTTCCCACATGGTCCAAAGCTATTGCCCCCGACCCCTCAACCTGCCCCCAAAACCGGATATATTGTGTGTTGTTCCAGATGAATTTCAAGCTTTTTGTCGGAAGCTGTTGCCCTTTGGTAAGCTTAGGAAGTTCTTCGGAATCTGTCGGCGTTTCCCCCGGCGGTTTTCTCACTTTCCCAACCCTGAGGGGTCGAGGGCGAGGGGTTTGAAAAGTTGGGAAAGGGTGGAAAACAGCAAGGGGCAGCCGACGATTTGCGATTCTCTCCCGAACCTTCCTGGTCAAAATCGGAGGGGGTCATGGGAAGGCGTTGCACGTATTAAATAAATTAGCTCAATAGAGGTTCTTTCGGAACCCCTAAAAATACTTCCGGCGGCCATGCCAGCAACATACCATGAGAATCAGAAAACGGCTGAAGTATCATCAAAATTAGTAAAACGACCAGAAAAATAGATCTTACGACCAGAACGGTTATAGGCTGATAGGCTACCAATCTAAGAATCGTGAACCCATTCAACACAGCTCGAAACAGATCGCCAAATTCAGCCGTACGCTACAACAATTGTTTTCGTAAATTAATGATAAATCTTTGATTGATTTTGCCGCACAAATTGTGCTTTAAGTATTTGTTACGACACTTTTTGTATGATTACAAAACAATTGTAAAGCATTTGTTATGGAACTTTTCGTATCTTTACAAACTATTCGTACTATTTAACCAAAAATAGATAAAAAATTAATGAATACACAAAGAGGGTACCCTCTTTGGAGGGTACTTATGGAAATACTCAAATTTTACAAATGACATTTAAGATAAGAATTACTCAATAATTGGACAGTTACGAAGTGGATAGCTCATGAAGGCGCTGTAAGCGAGGGGGCGACCACTCGAGAAATCCTCCCTAGAGCCCTAGAAATCTCTGGAAAATCCGAAATCTTTCCCCAAAAAGACTGAAATTAAGGCAGATTGTAGGCTTAAAAATGGCCGGAATTCGACGAAATCTCTTGTCCTAAGAAATCTAGTGTCCCCAAACATCGTACGTGGTTGCCCCCTCGGCTGTAAGTCTACAGAAAATTTGTAAGATGAGGATACGAAGAGTGTTCATAAACTGACAACAAACTCTTTCAAGTCTATGACTTTTACTCGTAAACATAAGTCTACAAACAAGGAGCCAAAAATGTTTGTAATAAACTTACAATAACTTTTTACAGCGGGTGTCTGGATGTTGGTAGCGATAAACAGATAAACGGCGAGCTTCCTTTGGAATGACGAACGCGCCTGCAGGATGGTAGTGATGATGGCACTTAACCCGTGCCTAAGACGCTGACCCTGGTGCGACATGGTAAAACATCTGATCTAGAACAAAAAAAAGGAGGCAAAAATACTACCAGTTTATTTGTAAAAATCCTAGCAGTCACAAAAACACATTCGATTAAAATGTCTCCACCAGCTTCTTTATCACTCCTCAAATGTCTAAGTACTTTTTGTAAGTACATTTGAATGATTTAAATTCAAATATGCGAAGAACCAAACAAGCCCTTGCTACTTCAGCCGCGTACATTTTAACACTGCAATTGCAAGGCGACTAAAGTACATTTTTGGCGATAAAATTAGGTATCGCCAATAAACGGCCTCACGGAAAAGTATTGCCTTCAGAACGGCGATACACAGAAGTATCGCCAAAATTTGGCGATACTTTTCGGTATTGCCAAAACCACGGCATTAAACGAAGGTCTTGTCCCCTTGATTTGTTCGACGTTTATTGCCAAATCGTGGCAATACTCCAAAGTATCGCCAAAATTTGGCAATACTTTTGTGTATTGCCGTTTTGAAGGCAATACTTTTCCGTAAGGCCGTTTATGGGCGATACTCAATTCTATCGCCAAAAAAGGTACTAAAAGTATTGCCGTTGGATTTACAGTGATTGAGCCTACTTCAGCCCAGGCCGAAGGTGTTTGGACACCACGCAGGCTCAAGGCGCTACAAAACCTAGGCCTACGAAGCATTTACATCATAACTACGAAGAAAACGAAGGCATCGTAGAATTGCTTCGTATTATGAAGAAATGCTTCGTATTACGAACGATTTTGTTTCATAATTCAAAGCACTTCATAGATTTTACAATGCTTTCATTTTCTTCGTGCGTGATACCAAGTGATTCTTCGTAGAGTTTTTGCTGTGCAAGCGCGCCTAACTCTCAGAGCGTATTTGTTACATAAGGGGCCGTCCACTAAGTACGTTACGCAGTTTTAAACACAAAGCAGCATGCTAAATGCCCCCTCCCCCTGGCTCCTCCCGCTGCGTAACGCTGACCCAGCCCCCCTCCCATTGGTCACAGCGTAAAGTGAAGCGAGAACTCATCTTTTCGCGATTTTACCCTTGTGTACCGTTTCAGCTTGGACGATGTGCTTTCGCACTAAATATAATGAACGAATCGTTACGCTGGCTTGAACCCCTCGCTAGAAAATTCATGAGTCTGACCGGATGATTCTGTTGCGTTCCAAACTTAGGAACACAGGCTATATGCCATGATTTCACTGGTAAAACTAAAGCGTAACTCTATGCTTGAGTCAAGCGTAAAGTTACGCTTAAAATGAAGCATACTACACACTAAATGCTTATGGACTTTATCGGACTTTATGTCCATAACTATGGCCGTATTTGTGCATATTGAAGTTATGTACAAATTTGTACATAAATTAGGTACAATGGTTTACATACTTAAGCACAATATGGAAATATTGTTCCTAATTTATGTACAAATTTGCAAATAAGTTCTGTATGTACAAAAACGGCCATTGCTATGGACAATTAAGTACATAAGACATTTAGTGTGTAGGGAAATTCCTCCATGCATTTAGATAGGGGTAATCTTGGCCGATAAACCTGTTATGCTTGATTTCAAAAGTAACCTGATTACGCTTGAAAGCAGAGGGTAATACTACGCTTCAGTTCTACCAGTGTTCGATTTACCTGAGTTCGAGATCACCAGCAGGGGCACCTTGAGCAGGGGGATCCCCTGGCTGCCCGGGGCGTTGGCGCAGAAAGCGACGGCGCTGCTTCATCTTCGGCGCCCCATTGGCCATCTTCTCGCAATGCAAGGGCGTAGGTCCTGCCGGGAAGCGCCTTGGAGAACAGCTAGCAGCTAGCCCTCGTTTCGTGCAGGACTCGTCGCGCTCGAGACGTCGAAGGGCTGCGGGTAGGCGAGCAGGATGCCCTCCAACCCCTACCGGCTGCAGGTTGGCTCGCAAAGTGCTCTGCTCCTTGATCTCGGCCATGCCTTGGCGTCGAAGGACTTCCACAGCCTCCCCCTACACTGTGGCAAAAGACTGCCGAAAAGTAGATTAAAGGACCCAGTCAGTGGCCGCCGAGTGGAGAACAAAAGTAACAGAGTTCTCCAAAGAAGCTCTGGCCCGGAAAAAGAACAAAATCGGAAGTAAGAATTTGCAGTTTCTATGAGAAATATACGCTGCGGACCTCATGCGCAGCGTATATTTCTCAAAGGAACTGCAATTTCTTACTTCCGTTTTTGTTCTTCTTCTTCCGGGCTAGAGCTTCTTTGGAGTACTCTCTCCAAAAGCCAGGAACCAGTGCACAAGTTTCGAGTGGTTCCTGGGTTTTCTATTTACTTTATCTTGGATCCCGCTCGGAAATAAAACAGCTAAAGGAACCTGTCAGTGGGTAAATTCCTAATGGTTCCTGGCTTTTAGATCACTTTTGTTCTTCACTCGACGACGACTGCTAGAGTCTATTTGCCTGGTGTGATTCTCCGTACCCACAACCCAACATTGTCCGTAACATCTTTTCGTTCATGGCCTCCATGGGACTTACAGCATCCTTCGTAGGATTTCCAGTTTGCGCCGCATGCCCGTTGCAGACCAATGGGATGCACGGGAGAAGATTTTAACCCCTACACTCTAAATTGGCATGCCGAGCGACTGGGCGGCTTAGTAACCTGCTACACTTTTTAGGGCCCCAAATGTCGTCCAATTTCTGGGCGAGTCGCTTTGTCACCTGGCCCAGCAACTGACCCTTTTCTATGACAGGACCAAGGTGCCCAGATTCTAGGCACCTTCAGGGCTGCTGCTGAGCTATGGGTGAAGGCAAGTTGCCTCATGATTTGTGAACACCGAGTCTAGACGACAAAGGTGCTCAGGAACTGGGCGACTTTTGCCGCCCTAAAAAGTGGAGCAGGTGGCTAAGGCGCCCAGCCCAGTCAAGGGCATGTCAACTTAAGAGTGTACAGAGAACATTGACAAGAAGGCTACGGAAAATGTTGGGTTCACTGGTGAATGAAAGGCATTAAAATTATGCCCTCCCTTAAAGGGCATAAATCGTTAATGCCTTTGGGAAGGGCATTAAAATTTTGCTTGAAATTCCTATACCATTTACGCCCTTCCCAAGGGCATAAACGATTTATGCCTTTGTTTTACCAGTGTTCTGCGTAGAGAGAATTCTCAAAAGTTGTTTACAGATCGCACCTTGTTTGCCACAGTGTGCTGCAGCGTGGCCTTCTGCGTGAAACATGCATAGACAAGGGTAGAGTCGTTTAGATGTGTGAATCCACAGACTCAAACTCAGACCGCGCATACACGGTAGGTGTACGCCAGACCGTCGCTTATCGTAACCAAGGGGAAATCACTGTGAATTTCAGCGTACAAATTAATGAATTTCAGTCGAATTTCGAGGAATTTCAGTCACTATTCGATGAATTTTAGTCAAAATTCGAGGAATTTCAGTCAAATTTTGATGAGTTTCAGTGAGTTTTACATATTTGATGAATTTCGGTGCACAAATTTGGCTGTAGTTATTTCCCCTTGATCGTAACCGGCTTCTCGCTATCGCGCCAGTTCCGCAAATCCACGCCTGGCCTTCTTTAGCCTACGGCATCGGCACACAAATTGACGTAACCGCAAGTCGAAACACCATTTAGATTCTACATTAATACAACCCCTACCCCCACCCTTGTGGGGGGCTTTGTGTTGCAGGTGAACATTTTAACTGGTATGGCGTTTTATTTCGTGCGAATTGGAGGAAAGAAATTGACAAAGCACAATGATTTTGGCAAATTGTTTATTCGTTATCTGTTTGTCATGTCAAGAACGCCGTTTCCCGTCCATCCCGTTGACTAGGCCGAGGCTCGGTACAGCTCCCGGTGGTCCTGCTTGATGAAGTCGGCAGCGCGCTCAGCCACCATGATGGTGGGCGCGTTGGTGTTGCCGCTGGTGAGCGTGGGGATGACCGACGCGTCGGCGACTCGCAGTCCGCGCACGCCGCGCACCAGGAGGCGCGTGTCGACCACGGCGCCCATGCGGCACGTGCCCACGAAGTGCCACGTCGTGTAGGTGGTCGTCCGCGCCAGGCACCGCAGGTGCTCGTCCGACCCGAAGGCGAGGTGCCTGACGATTCACAAATTACGAATCAACAATTTGAATAGGTGATGTTCCTGGAGTCCTTGCCGTGTTTCTGAGAAACGTCTTCGCAACCGGCCCCTGCCCAGTGTTTCAAAGACTGGGCCGAGGGCTGGGCCCGAGGGTTCAACTACTCCGGTGCAATCCTAAACGCTAACCGCCCCGCGATGAGGAACGGCCGCGCGTCCTCCAGTGACTAGTAGTGACAGCGGAAAGATGGGGCGAGCAGCTGAGCGGTCAGGTCGGCCGGCCACGCGGAGAGAGGAGAGAAGATCTCTCAGAGAACCGAAACAAACTTTTAATAACTAGAACGGGCACTTATCCGCGCACGGAATTACTCTATGTACTTTTTTGTGCATAAGCTTTGCAAAAAATTGACCATGTATTTTGAAGTGCACAAATGTGCGCAATGGAGTACGAATGTCCTTTGATGCGCTTACGCGCTCAAATTTGTGCAAATTTTATGCACAGAAAAAGTACGTGGTAATTAGAAGTGTTGGCGTTGCCCTCCCCAAACTTGACCGGCCCCCTCGGGGAGCGATTGTAGCGTGGGCAACCTTCTTCTCTCGATGTGACTTGGCTTGGGCCATCCAAGGTCACCAAGGCTAAAGTCAGTCGTCATGGTTTTCGTTCGTCTTAAATATTTCATGAAAATCGTGAGTCCGTCGCGATGATGTCTATTTTTTTCGACGCACACCGGTCTATGTCTTATGTCTTCTCTGAACTTCGTACTGATAGACCTACTTTATGCGAAACGATATCAGTGAAAAAAAAAGCGATTTAGTGGATAATAGTTCTGATATTTTTGATTGAATTTAATGTCAGTAACTAAATTTACAGCCAAAATTATACGAGAGAGAGATGCTTATATGACGAAGAGTTAGTGTGACTAGAGCAAACAGATGGAACGATGTCCGTCCGAGAACAGGACCCCCATTTTCTTAGGCAGTCTGTATCGCCACTTAATTGTGCCCCCGTGAGTCTTTCCTTTCAGGTAACGGAGACAGGCTGTGGCGTATGAAAGTCCGAGAGCAGTTGGGATGCACCCGTTTATTGAAGCGCACTGCAAAACAAATTGTGAGTTAGTCTCTAGTGCGAACATGTGCGAACTATGTCGAACATGCGAACTATGAACATGGGCGAGCAGTGCCAAATGATGTCTCACACTTGCAAGCGTGAGACAAAGGTGGCTACGCTTGTAAGCGTGAGACATGGTGGTTCACACTAAATAGTGTGAGACTGTCTCACACTTGGATTTGCTGTACCGATTGGACGAGTGCACTCACGGCAAAAGTAAGCTTAGTGTCCTGGTTTCCCCGGCGCACCCTGAGAAAATAGGGCATTTTCCCCAGGGTGGGCCTGGGAAACACGGACATTATTTTTGCCGTTCTGAGAAAACATTGGTTCTCACTTGATGACAATGTCACTTTTAATTTTCCTTTCAATGATCGCTATTTGATGACACAGTTGTCACGCTCATGCAAACAGTATGGGAGCTTTGATGAAACTGTCATCTCCTCCTGATGACATTGTCCTCGCGAGTGACGAAAATGTCATTTAAGTGACAACAAATTTTGGCATACACTAAATTCTTGTGGACTTTTTAATACATGGAATGACCCTAACGTGCGTCTGGCATCTGCACACATTTTGGGTGTTTTTACAGCCTGGTCACGAGTCACGACTATTTCGCCTTAAAAGGGCGGCGCTGGGGACGCAGAGCATATCGTTCCACCATGGCTCGTCTCAGCCTCGTCGTCCTCGCCCTCTGCGCCGTCGTCGCGGTAAGTCCAGCTGCCACCGGAAGGCCGCCCAATCGGTTTACTGAGCAGCCATTCTGGTGTACCTGAAGCTTGTGTAAATCTCTTCTCTATCGCAGGCTCACAAGCCGCAGCAGCCACACTTGAAGGGTGGCAAGCCTCAGGGTAGCCTCCTAAACGGCCGGCCCTTGGGTGTGGGTATCCCTGAGGGCCGCTGGCCTCAGGGTCTCCTCCAGCGCGGCCAGCCTCAGGGTCGCCCCCAGCGCGGCCAGCCTCTGGCTAGCGGCCGGCCCTTGGGTGTGGGTATCCCTGAGGGCCGCTGGCCTCAGGGTCTCCTCCTGCGCGGCCAGCCTCAGGGTCGCCCCCGGCGCCACGCCAACGGCACTCCGGCCCAGAAGCCCGTCGGTATCAAGGCGTGGCTCAAAGCCAAGGAGGCGGAGCTCAAGGGCTGGGCCGCCAAGGAGGCCGGCCAGCTCAAGTCGCAGTGGAAGACCAAGGTGGTGCCCCACATCGCCGCTCTCAAGGAGAAACTCGGCGCAGAGTGGCAGAAGGACGCTCCCAAGATCGTCGCCCTGCTCAAGGCGAAGACTGGCGCCGTCTTCGAGAAGGCCGTCAACTTCCTCAACAAGAAACTCCAGGCTTGAGCGAGGTTCCAAGCGCGCGGCGCACAGCGAAAGTGGCAATAGGGCCGCAATAAAACTGCCATGCCTGTGAATGCTTGTCAGCCGTTTATCCCTCTTACACAAAACTGCATCACCATCGGATGTGCTCACTGAGAACACCTTCCAAACTATTTTAGGCCTTCCAAAGAAAAGCAGCTTGTTGTAACAAAGTATGAGCATACATAAGCTTACAAAGAAAATACTTTGTAGTTTAATTTACGAACTGTTTCTTCGTATAACAAAGTAAATTAGTTTGTATTACGTATGGTCAAAATACTTCATAAGGTGTTCAGCATGCATAAAATTGTATCATTCATGGGACAAATAAAAACGTCCCAAGCAATTTAGTGTGTAACTTGGGCGAAACTTACGTGCAGGCCGGCGCAAGGCGAGGGTCGCGGCTCAGCGCGAGTCCACGCTTCCGGAGTGGCCCTTCCATTCGCAGTGCCAGGCGCAGGCCCGCCACCACCACCGACAGGTCGTGGTCTGCGTCGTCGGTGAAGTAGCCGAGCCGAACGAGCGGGGGTCCTGAGCAGCCAGAAAAGCAGCATGTTCATTTGCCCTGTGTTAATTGACAGACGCCACACTGATAAAAATTTTGTCGTAACTTAGCGATTCATTGCTTCCTAATTTTTTTAGCGACAAGATTTCAACTTAAGTTGTACTGGAATTTTCACAACGCCGAAAGGAATGTGACAAAGTGTCACGTTCCTTTGAGCATGCATGCATATCTGTCCATTCGTTTGAATGTGAGTAAGCTATTTCATGGCCGATTTGCAATCATAAACGGTTGTGACACAATGTTCAAAGGAACGGGACGCTTTGTCACATGCGTTTCGACGTGATGTCACGTTCCTGGAATGAGAGTGTTACCAACCACTGGCACTAACCTAAAGGGTCCGAAGAGTTGATGTGGACGCTGCCACGGCTGCGCGGATGGAGTGCGACGGATTGCATAGAAATGCGGTTCATGCGCCACTCGTCGCTGTCCAGGCACCTAGTGGAAGCAAGGATTTAATTAGGACAGTTAGTTGTCGGTTGTTATTCGGTTGGGGCTTCAAAAAATGTGTGTTTGTCTGCCCGTGGACTTCTCCGTCTGAAGACTCGGCAGCCGCCGGCTTCCGGTCCGGACGTGTTGGTGTTTCGAGGGAGACCTGCCAGAAGCCAGCGCCGCCAGGCCGGAAACGAAAGCTAGTACGTTGCTCGTTTATCGTTTGTCGATGTAAAGAATTTTGGCTGAAATTTGGACTGAGCTTTGTTCAACAACATTCAACAACATTCAACAACATTCAACGCCTCAGGTGTTATGTCTCGCTAAAGTATTTCAATGGCCGAAACAGCGGCTACCGTTTTCTAATCCAGGCCTCCTCCGAACACTGAGAATGAAAGAGTCGCCACTATCACCCTTCAAATGGGTGATGCAACTTTGTTTCAAAATTTTGGGTGACGAAAAATTCATCACTCGAAATTTGGCAACAGGCGTTACTTCGCCAAAATTATGGTAACGTCGTCGGCCACGCCGTGAAGTCCCCGATGGCGTTGAGGCCTGCGGATCTCACGGCGCCCAACGCCGAAGTCCGTTTTGTTCTACGACCAGCACTTCCAGAGCTACAAGGACGCACCACGAGGCGACCGGTCGCCGCCGTCCAGGCGGAGGAGGATATTGTGATTATTTTTGAGGCCAAAGAAGCTCTGGCTACGAGGAGTCTGGGACTTTTGACTTCAGGGTTGGGTTGAGGGGCTCCCGGCCCACGGAAACGAAGTTTGGTCAAGTTCCGGCCAGCAGTTCGTCGAGGATAGCGTCGAACAGCTGGATTTTTGGACTTTTTCTGCTGAATGGATAATGTTTATCGCCATCCTAGACGGACAACGGCTAGTCGGACCTTGACCAAAACTTGGTTTCCAGGTGGGCCGGGACCCCTCCACCCAACCCTGCAGTCAAAAGTCCCGGACACCAAGTAGGTTCATGGCCAGAGCTCCCGGAGCTCCCTTGGCCTCGAGAAAATCACCACTTCCTCATCCGCCTGGACGGCGACCTGATGTACGTCCTCATATCCCTGAAAGTACTGGACGTAGAACAAAACGGCATTCGGTGTCAGGCGCCGTGAGTACCCTGAGCGCCACATGAAAGTCATCGTGGTGGCACCGGAAGGACGTCATCGGGGACCTCACGGCGTGGCCGACGACGTTACTCAAAGTCGGGCGATGAGTTTTTTGACCGCCCAAACTGCCAAAACTTAGTCACCGCCACCGCTGGCCCGTCACCCAAAGTTGAGCGACAATGCGTGCGTGGTGACTCTTTCATTCTCAGTGAAATTCCCAGGGGGAAATCTCTGTGAATTTCTGTGAATCCAATGAATTTCAGTCAAATTTCGATTAATTTTAGTCAAAACTCGATGAATTTCAGTCATAATTCGATAAATTTCAGTCAAAATTTGATGAATTTCGGTCGAAATTTCATGAATTTCAGTGGAAATTCGACGAATTTCAATGAATCTAGTAAATTTTACAAGTGTTATGAATTTCGGCGTACAAATTTGGCTGGAGTTATTTCCCCAAATCGCATTGTTCGCAGTGTTTCGTTAATAGGGGGCGACAGAGGGTCTGCAGGTGTAAGTGCATGCCAAGATAGGGCCCGGCAGCGCTGATCGAGGCGCTGATGCTTACACCGTGCCGTCGTCTGACACCACCGTCCCGTCCAGGACGATCTGCAGGTCCGGCTGCTCGGCCGGCCTCGGCCCGCGCGGCGGTTCGGGCGTCGTCCGCAGGAAGGCCGTGAGCTGCAGGAGGCTGGCCGAGGACAGCGGGCCGCCGCGGTGCCGGCCGTAGTCCTGGAGGTCCTGGCGGCGGTGCTCCCAGTCCACGTGGCACAGGGGCGGCGTGCAGTCGAACGCCATGCCGCTGGGTCCGGGATGGTCCTGCAGCCCTCGGCCCACGGGCAAGTCCGACACGACGGGGATGTTCAGGGCCTGGGTCGCACATGCACGAGTCTGACTTCATATTCGTTGAAGAGTAGTGCTTCGTCCCAATGTCGAGCACATGCGACGGTGATAAAATTTTGCTCCCGTCTGGTAACGCAAATTGTCCGACGTCTGCTTCAAATTCTACTTTCATTAGACAAGTTCCGCATGGAGGACACAAAATTGTAGCATCCACCATCGGATGTGCCTAGAAAGTCATCACCATGCAACCAAAAAAGGTTCTCTTCACTGTGGCAAAAGACTACGGAAAATTCTGTAAACAACTTGTGATAATAGTTACCTGGAGATCTTGCGCTGGTCCAATGCCCGACAATATGAGGATCTGCGGTGTGTGCAGAGCTCCTGCCGTCAGAACGACCTCCCTTCTGGCCCGGACGACACGCACCTGGGATTGAAAATTGACTAAATTAATGGTTTTTTTCTCCGTATCAAGTTGCAATGCCTTTCCTTGGAATGTATGAGTTTCAGCGAGTTTCAGTCTCCGCCACGCAGTACAACACAAAACAAATTAGAAACTTGAGAATTCACTGAAAGTCGAAAGGTGAGACATCTCATCCTGACACTAAATGTTTGTGTCGTGCATGATTTTAAATTTGCATAAATTTATTCATATTCACGACGCAATAGAACACGAAATAAATGGGAATTTTGCGAATTCACTGAAATTCGATAGGTGAGACATCTCATCCTGACACACTAAATGTTTGTGTCAGTGTATGTATAATTTTGTGTGTTGCATGATTTTAAATGTGCATTAATTTATGCATTTTCACGCACGGACAATGGCATCATTCATGGAAAAAAGTCTCATGGCATTTGGTGAGTAAACAATGGGTGTGCGTACCTGGCCTGCCGCATCGCGGAACTTGACGCCCGATGCCCGGGGTTTGGGCGGCAAGCCCTGGTCGTGGTGGAACAGGACCTCGGTGACGGTGGCGTAGGTGATGGCGCGGAGGTTCGGCCTGCCGAGGGCGGGCTGGAGGTAGCCTCGGTACGTGCTCCAGCGCTCGCCGCCCGCCGCCGTCGTCTGGATCACCGAGTGGCCCAGCTGGCCGCGGGCGTTGATGTCCAGGCGCGGAGGCACCCCGGCCTCGGCGAACGCGGCGGCGAAGCGGGGGATGGCCGGGTGGCGGTAGGGCGGCCAGGACACCGCTTGGGGCCCGCCCGTCGAATGGAAGTCTGAACCACGGCGTGCAAACACAACGAAAATAATTTTCCTCTTTTTTGACGGCAGGGCCCAAGTTGGGGAAGAAAAAAACAAGTACTAAAACAAGTATGGAATATGACATATCCAAAAAAGAAGAAAACAAAAATTAAATATACAACATTTGAGATTATTGCGTTCAAAATTTTGACTTTGTTCAATTTCTACCAAATTTGAAAATTTTTGTCAAAATGTTTCATGAAGCTGAAATTCCAATTCAATACCTTTCAAATGAGCTCAGTATGAGCTCTGTAGCTTCATTTTTGAAGAAACTACAGCATTTTCAAAAAAGGTCTGCAACAAAAATGAAAAATTCTAACGCAAGCCATAACTTTTTTTAAAATGGGTATTTTTTGCTCGCAATTGGTTTTGGGAGGTTTCAGACCATAGCCAACAAGATTCATTGAGATCAGAGAGATTGCTTGCAAAAGTATGTCGAACCCCCATGGAATGACCCCCATTTCTTTTCGTATCATATGGTTCCCCTTTCAATGTCATTATATTTTTAAAAACTTAGTTCTGTCCAGCCAATCGATGAACCAATTATGGAAGTTAATGCAAAACATCACGTAAGAATAAATTTTTGCTCTAACATATGGAGGAAGAACTTGATGGATTTGTTTGTTGTGGCAAAAATTTCTGTGCATTTGGTCCTATTCATATATTTGAAGTTAATATACATAAAGTTCATTTATATAAAGTTTCCTTTGGCTACTTCAGAAGCATGTGTGAAAGGTTCCACCCATGACAATAGGGCTGAGACAGTCAAGACAGAAAAAGTCAGTCATCCAGGCATTGCAATAACATGAGAAGCACAACCCATCATCTTTTTGCCAACTACTTTGTACGACACCTATTTTTTTCAGCGATGGCAGTTAGAGACAAATAAATGTGTGCTCTGTACTTATATTTGTCCTTTGTCCTTTACAGGAGCGAGAGTGGACTTAAGAAGTTCCACCCACAACAACAGCACGGGAATCACAAAACCATTCACTGCAGATTAAGTTCAACCCTGTCAACTTTCTGCTACAGCCCGGTAAGTCAATGTAACATTCACCTTTCTGTAAATTATTCATCTACTGGACTTTCATTGTGTTTCTTTAGTGTTACAGGAACACAGTAGAGGTAAAAATTTAATGCATGAACAGAAGAACTCTTGATGAGAAAATTAACCCAATCAGTAGGACTATGAGTGGATTGTAATGTACATTCAATCAGAGGATGGGCAAAGCTTATTGTGGCAGCACCGCTACTCCATACAGGCAAAACAATGACTTATACTTCTAATTTGCACTTTTTCATTTTAGCTAGTGGTACGTGGCCTCTAACAGATTTCAGCTGATGCATCATCCGTTTTAACTGTATGACTATTATCAATGCTCAAATTAAGTGTAAATTCGTTGATGAATTATGAGTAGCTCGGCAAAGATTGTGACACTCAAATGTTATGCTACTAAATCTGTGCGTTTGTGATTGCTTGTTGCAGGATCCAACATTCAAATGGCTGAAAGATGCAGCAGACGTCAACTTCTTTTCTGTGTTCTAATTTTTTGTTCAAGATTTTTGTTTGAGATACTTATATATTCCTTTGAATTTGTTTGGATTTTCTTACTGTTCTTTGGAATTCACATTGTCCTCGGTAATTTGGTCATATCTTTCAAAGCTGCATTATGTTTTGATTCATATCTATGTGTCTTATTAAGAAATAATTAAGAATATTGCTCATAACAGCAAAGATGTCAAGTAGAACTGAAGGTCTTGATTTAATTAAAGAAATGGTTAAATTTATTGAGTTTTTTTATTTGAGTGAAACATTTCACTAATGTGAGTAAGTCAATGAGAAACAATTCAATTACTGACAAAATATGCACCGCTGAGGCCACCAAATGTTTGGGCACAGATTTCAGAACTGCAACTTCGAGCAAAATTGATTCCTTTCATCCCAAATTTTGTGTCATGCAGTTACATTAACAGATTCTTTCACCCAAACATGGCATCTAATGAAAATAAGATGGAGAAGCAGTTCGAACATGCAACTTGGCATTAGCCAGGCACCACCGCTGTTCTTCATCAGTGAAGGAAATGGAATAACATCTGTAAAGAGAAAAAACTTAGGGTCAGGGTGGGGAAAAATCAAACACTGCAGGAGTGGGGAAAAATCGTACACCCCAACTGAAGGCCCATTTCTCTTATTTTGATACCAGGATATACTCCCTGCTGGTTATTAGTACCCCACACTATCATGTAGAAGTGTTAGTCTAAAAATAAGGAAATCTAGTCTAAATGGGGCGTGCATTTCTGCCCCACCCTCCAGGTGTTTGGCTCTTCCGCACACTGACCCTAATAGAAATAGTGACCCTATGAAAGAAAAGAAGAAGAATCCTTACCATTTCATTGATTCGAAAATGTCAGGCAGAAGAGGGTCGGTGACAGCCTTGATCAATCTTAACTGGCCAGGCTGGAGGTGGAGAGATATTTTATCGCATGTGACTTTTAGATATTTAAGAATCCTCGGATATTGATGGACACCACCTCCCTTGAGAATGCGAGCAACAAAAGCCTTCAGGACAACTAACTTTATCTCACTTCGGAAGATCCATTCACCTGTCAAAATAATTTTTTTTTTTTTAAAGTCCTATTATTTTCAAGCATTTAATGCCCAGGGATGGGGATAAATGAAAACTTCGTAAGAACTGGAATATCTGTAATAGTGCCAGTTGTTTACCTTCATAGTAAAAAGTCTTGGCCACTACTTTCAAAACTCTGTTCCTTATTACTCGGTATCCTTTCTTAATGCACTGAAGGAAAAATTTTTGGTTTAATTTACCAACTGGCACATAACAGTTCACATAAGCATAAAATCGAAATGCAGATAGAAGGGATGATTTGTAAATATTTGTCAATATAGCATGTTTGGAATTGATCCTGATATCCAGCAGGCATGGATGCAGCTTGAGAACAATCCTCATCCGAGATAGAATAAGTCTGAAATCATACATGTAATTACCTTTGTGAAGTTACAAGTTAATAATAACAGTCACGCTCTTCAGGTGCTGCCACAATGGGTCAAGCTTGCCTTTCCGCCTCGTTGATCTGGTCCAATGCCCACTTGTGCCCAATGTGGCAGCACCTTGACACCTCTTACCTTCCTGGGTTTTTAGTTTTTGTTAAATCAAGACTGTGAACAATATTTGTGTTCTTGTATGATGAGAAGTTTGATTGTATTTGAAACATATTGACATCAATGGAGTATCCACAGAAAGGAACAGTTGATATACCATTGTCATACAAATTGGTTAATGCTTTTGAATCATTGAATGAAACGTGTTGATTAGGGAAATTAAACTGGCATGTCAACAAAAACCTTGCAAATATAGAGAAGGGAATAATTAGTACATTATATATACATTGACTTTATACCTGGAACACATGAAGCATACAAAGATGCAACTAATATACTCACTTCTCAGCCCTTTCTTTACATGGTGTTACAAATAAATAATCATCACAGTAACGGATGAAAATTTCATCCTTTCTTGTCTCTTGAAATTCACGTAGGAATTTAGAGCTAAGAGAGCTGTAATACAATTCACATAGACCCGATGAAAGATACATTCCTTGAGGAATGCCATGGCGAATTCGATATACTTGACCATCTATTTTAGTGCCCAAAAAACTAACACATTCATGAATATGTTGGAGGACAGGTTCTATCTCGGCATTCTGAAAAAAAAAAATACCCCATTGGTACTTAATCAATAATTCTGATATGAAGGGAAAGCTTTTCTTTGAAATGCTGATTTGAACCACTGTACCTTGACCTTGCTTCCTTTAATGACAGAAGAAGGTATCACTAAACGGGAAGATTCAAACATTATACATGATTTACGGCCCAATTTAACATTTCTCATCTCCAAGTCACCATCGGAGGGTTTCACAGTTTCATAAACAGTTTGCAAAATGTGAAGCATTGTGCTGTGATGAATGGAACCATAAGCATCACTCACATCCACCTAAATGAGAAGTCAGTATTCCAAATCTTTCAAAGGAGTTGATGATAACATGTTCTCAATACATAAAATAAAGGAATCAACTTACTTTTACAAAGTAATATGGTGGTCTGGTGTGAGGGTGAGGATGACATGAAATAATTCCACGCAGACCATCTTGGAGAAGCTTGTCAATACAAGGACCAAAAATAGTGTTTGTAGATCCACTAAAGTGAGCAAACTGAGACACTAACATTCTTGCATTTTCTCTTAATTTGATATCTGCAAGATCAGATGGCTTCCTAGAATTAAAATCAAAGTTAAGCATGGGAAATAGGTTAAATAAATGTAGAGCAATAATAGCTTCTTACCTAAACACAGTGATGGGTCGAAGAAGGCCGTTAGGCTTGATTATAAAGCGTGTCCGACCAAGATGAAGAACCCTTTCCTCCTGTTCTTTTCCAGCAATTGGCCTAATAGGTCCACTTCTGATTAAAGAGTCAATTTCTGCTTTCTTCCTCTTTTGCCATTGAGTCTTGTCACAAAACACTAGTTCTTTGGAGGATAGAGAAACAAGGCGCCATATCTGGTTGACAATATTTTGAACGTAAAGCAGCAACCACTTCACAAGGCAGGCTAACACGTGGAGTCGTAAACTATTTGAGGGCAATGACTGCTGGAGCCATAGAATATGACTCACTTTAAACCCATGCACCTTAGAACAAATAAAGAAAGTTAGGCAAGTATAACAAAAATTATTAACAAAAGAAGACTTACCATGGAACTTAAGCTGAAGTTTTGATGGTGACTTCCATAGATGACTTTCTTAACTAACTTCATAAATAATCTAAAATTTATTTTGGAGCCAAGAAGACTTGAGACTCCAACATGAGAAATAATAAAGTGAAGGACTTGCAAGACCACTTTACGAGGATATATAAGTTCATTCTCAACCTTCGACTTTACTTGCTCTAGAGCCAGATGAATATACAGATACAATCGATTATTTTGTTTCAACAGTTTTCCAAGTTCAATGAGCAAGTACTTATAGTTTATTTCTTTCTTTAAACCTTGATTCACAAGATCTTTGAAATCAACACCAACATTAGTGTCAAGAATATTTTTCAAAACCTTTTGCAAACTATTTTCCTGGAATAGACAGGCACTAAATTAAATTCGGAAGTTTTGACTTGAGAAGATTTAAGTATCTACACATACCTTTAAACGCTTTATTGATGCCCACTTTAGAATGTGAGGAGGTTTGGGGTTAATACAGTCATCAAAATTTATACCATTTCCGGGCTGATCTTTGAAGGGAGCCTTCTCAATGGCATAAATGCTAGTGCTCTCACACTTTGAATTAATTCTTCGAGACCTCATGGTGTCAATTCTCTGGCTTTAGTCAGGAGAACTAAAACTCATCACAAGTAAGTGAATGATGATGTTGAGAATACCTGCAACGCGCGCGCTACCGTAGTGTAAATAACAAAGTTGAGGACAAGTGGTGCAAATAGTGGCAGTGGGCCCGCGAAGCACTGTCTGTTTCAAAATACTTCTCGCAATTAGCTATTCGACCATGATTTGACCAGAAGAGCAGAAATATTATGTGATATTGTTTGAATACTTGTAGGATTTGGGCGCTTTGATTGTCCTCGAACGAACAGCTTGCGTTGAGTGCCTCCACAACCCCCTCCACAATCCCGAGAGAGGTCGCCGTACGTGTAGGCAACCCCTCGGGCGTCAGTGTTTGGCTGGTGGCGTACACCTCAGGCTGACTCGAACGCACACACACAAAATCTATGTGTGTACTCAGTACACACTTCTAGGTGCGTGCTTACAAGCATGCACTTCTAGGTGAGTACTTGCCTAAGCACGCACCTAGAAGTGTGTACTTGAATGAGTACACACTTACAAGGTAGGTTTACGCCAGACCGCGTCTTGTCGTAACAGGCTTCGCGATGTCTCGCTGCCTGTTCCTCCAATCCGCGCCTGGCGTACCTACCTTGGCCTGCGGCGCAAGGCTGCCTTCGGCAGTCAATGCTTGTCAATCATCAGTTACTTCTGAACTGTTGCATGCTGGGGGGCTCCGCCCCCCCAGACCCCCCTTCATTCTAGGTAGAGGTGCTTCATCTTCAAATTACACTATCTTGACCCTCGTAACTTTTCAACTTGTCGAGGCTTTTTTTCCATTTTTGCAGTCATTTCTTGTATCTTTGGGGTTTTGGTGATGGACATCGATTTTGACCGAGCAGGGGTGGAGTTTGAAGATAAAAGATTAAACTAACATATTCCGTTATAAAAAGTTTGTGTATTGGCCAACCCTAAGAGGAGCTACAAAAATCGTGAAAATGCATATTTTGGGCAGAGAACTGCCCTCTTTGTTCTTTCCATAGGACTGCGGTGGAAACGGTGGAAAAGCAGCGTTCCCCAGTGTGGTGAGGTAAGCCACCTGAGGCGCCGAAACTCATGTGGAAGAAGCGCACCTCAGCCCAGGCCCAGCGACAACATACAGGCAGCGAAACACGGACCTGCCTCCGTAACGCCTGCGAACTGGGAGGTAGGCACGCCCGCCATACTCCGCTACGTGGCTGGCTGCCTACCCGCCGTGCTCGCAGGCGCTCGCCCTATCTCGCCCCCATTCAGTTCACACTCGCAACAATGTTGAGCCATGGTGTCCCTGCGAAATCGTCGCGTTTAGCTCCTCTCGTGGTGAATGTGGTTAATTTTAAGATTCTACCGATGAAAAGGCATGGTTTTTATCGGTCCAGGTCATGCCCTCCGAAGTACCAACCTAAGGCCAACACATTACTTACTGTTTTAAATTATTTTTTATGACTAAACACGTTTTAGGTGTAAAGGAATTGCCTTCCATGTGGTTTTTTGCTTTATTTGTGGTAGCAGCACTACATCTGATGCCCTATGCCGCAAGCAGACTGCGTCGACCGCCTCACGCCCAACGACTGGATATCCTCCTCTTACTGTGGTGTGATTTTCTCCGAAACATCCCACACGTACTGATGCTACCTAAGCAGACACTAAACTTTAACAGCAGGTGACCAGAGAGAACCCGAGCGTCCGGACAAGCGGTTAATTAACTGTGACAGTAGAGCTGTGTATTCTACAATAAACTTTAACAGCAGAGGGCCCGAGAGAACCCGATCGCCCGGACCAGCGGCTAATATAACGGTGACGAATAGAGCTGTGTATTCTATAATGATGAAACTTTTGGTTACTTCAAAATTATCTCGAAGAGCACTTCATGAAACGGAACCGTATCATCTGCTTTGATGTTCTGGACTTTCCTGAACTTTCTAAAAATTTATTCTTACATTACAAATTTGATAAAGCTAGAAATTTTGTTTAAGCAGGAAAATTCTGCTGCAACGCCTGTGACACCTATGAATTTAATGTTTCTTTTTCAGTCGCTTTGCTTGTCTGTGCGCTTTGTAGTGAGTCTTCTTCTGGTCGGCTATTATCTCTGCATAGCGCTTCTTGGTAGACTTCTGGAATTCAGCATCAGCCAGGAGTTCATCAACAAGAGTCTTCTTGCGATCCTTCTTCGGAATGCGGCTGTGGTAGAAGTCAGCAGCAGACTCAACAATACGCCCAACCTAAAAGAAATATTTATCAATAACCCTTGCAAGTGAAAATAAAGAAAAAGTCTGCTAAAATTATAACAATCAAGTTCCAACCTGGAAATATTTAGGGAGTGTCTTGAAGTCATTTTTCTTGTAGAAATGTTTAGGGTCCAGAGAGGAACGCATTTTTAAGATTTCTAGATCATTTTTCATTTCTTCTGTAAGTTCAGGAGCTTTCATGTTATACCAGTTTTTGCCAGTTGACTTTGCTCTTTCCTCCTGTAATAGACAAAGATGTACATGCCAACAGTTGATTCTTTCAACATGGTTGCACATAGCTTGCGAACATAAAATCATGTACCTTTCGCTTTCTTGCAATTAGACGGCGTCCTTCATCATATGATGGAAGTGAATGCAGTTTTTCGAGACCTGGCTGCAGGACACTTTTTTCTAATGCTTTATCTGGATCAGCAAGACGCCTGACCATTTCACTAGATTGTAATTCTTGACAAGTAGATATTTTGGGCGAATCACTTTGCAATTGTAAATTTTTGGATGACTGAGATTGTAACGTTTTGATGATGATTCTCCAAAGTCTAAGTATGTATCATCTAAGTTATATTCTTTATCCTTTAAGGACCTGAAAAAAAAAGAAGACAATAGTGAGGAACGAAACAATAATTTGATACAACTGGTTTAAAAGCTCTGACAGATGGCTGATACCTTGATGTGACAGTGGCTGGTTTGGATTTCTGTGGCATAGGAATAAATGTGAAATCTGCAAGTTTCAAAAGTGAATACATGTTCAAATAATAAATTCCAAAGTAACATAAATTGGTTTCACAAGCAGATACAACATTCCTTACCATCGTCACTCTCATCATCACTAGATCTGATGTTACTGGGATCAACTTGACCTTTGACGTCAACAAAGAAGGCCATGTTGACCGATACTAATGCAAGTGGAATCACCGAGTGTATTTGGTACAGCTCAAGATATAGAAACTGGCTCGTCCTTGCAATAACACTTATCCGAGTCACAACAACAGGCACGAAACTGTCAGGTTATGTTTACGGGCGTTTTGACTGGTCAATTTTCCATACATTTTCCCTTCGCCTTCATTATTTGCAGGATAGCTTTCTGCTCCAGCTCGCCTTATTCACCCTCAACGATTCGATCGATCTCCATCATTATTGTGAACCAAGCGGCTTTGCTAGGTTAAATATATACGGTGTTTTGTAAGTTACCGTCGAAGAAACTTCCAAGGTTTCCCCTTCCTTACTTTCTTCGTATCTCTTCCCTCTTACCTCTTTAAAAGGTGAGTTTCGTTATTGTTCTGTGGTTCTTCAAATTCATGAACAGCGGTGGTCCCTTTGGACCCGGTACTTCACATATATGTCAAACTTTGTGAGACTTTCAACATTAACAAATCTTATCACTATTATTGCTTAAGTGACAGAAGGAAGTATACATCTACTTCTGTTTTTCAACCCATTATTTTCTTCCCTCTGACTAGGACCTCAGTCTGTGAGCTTCATTATAATTTTTGGAAACTCTGTACTTGTAATTTCTTCTCAGGATGAGAATGGCTCGTGGAAGAGGTAGAGGTGGGCCAATGCGGGGAGGCATGCGTCCCGGACCAAGACCAATGCCCCATGGCGTCAAACCTATGTACCTTCCTCGTCATCCTTTCGACTTGGCCTTATGTGAACCAACTTTTCCTCGTGTGAAGCCGATGGCAGATGAGACCGCGTTTACAAATGTGAGTTCTTACTTCTTATCCACATGTGTGAGTTAAAGCAGACTTTTAAAAAACAATTGCTTTACTAATCTAAATAATTTACTCCCAGGCATTGATGAAACGCAATCAGGAACTCAACCCAACTCAGAAAGAACACACTGCTGTCTTAAACTTGGTGACGAAACTTCAGGCAGTCCTTGATAGAATTGTCATTACCCCAGGTTCATTTGATGCTTGTGTGAGTTGATTCATTATTTTAAACTGCAGATGAATGATCTCATTGAAATCCTCAGCCTGATAGTGTATTTTAACTCTGCAAATTTGTTTTCAGCAAATTGATGAAGTGCGAGAAGTTGGTTCATACAAAAAGGGCACCATGATTACTGGTCATAATGTTGCTGACCTTGTGGTCATATTGAAGACTTTACCAACAAGAGAGGCAGTCGACAAATTTGCCCAGAAAGTTCATGAAGATGTTAAAACAGCATGTGGACGTGAAGGTATTGTGCAGCTGAAGTACAATAATTGTGTTTCTGCATGATCCATGTGGTTCCTTGCTAGTATATTCTGTTTGGTGTTGTGTTCATCCTTCATGCATATAGTACACACTTTGTGCATTTACAGCTGTCAATATGGCTATTACTGAGAGAGGTTTTGAGCTCTCAAAGGACGGTGCTACAGTGCGTATACTGGTGACTACAATTCTTCCAAATATTCGTAAACTCAATCCTGAGTTGCACTTGGATGCAAAGATTATACAAAGCCACCTAGCAGCTGTTCGTCACAGGTATGATTAAAAACAATTTTTGATCGATTTGTGAAAAGGCATGGTGAGTTTTCTTTCAAGCGACATATCATTATAATACTTTTTTCTAAATGGTTCCAGCCGCTGGTTTGAGGAAAACGCTCATCACTCAAGCATCAAAGTCCTGATTCGTTTGTTGAGAGACCTTAGAAAACGATTTGAAGGACTTGAACCTTTATCTCCTTGGATGTTGGACCTATTGGTTTGTATACTTTTAATAAACGGTTTAACATGTTTTATTTTCAAAGTACTCTTTATTTGACACCTCTGCTTGAACATACTTTCTAACTTTGACAGGCTCACAATGCAATTTTAAACAATCCTGGCCGCCAAGCCCTTCCAATCAACATTGCTTATCGGCGATGCTTACAGCTCTTGGCTGCAGGTCTATTTCTACCGGGATCAGCAAGTAAGGCACAGTTTTCTTAAAGCTTTTATTTACTACCAATGTGGACTCTACAAGTACAGTGAATATGCTTTCTCTCTTTAGGCATCACTGATCCCTGTGAAAATAACAACATGCGGGTACATACTGCAATGACTTTAGAGCAGCAGGATCAAGTTTGTTTAACAGCTCAAACACTTCTCAGAGTTCTCTCTCATGGTGGTTACAAACGGATTTTAGAAGGAAATTCCCGTAAGTTGATTTTGGTTTGGACTGGTCTTTACCAGATGCCTACCAATGTTTGTATTAATTTTTATTTAATTTGTTTAGCGGATATCACTTCAGACACCTCTGTGTGGGAAGACGTTGTTGTTTCACCACTAGAAAAAGCGTATGAGAAGCCTCCAGAGAAGAAAGAGGATGAAGACATGGAAGATGCACCGGCTGAAGAAACCATGGAAACTTGAAAAGACTGTATGGATTGTCGTTTGTGTAACCAAACAAGTGTGTTATTCTTTCATTTTGTTTTATTGAATTTTATGTTTATCAACATAGTTTTTGTTGAACTAAGTACTAAGCTAGTACTTGCCTGCACAATGTTGCACCAACATTTTTATTTTTTCACTTGTGTTCTTGTACTCACATTATTCATTTTTTCAGTGAGATCCATAGTTTGAGTATTAAACCTGTAGTCACATCCATCAATCATTATTTCTGTATTTGTTCTTGTCAGAGTACAATATTATGAAAGTATGAAACTTCAGCTATCAGTGGCAAATTTTGATCAGTGTTTGTCGTGAGGGAATAAAACAAAGCACTATGTACAAAAAGATTTATGTGGTTGATTATTAAAAAATTTTGTATTCTCATTTGGAAGGGCAAGCTTAATTAAATCCTATGGACTTTCAACATTCAAATCATAAAGCTGAAGAAGATTTTTAAGATAATCAGCTATAATACAGCCTTTCACTATTTTTACCTTAACAATTGAAACCATTTCTCCTGGAATGTTTTCTCATGTTCAATAATGATGGTCAAATAAGTACAAAAAGTTCACACACTAATGTCTCATGAATACTAATGGCAATAAAACTGACAATGTTGCTGAATGAAATTAACTACTGAACATAGTGAACTAAAGTTATTAAGGCACAAACTTTGCATCCGAGCAAAGGAAGCATGTGTAAATTTAATCAAAGCATATTAGGTACAAATGAAAAAAATCAATATCTAAAAATCTATATCTTCAACTTATTAACGATTCAATCTTAACAACAAACAAGTCACAAAAAGTGAATTCAGTAAAAAATACAACAATGTTTAAAATGAATGTCATGCAAATCTATAATAAAAACTGAACAAAAATATCACAATAGGCAAAATTTGCACTTCTGTCCTAAGTTCTTTCCCAAAATTTGCAATCGAAGCTATTCACTTTTTCAAGTGTAGAAAAATGTCTCTGATTTAAGAGCCTCAATAAGCACCTGAGGTAATTCCAAAATGCACTCTCTCATTCTCCAACCAATAGAATGCACTGTAGTCTTTTGGTGAGACCCACTGAAAAAAAAGGAGGGAGATAGGTCAAGCTTGTTTTCTACTGGAAACAAACATCACATTTCAATTTTATTTGTTCCATACCCTCGGCTCTGCGCATCCACTTGGGCTTGCTCCAGACAACACCAATGTAGTAAGCTGGTATTCCCGACAAAGTGATGAGGAGTCCCATAACTAAAAACACAAAACAACATCATCATCAATGAAAATTATGAAAAGAAAATATGTTCAATTGTCCTACATGTCATCTCATACCAAGAATCACTGGTGAAAATGGGATCAGGATTTTCTGATCACTTAGAACTGATCGCTTTCTGGATCAGAATATAGAAGATCAAAAAAGAACCTGATGAACACCTTTTCTGATGTTTTTGTCCTGAATTCTGATCACGTTTCTGATCATCATGGTTCTGATCCTCGTGAGAGTGGAATCAGAAATTGTATTATCAAGTCATCTGACCGAATATTTTCATGGTCATGTACATGTAAGATACCATAAGATACGAAGATGAGGCAAACTGCTCTAGGGGGTCAAAACATAGTCCGATCCATTTCTGCAATCCGCATCGGCTCTCAAAATGCCAGAAGATATGGTCCAAATTTCATGGCCTTGAAAATGCCCTAGCCAAATGTTGTGAACATACCGCTCAACAAATTTGAAACCAAAATTCCAAAAACTTTCTATTTTACAGGCATCAAGACTTTTCAGTTGTAAGGATTTTCTGATGGTTTTGCATGTCATCAGAATGCCTTTGTTTTCTGATGACTCTATTGTGGTCACTGTCACGTCATCACACTTGCCTTCTAATCACTTTGAGTCAGAAATTTCCCCTGATCACTTGTATGCGATCAAACTTTTTCTCTAAACACTTCACAGTTGTCATAAATTCTTGTAACTCTGATGTTAATTTTTTCTGGTAATGCACCACTGATCAGAAAATCACAACTTTTATCAGAAAAATGGGGAAATGATCAGAGAATTCGGATCCCATTTTGAGGGGTCCTAATCAAAAGATCTTGTCTGCGCGTTCCCCCCAAGACAATCTTATCTTAAACGCAGGCAAATTTCACTCAGTTTGATCATTTGGTACAGCTACAAATCAATATAATTTGTGACTAAATTCACTGAAATGTGAAGATGAAAGATCAAAGAAACCAACAGTACATGCAGAAATATATTCCGCTTACTCTCGTACCCATCCTAAATGGTCAAACTGAGTGAAATTCGCCTGCGTTTAAGATAAGATTGTCTTGGGGGGAACGCACAGATGAGATCTTATGAATAGGACCCCTCGATTTACACCAGTGAAATAAGGGGGCCGTGCTCCGCACTTCCGAGAAACCTCGTTCCTGCCTCGCGGTGCACGCAGGGAAGTCCAAAGCCACGGCATGCTTCGCTGCTTCGCATGCTTACATGTGTACCACGGCTGTGCCCAGGCCCCGATGGCCACGATGCTGAGGCACACCACCAGGAAGGCGAGGGCATACTTACATGTGTTCCACGGCTGTGCCCAGGCCCCGATGGCCACGATGCTGAGGCACACCACCAGGAAGGCGAGGGCATACTTACATGTGTTCCACGGCTGTGCCCAGGCCCCGATGGCCACGATGCTGAGGCACACCACCAGGAAGGCGAGGGCATACTTACATGTGTTCCACGGCTGTGCCCAGGCCCCGATGGCCACGATGCTGAGGCACACCACCAGGAAGGCGAGGGCATACTTACATGTGTTCCACGGCTGTGCCCAGGCCCCGATGGCCACGATGCTGAGGCACACCACCAGGAAGGCGAGGGCATACTTACATGTGTTCCACGGCTGTGCCCAGGCCCCGATGGCCACGATGCTGAGGCACACCACCAGGAAGGCGACGGGCACGACGAGCGGCACCCGGATCGGCCGCGGCACGTCGGGCTGCGTCCAGCGGAGCACCAGCACGGACACCACGGACAGCGAGACGAACATCCACAGCACCTGGCTCATGTACTCGATCAGGGTGTACACGTCGGCCGCCACGACCATGGCGCTCGCCAGCACGCCCTGCATCAGGACAAGTAGAGGGGTCAGTGGTTGAGAGTGCGAGGGCGACGGGGGCGACGGGCTCGCCAGGCTCACCGTGATGACGAGCGCGGGCGCGGGGGTGTGCTTGTGGACGTGGCGCAGCGCGAGCACGGCCGGGAGGTGGCCGTTCTGCGCGCCGGCCTCGAACAGGCGGCCCGACGTGAACAGGATGCCGTTGATGCTGCCGAAGCACGACAGCGACACGAACAGCGGCACCATCCACGGCACCAGCGGCAGCTTCTTGTCCCCGAAGATCTGCCGCCAGAGAAGGGCATCACAGAGTTAAGGGCAAGCGCGGGTCCAGTAAGGGGGCAAAACGACAATTGACGTCCTTGGCCTCTAGATAGCCCCCTGCAAGGTAGGCAAAAGGGGCACTCTCTGCCCGCTCTGCCCCTGGAGCATTAGTGCTACGATAGGCCAGCTCTGAATCCGCCACGAGGGGTGACCCACTGTAAAATTTTGTGTACAATGATTGTGCGAATGTGCAAGAATGTGCAAGATTTCCGGTGTTTTCGCCACATGTGTTGCCTACTTACTGGCGTTTTTGGCACCTGAATGTGGAATGGGGTCAAATTTTGTACAATGAATGTGGGAAGCTGTTCCCCCCTCGATCCGGCACCGGTTGGAAAGGGGGCCGAAGTCGCCTCCCTGAAGTCCAATGCGAGGACTCACCACGGCGATGGCGAAAGACGACAGCATCTCCGGCTTGGTGAGCACGATGAAGTAGGCGGCGTTGACGAGGACGTACACCAGGGTGACGAGGGGGACCGCCAGGCAGATGGCGCGCGGCAGGTTCCTGCAAAATACGGAAAATGATGGACCAGTCGTGATAAGGGAGAGCCTGCGGAGGGAGGGTGGAGGTTGTCAGAAGCGCTTCGTAAGGCGTTCCTCCCTCCTCCTTCGTGGGGCAAATTCCCAGCCCTTTGCCCCCCGCCCCTCTGACCCGCCGACATTGCCCCGCCGCCCCGACAGAGACCGGGTGCTGGCCAAAGCTGGCTGGCGCCTGTTGCGTGGCGCGGCACGCACAGTGGGCCAGAAGACCGGTGGAGGCGGCCAAAACTCTAGACGCGTTTTGAGCTCCAGCGTCGCTAAATGGGACTCGAATCGAACGTGTGACCCCACCAATGGATTGCTCTTCGAACGAGGAATCCATTGGTGGGGTCACACGTTCGGTTCGAGCCCTGTTTAGCGACTTTACCGCTCAAAACGCGTCCAGAGTTTTGGCCGCCTCCCCCGGTCTTCTGGCCCACTGTGGCACGGCGGGGCTCTGTTCGAAATGGCCCGACGAGCCTTTGTCCGAAACATGACGGGCGTCTTGTTCTGACGCGGCCCGCCTGGAGCGGCCTTTGCAGACGAGACTGGCGGACCGCCCCGCCTGCGATGCCTGTGTGTCCGGCACAGCAACCAGGTCCGGCTTTGGGGCTCGCCACGGCGCCACGCCCAGGGCAGAGGCAGGAGGCAGGCCAGAGGGCGGTGGCGGCAGGGTGCGCGAGGGTGGTCGGGTCGGTGGGGGTGTGCGGGAGGTGCTGGGCAATCGTGAGAAACCCACCCCGAGACCGAGGGTCGGGCCACTGCCGGGGCACTGTCGGGGCACGGCCAGGAGCCGACATTTTATCGCAGAGACGTTCATTAGCAATTGAAAGTCGCGGCAAGACGAATGGCGCGGCGCCGCCCCGCCCCGAGGCCGCACGGATCCACCCACCACAACCACACTCGGCCACGGCAGCCAGGTGTCGGTACGCGCGTTCCAGCCTTATCTCACTTCCGGTTTCGCACCGGGAGTCGCATGAGTCGGGGCGCCAGAGACACCGATCCCAGTGTAGGGCCGCCCATGGCCAGCCACTGTCATTCCCCGGAGGGGTTGGGGTTGGGGATGGGGCTGGGGGCTCGCAGCGCCCACTCAGAGGATATTGCGGGGCGGCGGGGCTCCGTGGTGCCATGGTGGTGCTCTGTGGGACGGACGGGCGTAAATGCGAGCAGCGGGGGAGGGGATGGGGAGGGGAAAACGGCGAGGGGAGGGGGGGACAGGGCAAACACGGCGGCGCTTTTCTTCACAAAAAGCAGACGATTCTCGCTGCAGCTTTCGTCTCTGTCTCTCTCGCACCCGTGGCGGGCGTCCCGTGGAGGTGCGAGGGAGAGAGATAGATCGACGAACGCAACGGAATCAAACTGCTGCCGACGTTCGGATCGCCGTCAAGAAGCGGGGCGGCGAGGAGCAGGTAAGGGGGATCGTCGAGGGGCGGGCCGGGGAGGGGGAGAGGCGCTGCAAGAGCACCCTGCCGCACTAACTAAACCACTCGGCGCGAAACGCCAAACGCTGTCGCCGCGCCCCGCCTGGCCCCGCCCCGCCCGCACCGCCTTCCACCCCGACTCCTGACACGTTCGCGCTCTTCCAGCGCTTCTTTCTCGAGACCAGTCTCTCCTCCGGCCTCGCCGCCCGCTCCGACCAACTTGTTGAACTGTTTGCCGACACTGCCCGGAGAATCGGGATCGGGACCGCGTCTCCGATGAAAATCATCGGCCATTACGCGGCACAAGCGTAACAAGCGCCGGCGATGGCGGAGAAAACAAAAAGGCAGCGGCGGTGTTGGAAAACGCTGCAAGTGCCACTTTGCCGACGAGTTATCCCGGAGGGGGAGGAGGAGGGGGAGGGGAGTCCGGCGAGTCCCGGGTCGGCTTTACGGTGGAGGAGCACGGACACGTGGAGCAGGAGCAGGATTTCCGCGGCAAACTCCGGGCGACGGCTAAGTCGGCGACACGGGCCAATTAGATTTCATTCTGTCCGCTAATTCCCGCTTCCCGCCCGCCTGCAGCCCCATTCCGAACTGCGCTGTCGCCGCTGCGTCTCTCTCCCACCCGCGGGGCGCTCCGTAGGGCGTGGCGAGAGAGACAGACGGCTGCAGGCGTTGCTCGGGTCTGCCAAGGCGGCAGGGGGCGTGTCGCAGTCGCAGCGTCCCAGTCAGTGTACGGGGCCCTTCGCCAAACTCCCGCCGCTTGATACAAAATTAAGTTTCCTCCAATTTTGCCTCATTCAACGGTCTGCTGAGCTGGCGCAGCTAGCGCGCGTCGAGGCGTCTTACTTGTAAGGGTCCTGCAGCTCGTCGATGACGAAGTTGAGCTGGTTCCAGCCGCCGAACGCGAACAGGCCGTAGTAGGCCGCCAAAGCCACGGCGCTCGGCGAGAACTTGCCCTCCCAGGCCGGCGACAGGTTGTCCACGCCATCTGCGGGGAAGGAGAGGAAATTGGGTTAAGAAGTGACAAAGACTCGAGTGAGTGAGTGAGTGAGTGAGTGAGTGAGTGAGTGAGTGAGTGAGTGAGTGAGAGAGAGAGAGAGAGAGAGAGAGAGAGAGAGAGAGAGAGAGAGAGAGAGAGTGTGTGTGTGTGTGTGAGAGAGAGAGAGAGAGTGTGTGAGTGTGTGTGTCGCCGACCAGCCGTTCAGGCCGACGTTTGCTCGCAGTGTCCACGCCCCGCGGGGCCCGCAGAGGCCTTCAATGTACAGATTGGCTTGAGTGACTCGCGTCGTCGATTCGATTCTCGTCGATCTGATCCGCGCGCCGAGCGAGGCGTCGCGGCGTGGAGCAGCGCGGCGCGATGACGGCACTCTGCTTTCACTCATCGGCGGAGGGGACGCGCTCCGCCTCGCCGTCAACAAGTGCGTACCTCACAGTGGGCCAGAAGACCGGTGGAGGCGGCCAAAACTCTAGACGCGTTTTGAGCTCCAGAGTCGCTGAATGGAACTCGAACGGAGCGTGTGACCCCACCAATGGACTCCTCGTTCGGAGAGCAATATATTGGTGGGGTCACATGTTCGGTTCGAGTTCCATTCAGCGACTCTGGAGCTCAAAACGCGGCTAGAGTTTTGGCCGCCTCCACCGGTCTCCTGGCCCACTGTGTACCTGTGGCGGCTGAGACGGCGCCCAGGACGATGAAGAGGATGAGGGCGAGGATCTTGGCCCAGGTGAAGACGCTCTGCACGCGCATGGCCAGGCGCACCGACGCGCTGTTCACCGCCGTCAGCAGCCCTGACAAACAAAACAAACACCGTGGAAATAGACCGAGTACCCTGGCCGAGCGGGAGTCCGCGCCCCGAATCGAAGAGTCGATCGGAGTCTAGCAGTCGAGTGCAAGGCAACTCCATTTTAACTGCATTAATGATTGTTTGGTGCCGCCATGGACGGACGTCGACGGACGTACCTAGCCCCGCCACGGCGAGCAGCTTGATGACGGCCTCGGGCGGCTCGCAGTCCGAGAAGAAGGGCTTGGCGGCGTACGAGGCGAAGGTCCTCGCCATGACGGCCAGCGGCGTGGGCTGCAGGATCACCAGGGAAGTCCAGAGCTGCAGGAAGCCGCACAGCGGGCCCAGCGCCGTCGTCAGGTACGCGTACTCGCCGCCGCTGCGGTTCACGACGGTGCCCAGCTCGGCGTAGCACAGCGCGCCCAGGCAGGAGAAGACGCCCGCCAGCATCCAGATGACCAGGCTCAGGCCCACGGACTCGGTCTCCTTGAAGACGCCGGTGGGGGAGACGAAGATGCCCGAGCCCACGATGGAGCCCACGATGAGAGCCACGCCGCCCGCCAGGGTGATCTTCCGCAGCGGGGCCTGCTTCTCCTGCTTCGTCGGCGACCCGGGGTCAGCGCCGTCGGCGCCCTCGGCGCCATCCCCGGTGGCGGTCATGTCGCGCGGTCACCTGAGGAGGAAGGCCACTTTGAAGAGCTTCGACGTGACGGCCAGCAGCAGGCCCCATAAAAGTTGTCCCCACTTAACGGATGGCTGCAAGACCCCGAAATGAGCAGTGCGTCGTGCGTCACGCCGTCGGCGTCGTCTTGGCCCCGGGCTTGGCCCGCCCCGCCTACAAGCACGGCGCCAGCGCGCCAGGCCGCGTGCATGCCTCGGGCCGTGCCGCCGGGCCGCCTTGCGTCGCGCCACCCATTCTCGTGGGCGCCTCGGCCGCCTCGGCGCGCTAGACGCGCCGCCTCTACACTGGAAAGGCCCCGTCCATCACGGGACCAGTAAGGACCCTCGCAGTAGGGCACACCAGCTTTGCTTCTCTTGGGGACACTTCGAGTGTTTTCGCCGAGCCGGAATGCGTTATTAACCCATCCATATCCATTCATTCATTCATTCATTCATTCATTCATTCATTCATTCATTCATTCATTCATTCATACGCCCATTCATTCATTCATTCATTCATTCATTCATTACGCATTCCATTCACATTCATTCATTCATTCATTCATGCATTCATTCATTCATTCATTCATGCATTCATTCATTCATCTGCATTCATTCAATTCATGCTCATTTCATTCATTCATGCATTCATTTCATTGCATTCATTCATTCATTCATCATTCATTCATTCATCATTCATTCATTCATCATTCTTCATTCCGCCTTCATTCATCGCCCATCATTCATTCATCCGCCCATCATTCATTCTCATCCATTCATTCATTCCATTCCTCCCATTCATCGCCATTCATTCCCCCGCCCACATTCATGCCATTCATTCATCCGCCCATGCATTACATTCCCTTATCCTCTCTTCCTTCCGGTTTCCCTCCCTTCCATCGGTACCACACTACCACACACTGACGACACATGGAGCGCACTCGTCATGCATATGCAGGTTGCACTTGCGCCCTCCCCTTTTCCCACGTGTTGCATTCGCGCCCGCCCGGCTGGATTGGATGTCGCAGAGGGTCCCACACCGCCGCGCAGCTGGCTACCACCGGCCAGATATTCAATACCGAACCGCGTACATTTCATGACTCGCCGTGAGCGAGATGCGCCGGCGTGTAGCAGGCTGCTTCCCAAGAGTCGTTTTGTCGCCTGTCTCTGTCCACTCACGGGGCAGATGGCGACGAAACGACTCCCCGGTCATCGGTCCGCGCTGTGCACGGCTGTGCGCAGGACAGCGCAGGGCCACGCGGCTGAGTTGCGCGGCGTGCGACTTCACCTGCCATCGATCCAACGACCGGCAACACGCCGGCAACCCTCAGCGCCGAGCTGCGACCGATAGCGGGCTGCAGGACACGGCGGACAGGTGGCGGCAGGACGACTGTCTCCTCGGCCTCCTCCAGGCAACCAATGAGCTGACACGGCGGACAGGTGGCGGCAGGACGACTGTCTCCTCGGCCTCCTCCAGGCAACCAATGAGCTGACACGGCGGACAGGTGGCGGCAGGACGACTGTCTCCTCGGCCTCCTCCAGGCAACCAACGAGCTGACACGGCGGACAGGGGCGGCAGGAGACTGTCTCCTCGGCCTCCTCCAGGCAACCAATGAGCTGACACGGCGGACAGGGGCGGCAGGACGACTGTCTCCTCGGCCTCCTCCAGGCAACCAATGAGCTGACACGGCGGACAGGTGGCGGCAGGACGACTGTCTCCTCGGCCTCCTCCAGGCAACCAACGAGCTGACACTGCTCCGCGCGCGGCCGCGGCGACACTGACAGACGTCGCGCTGACGCGCCGCGGTAATGCATACTCAAACACGTCGGCAGTCAACACCGCGCGAAAGCGCCACGCCTACCTGGAGGAGCCGGCCAAGTCGGCAAAGCGCGCGCGGCGCCGCCGCCGGTGTTCGAACCCGCGCGCCGCGCTCTGCTCCAGGCCGACGATTAGGGCGCGAAGGCAGTCAGGCCATTTCACCTCCCAGTGCATCGCCGTCCGGGTGGATGGGGGAGGCGGAAGGGGGGGGGGGGCGACAGAATGGGCTCATAGTCGACACTTTTCCAAAGCGATAGCACTCAGCAAACACGGGCACGCCGCGGGCAGCACGCAGGCAGGGCAAGGGCAGGGCCAAAGGCGCCCCGCGGGGAAGGACAGGGTGACTGACCCACTGGAAATTCAATGCCCTTCAACAGCGATCAATTAAAACACGTACCGTGACATCAAAAACTTCGAAAAAAATGATTCTCGTAATAATTCAACGACGGTTTTAGAAGTGAAACTACGGGGCACATGTTTGAGGTTCACCGGCCACGTGACTGGGAATTTTTTCACTGGCTCAACCCTGTTCCACCTGCACGCAACGCACCGGCAATTTTCCATACGGCGCCGTTTTCCCTCGAACTACTACGGGGCCCTGCGGACACACCGAACAAGCCGAACACGCACACGTGCGGCGCGCGGCCGGCCACTGACTTCGCCACTCCGGCCACAGGCCGGGCCGAAGGCGTGGCAGCGCCGGGCTGCCGAAAACAGGCGGGCGGCACAGAGCAAGCAAGGGCAAGTAGCACAACACGGATGACGACATACCTCTGTCGGCTCCTGGAGGCAACGGTTCCCTGCGGTTCCCGGCGGCCGGCGAGTTGCACTGAACGGCACTGGCGGACCCGACGGCGGCCGGACGCCGACTGCCGCTCTGCCGGCTCTGCCGCTGCCGCAGGAGCAGTACGTGAGGCTGGTGGGGATGCCAGGCTGACGATTTGGCGATTGCGGAAAAGCCGAAACGGGCGTACGCGGCGTGCGGCGCGCGGGGCCGGCGTGAGGTTGAGGTTCCTGGTCGACTGTCGAAGGACTCGGCAAGGCAAAGGCAGAGGCAGGACCCGCGCACTCGCCTCGTCCGTCGCCCCGGCCGGCACCGTCTCCCCGACTACCGCCACGCCACGCCTGTTCTGTTCGTTCCTCGTTCGTTGGTTCGGCTCGGCTCGGCTCGGCTCGGCCGCTTTGCTTGGCGCCTTGTCCGGTCCGGCCTGCGAGTGCGAGTGAGAGAGAGCGACTCGGCGGCGCGGCGGCGGCAGCGTCAGCGTCCACCCCTCCCCCTTTCCCCGCCAGGCCGCGCAGCCCTTCCCCGACGCCGTCCCCTCCCCTCCCCTCCCCCTCCTCCTTCCCCGCCGTCGAACCGCGACTCGCGCTCGGCAAGGATCGCGGCGTCGCCTCCTCCCCTGTCCTCCCCATTCCCTCCCTTTTTCGACGATCTTTCCCCTAAAATGAGGCGACCTGTTGAGTGGGGTGCGTGCCGCCAGCGTGCCGCGCCTAGAGTCCGCATGGATAGCACCAACATGAAGCGGTATTGCGTCAGACGGCGGCAAGGGTACCACCGCGCCAATCGGACTTGAAACAGCACGCGGGTGCTGGGTACGCTCACACAGGGGTTTGCCCGTCGCGCCCTCTCGCGTGCACGCATGGAAAACCATTAAACATATGGGGCCTGAGGTTTTTCTTTCGGTCCATCACTTTCCCCTCGAGGCGCGGTTACACTGGCTGGCTGGCTCGAGGCGGGAGGTTTGGCCGCCCTGGGGGCACTGCTGGCACTGCTGGCGCTGCTGCTGCGGCGACGGGGCGGTGGCGCCGCGCCGCGCGGCAGGACGGGCAGGACGTCGAGACCCACTCTGAGTCCTCGTCCTCCAGTCGCGACTCCTCCTTGCCCGGCCCGGCCACGCCGAGGCGCATGAGTCTCGCTCCGGCGGCAACCTCCCGGTGCATCCCGGTCTCGGGGACTCGAAGCTCTCTAGGGTCGACCCACTTCCGGTCGCGATCGACTTCGCATATCGATTTCGCGCCTATTTCGAGTTTTATCGCCCAGCGTCCTGTTTTAGTGAGCTCTGCCGCCGAAACAAAGTGTCGTTCAGCGTGAAAAAGACTGGTAAAGGGGTATTTGTCGGCGAGATGGATAAGATCGAGGCGGGGCGGAAGGTTTTAATTGGCCGCGAGGAGTTGCTGTACTTTTGACGGCGTTCCGAAACAGTTGTTGTTCTGCAACGTACCGCGGCGGCTGCAAAGACAGGTAAGTACAGTAACAGTTCAGCAATGCCGATTGCCACAGAGACGGTGCACTTGGTTCCAAAAGTGTGTATGAAAGCGATGGGAGGCGGTCATTCCCTGTTCTCTCGCTGCGCTCAGGGACACCATTTTAGAACGCGCCCTCGGCGGACTCAGCGGGGGGTGACTGACAAACAACGTCGCCACACGTTGATGCAACGACTGCCCCCTTTGCACGCATGATGCAAAAGAGCAGTCAGTAACTGCACACCGCAAGGTGAGACACTAGGATAGCCGTTTCATTAAGAAAAACGTTTCTGTTCCAACTTCAATGTGAATCAATGTTTTTGTCAGGAGCTGCATCGACTATCGACCCTCGATGTCCGGAACATAGGATGCTGGGCTGCCGCCAGCACTGCTTCACCACGGCGCCGGGCGTCGGCGGCGACCCCTGGAGCAGCGCGCTGACGCCCCCGGCCACCCCCACGTCGCCGACGCCGTCCACGCCGTCCACGCCGTCCACGCCAGTCCACGCCGTCCACGCCGTCCACGCCGTCCACGCCGTCCACGCCTTCCACGCCGTCCACGCCGTCCACGCCGTCCACGCCTTCCACGCCGTCCACGCCGTCCACGCCATCCACGCCATCCACGCCGTCCACGCCGTCCACGCCATCCACGCCGTCCACGCCGTCCACGCACGCCGTCATCTTCTTCAGTGAGTCTCTCCCACCCACAACAGCCGAACCCAGCACTCGAAGTGAAACGAACTTTGCGCGGCTACGACGACCCCCTTCGAGTCGAAATTCAAAGCTCGCGGTCGCCATTAATTCTTGCGGTTGCCATGGCGACGCGGCGACGCGCCGACGGCGGCGGCATGAGCGGGGCCCGAGGCGGCCGAGGCATGGCGGGCATGGCTCCCCTGCGAGGCCTGCGCGCCTCCTATGGACGCTTCCTCCGCGGAGGACGCAGCGGACGCCTCGGCCCGGACAGGCGGGCCTCCGGCACGGCGACGCCCCCTCGCAGTAACAATGTCGTTCCAGAACCGTCCGAGAAGCGGCCCGCCGACTCCAGTCCGGAGCTGCTGCCCCCGGAGCACCCGGAGCACCCCGCCGACCGCGACCGCCCCTCCGAGGCCGCCGCTTGCGGATGGAGTCTGCGCAGTCGGCGACACAGGTGAGGCCCTCAAAACACGGCCGGCTCGGCCGGGTTTCGAACCCACGGCCCACTGCGCGCCGCGCCGGCTGATGCGTGCGTGTGTTGGTGCAGGGTGTCCGCGCGCCCCGTGAAGCGCCTCTTCACGCCAGACATCAAGAAGATGCTCAAGGGGTGGCTCGTGCGCCGCAGAGACAACCCCTACCCCAGCCGGGCCGAGAAGGAGGCGCTGGCCACGCGGACGGGCCTCACGTACATGCAGGTGCGTGTGTGACACACTGTGCGCGCGCCCGCGCGGCCGAGTGAAGTGGCCAACGCATGCTGAACCGTTGATTTACCTGAAGCGTGGTAACGATTTGGAAGGTCCTGTGCTGGCGTCCTTCCCCAGGTCTGCAATTGGTTCGCCAACTGGAGGCGCAAGCTTCGTGACTGCGGCCGGCCCGAGGACGGCGTCGAGGAGGGTGGCGACGACGGCCACCAGGACGGCGGGGAGGGGGGCTCGGGGAGCGAACCGTCCTGGGCGCACCTCATCCGCCGGTACAACGCCATCGCCGCCGCCGACGACGCGGCCAACGGGCAGGAGCACTTCTCCATCTCCTCCAGCGACTCGATCTGGGCCGCGGACACGGTGGCAGGTACACCACGATGTAGGCACCCAACGAACCGACGCGCTTGGCGGTGCCTGCGCGTCAAGGCGGTCGATGCCGTCGGGGAAAACTAACCGACAGGCGGCTGTGTTTGTTGCAGGCGCGTCGCGAACGGTGACGTCCCCGCCGAGCCCTCAGAATGCGTTCGTGAGCTCCACGACCACCGACACCTTGACGGACACCGAGGTGACGGCCGTCCCGGGGCGCGACATTCGACCGGGCGTTCCCTCCCATTCCCCTCTGACCCGCGGCCGCCTCTGTGCGCAGGTCGCCAAGAGCCCCCTGCGAGATGCGCCGCATGATGAAGGCGGCACTGACGGCGCCCCCAAGGCCTTGCCCGCCGCCTCGGGGGCCAAGACGGGGCCCGAAGACGACGACCGCGCGGACAAGGCGGCCGCCCTCCTCGACGACGCGAGCGTGGCCCTGGACACGGCCTTGGACACGGCCTCCTCGGCGCGCTCGGGGTCCGCGCTGCTGCTCAGCAAGTGGCTGGAGAGCGCGGCGCGGTACCAGCCCAGCGCCTCGCCCGTCAACGCCAAGCACAGCCAGAAGCTGCCCGCCGGCTGGGGCATCGCCAGTGCGTTGACGGGCTTTACCTGCGGCTTGGCCTGCGGCGTCCAGAGTGGCCACTGCAAGGGCCGATGCACAGTGGGCCAAAAGACCGGTGGAGGCGGCAAAAATTCTAGACCCTTTCTAAAAGCAGAGTCGCTGAAATGGGACTGGAACCGAACGTGTGGCCCCGCAGATGGATTGCCCTTTGAACGAGGAATCCATTGGTGGGGTCACACATTCGGTTCGAGTCCCAGTTAGCGACTCTGGAGCTCAAAACGCGTCTAGAATTTTGGCCGCCTCCACCGGTCTTCTGGCCCACTGTGCGATGGCGCCACTGGCCTCTAGAATAACGATCACACTCTCTGCTTGCCACAGGCGCGGCCGTGGAGCACACACTGGAAGGGCGCCACAGGAAGGAGCTGGACGCGGCCGAGGCCCTCGCGTTCCTGTCGTCGCTTCACTTCCGGTAGCTGCCGTGGCTGAGGCCGTGGCGCGCGCAGGTCCAACGCGCTGACCTACTTTTATTGGCTTGACTTGTGGAGGCAAAAAGCCGGCTGCCTCTCGAAAGAAATAAAAAATACGGCTCCTATGTTTGTTCTTAAGTCTTTTGTATTGTAATTTTTTAAATGTTTAGTTTTCTGACGTAGCAGAAGACGGAGGAAATAGAGGATGAGTCATTCTAGTCCCGCCTGTATTTTTGAGGTTTAAATAAATGAAATTGGAATTGTAAAAATTTATTGAAATATTCATTCTGATGTCTCACATTAACCGCATCGTAAAATAACTTTCCGTTTCCTTACAAAATCTTTAGTAAATTGATAAATTTGAATACCTATTCCAGTACTTGTCACAAGAGAAAGATTTTAAGTTTAAACTTGGTAGAAATTAATTAACATTAGTTACTAGAGATGAGTGCGTGAATGGTACTGCGCATTTTACTGATGTCCTTTCCTTTTAAGTAACAAGTCGTCTTTCAAATCTCATTATTTAAATACAGGAAACCAAGCGAAAGAGTGGAGCGTTTCAGACAAGGACGAGTGGCAGTTTTACTGAATTAACGACAATAAAAAACAAAGAAAACAACAACAATCAATGACAATGGCATTAAAACAAATGAAAACAGGTGGGGCAATGTGAACAAAATAATGATATACTGCAGCAACACACAGCCAAGATGACGGAAATGATAAAGCATGACAATGTACAATTAGCCTAGACGTCCGATCTTACGCGATATCACAACACCAAACAACTAAATTAAACGAACATACATTCTCATCTTCGCCACCGAACGAATGATGACTGCCTGGGGAATACTCCACACCATTTTCCGTCAGGTTGGCTGAACATTGCAATGGACACTCTTGTGTTTCTCTTCCCGGCAGAAATCCCGCCAAAAAACAAGTAAGCACTCTGCACGGCCCGAAGCGCGCTTGCAAGCAAAGACGAGTAAGGCCAAGAAAACATTCACCGCAGCAGCGCAGGCCCGGCAGACCGGCAAAGCCAACAATTTCTTTCTTTTCAGAGGAAAAAAAGAAGAAACAACGCGTGAATACATTTTTACAGAACAAGATTTGATCAGCCCCACGGTATGACGCGTTGGGACATTAACAAAGCGTACCAACAATTAGCATTGAAATTTCTCGTCATTTTGCACACTCACGATACAGATACCACGGTAACCCACAGCGGGTTTGCGTCTGTGGAATGGATTTGCCTACATCGGCCAGACTCCAGAGTATAACATAAAACAAAACTCAAAAGAAAAAAAAATGCAATACATATTCCTCACAATTATTACATTTTAAACAACAACAATCAAATAACATAACATTCAAACAATAACAGATGGATGTAATGATAAGGGATTGACACGAAGAGGAGAGGCGTCAATACATCATGAACACCGTGTATGGCACGGGGGTAGCAAGGGATGGGATACAAATAATATTAAAAAGAAACAATGTTGAATACAAAAATGAATTAAGGTAAATTTCACATTGTTTGGTACATACGGTGGAAATATCAACAATCGCCAATTGAACACACTTTTGCACACCTGAACGATGGTTCCCCACATCAGAACACCACACTTAGCTATCCTGGGTTTGCAGTTTTGCCTACATTCCTAAAAATCCACGTACTTTAAAGGAAAAACACTTTTTTGTATGTTCGGAATGTACTTAGTGTGCGTGGCGGTTAAAAGTTACTGTCTTAATGTTCTGCATTCCGCCTGCCCCCAGTAGTGCGAAGTTTGTGACGATTTAAGTTCAGGTGTGTATTTTGTAAATTATGACGGATTCATCTTCCCATTTCAGATCTACGATTTCTGGCGGAGATTTTAAACAGTCATAAGACTTCCCGTTCGCCGTGGTGAATGCTGGACTCTATTTATTCGACAACATGGAAACCACAGTGGCAATGGGGACCTCCTATGTGGCAATTGAAAATAATCTAGCAACTCAAAAACTTTGTATCCATTTTCTGATGCTTTCAGCTAATGTCTTCACAGAGAAATCATATCGACTTGGCAACTTCACATACCTCGTCTATAGGAACTACAATGCGTGTCATACAAAGTAGGTACTAAAATAAAGTGTATCTATAAAGGCACATCAGTGTTACTCAGCTAGAGTATCTAACAGGAGAACGAGTTACCAATGATATGCTTCATTTAGAAAAAAAGGCAATTCTTGAAAGATACACTGTATACAACATAGGCTATACATAGACCGCTGACCTCCGCAGAGAGACATTACAATACATTATTACGAAAATTATGTACAGTAAATTAATTTAATCGTCTTCCTTCCGTCCATTTACAGGAAACTTCCCCGACGCGCGAGGTTGAGAACCTCCCAAGAGACACGTCCCAGGTCACGCAGGACTCGAGGAGTCAACTCGATGCGACGTCGGCAGCGCGGAGCTCCCGTCCTTTTAGTAGATTTACATGTATTTACAAATAGTTCACAAGTTTTGATCCACTCAAACAGCCAGCTGGGCCGGCACTATGTCAGTAGCTTGAAGAACATGATGGCCAGGGAAATGTTGACAAAGAGCACCAGCATGACGAGCTGCTGCCGCGAGAACCAATCCTGGAACAGCAACACATAACGTTAGGACAACGCCAACCGCCCTTCCCTCCGCCCGCCCCGCCCCGCCCTACTCACGATCACCGTGTAGGAACCAATTTGACTGAGCAGGCCTTCAAAGCAGCAGCAGTGCAAGAGTGCCGAGTGTTCTAACAGCTCATTGTACAGCAACACACACACCGGCGTGACGGCATTTCAGATGCATGCCAACACAGAGTGGTCCTCTCTTACCCACAACCATGCACTGGAGTATCTGTTCCAGAGCTGATGTCATTGGGTCGTGGTCTTTTAGCTTTGGTCCTCAATGGTCATGAGCATCACCAGACTGGCCAGCACGCGACCTCATGGAGGCCGTGAGCGTGGCCTGCCATTGAATGATGTACACAGCCTGTCACGTCGCAGTCGTCTGATTCCGAACAGTGCGTTCCTCGCTCTGTCCCTCTCGCACTCTCGCGGCGCCCCGTGGTGGTGCAAGAGGGTGACAGGGCGAAGAGGCACTGTTGAGAATGGAGGCGCGGCCCTACTTACCTTGACGTGCGGGCTGACGAGGTAGAGGAGCGGGTTCGCTCTGAGGCGCTCGTTCTCCTCCTGCAGGCGCCGGATCTCCTCCCGGCGCGCCGAGCTCAGCACCGACACCTCCTCCCTGGACATGGCCTCGTTGGGGGCGGCCGCCACGTCGGGGAGGCTCTTCTTGCGCTGCAGGGGCGACGTCACCGGCACACTCTACGCACACACACACGCACGCACGCATGCACGCGCAGTCAGAGCGTGTCGCCAGCCAGCCGGGGCCTGGGCCGGGGCCGGGGCCGGCTGGGGTGGCGACACACCAACACACACATGAACGGCAGAGGTGGCTTGAAAAGACAGTGAGAACAACAACAACAACAACAACAAGATCCTCCCCTTATCGAAATGAAAAGTGCCAGACGAAACGGGTGGAGAAATACGGTGTGAAAAGCGCGCCGCTAAGCCAAGGTGCGCCGAGTGAGAAACGAAAAGTGGCAAGTGGGAAGGGAAGCGCCTGCAGCGTAGGCCCGCCCGCCGAGCGCGCGTGTCTCGCGGGGCGGCCCGCCCTCGCCTCGACAGGCGCCATGCCTGCGACACGCCGGCGAGGCAGGGTGGCTGCGTCCCGGTGCAGCCGATGCAGATCTCGGAAAGCGACAGCCGCGGGCCCCACGCGGGGCGGGGCGCTGACCCCTGGGGCCTTCAGCGGTTCGGCGGGGTTCCGCGGTCTGGCTGCATGTCGCGTCTTTTTTCAGACCAAGTTGGCGGGGCAGGTTATATTCTGCGCGATGTTTTTGCCGCCTGCCGCCACGGCGGTCTCCACGGCGGTGGCCACGGCGGTCCTCGCGAGCGCCGCCTTCCTTCGATTCGGAATTCAACCGCCGATCTCGCCGCGCCGGCCGAGAAGCACGCCGTCGTGCCCTGCCGAACGACTCCCCACCGGACGACGTCCCCCCGTACCGGCCGTACCTCGACGGGGGCGCTGCTGATCCAGGACTCGCTGGCCCGGCGCGCCATGAGCGCGGGGCTGAACTGGAGGTCCTCCTCATCGTCGTCCTCCACGTACCACATGGACTGCACGGGCTCCATGGCGGAGCGGGGTGCGCGCGACGACGCGCGGGCTGGCGACACGACCGCCACACGGCACTACGCCACCACGACTGGCGCGCGCGACCAGGGGGACGTGGTGGGGCACCGCTAGCGCTGCCGCCGCTGCCGCCGCTGGTGGGGCCGCGGGGCGCGAAGGCCGAGGGGTTGTTTGCGAAGCGCCGCGAAGCACTGCGAAGCACCCGCGGTGGCCGGGCCGGTCCGACTCCTCGACTTTCGACTCCTGCAACGCGACGCGGCCACCGCGCCGCCGCCGACACCGCGCCCCGCCGACGCCGCGCCCCGCCGCGCCCCGCCACGTCCCGCGCCGTCCAGGGGACCTCGCGGCGACCCACACCGACGCTTTTAGCCACAAGCTCTGCTAGATGGGCCCCGCCATGCTGCCAACCGGGGCGGGGCCGCGCCGGGCCGGGCGGGGCGGGGCGGGGGTCCCCGCGGAGGGGGAGGGTGGGGTACTTAGGGGTGGAGGAGGATATGCGGCAAATTGAGGGGAACAGGAAGTGAGGGGAGGGGAGGGGAGGTACAGACGGAGTGCGGTGCCATCAGTCACTTTCGTTCGCACTGGCGTCCTAAACTCTTGTCGGGCGGTCCAGCGACCCGCGCGACCACCGCCTGCCCAGCTCTGCAGATGCGTCGATGCTGCGAACGGAAGTGGGGCGCGGGGCGGGGGAGCGGGCGGCCGGTCGCCGCGAAGACGAGATGGAAACTTGGTTGAGACTGGATAATCGGCAAATTGAGCCGGAACAGAAGTAGGCGCGATGGGACGAGAGCGATTAGCATTCTGTATGGCGGTGCCTCATTCCTTCGGCTCGGGCATGGCGCCGACCTGGGACGGGGCGGCGCACAGCCGCGCGAATCCCGCGCGAGTGCGCGAAATCGTAGACGCGTTTTGAGCTCCAGAGTCGCTAAAGGGACTCGAACCGAACGTGTGACACCATGGATTGCTCTCGGACGAGGAATGCATGGGGGGCACACGTCGTTCCGAAGCTTTAGCGACTCTTTAGCTCAAAACACGTCTAGAGTTTTGGCCGCCTCCACCGGTCTTCTGGCCCACTGTGCGGCGCGCCGCGGCGGGCGGGGGTCGAAAATTCGTGACTCAGTTGTAAACAATGTCTCGCAGGCTCACGCAGGCGTCACGGGGTGCAACGAGCAGACGCCGTAATGAGCCGGCCGGGCCAGGCGGGGGTTCGAATCCCGCCGGCGGACCTTTCTTCTTCTTCTTTTCGCGTTCCCGCGAGGAGTTGGCGAGGACCATGAAAGCGTGGCAAAGCTATTATCAGACTTGCGCCTCGCGCCGTGAACATCTCATTGTGGCTGACATGCCAGGGCTGCCAATCCCTCGGGGAAAGGGGGAGGGGGTGTCCAACACAATCGCGGGAAATTTGTGTCGCAGTTTTTCCTGTTTTGGCGGGTCGCGGATCACGTCGCCCCTCGGCGGTGCGATCCCTTTAACTCTGGGCCGAAATTCCTGCGCGCGGCCTGGGAAATTTCCCCCGACTGAGTTGGCACCGCTGGGACCGAGCGGCGGGCCGAGCGGCGGGGACCAGACAGACCTCAGGTCCGAGACCTGGCGCGCCGTGGCGTGGCGGGCTTGGCAGTCCGTCCGGGGAAGCAGACGACAAAATGCTAACCTTGACTTAATGAGCATAGCAGAGCAGCGGCGAGACCTGGGCGAGTCCCCGAGGCAGCCAGGGCTGCGCCAGGGCGCCCCTCAAAGGGACCCGAAGGGAACCGAAGGGAACCGAACCCAAAGCCGAAACCGTCGTCTATTTCCACCTACTGGCATGCACCGGTTGCACAAGCGGACAATAACACTAATGCTGCAACTAGCTTGTCATTTTCATAACCACTTAATCTACCAGCACAACAGTGAGACAGGCCATTACACTTGTCAGTGTCGAGTGCATTGGTGCGGCACTCTGATCCTCACCTTCACAGCCGTGCTGAGACCCACCGACGCTGATTCCCAATCCATTCCCAGCGGCCCACAAGTCCCGCCACTTCCATCGAAATCCAACAATTTTTACGTGTTTGCCACTTAACAACTACTCAAAATAAATGAGATTTCTTATAAAATATTTAATAGAACTAGGTGAATTATGGGAGGCCTCAGAAAACTTAGAGTCTAAATCGGCGGGAAGTGCACCGATGCAAGCTTATATTATACACTCTTAAAACTAGAATACTTTAGACTTTTATTACTTTTAGAATGAACTGGGGCCGAAGCCCGGCGAGGGCTGGGTTGCCGCGAGGACGCGATGCCCCCGCCGGCCCGGCCAGAGGCGCCAGAGGCTGGCCTGAGGCTGGCGGAGGGGGCAAAGGGCCGCGGGCTGTGCTCACCTTGGGCGCGGGCCCTCTGGGGTTGGGGTTGATGTACAGCGACTCGGTCCTCTTGGGCTGCGCGGGCGACGGGATGATGTCCTGGCCCAGGTTGCGCTTCCTCAGCAGCACGTCCTCGAAGGGCTGCTCCCTGGCCGGCACCGTGTAGGGCGCGGCGGCGGCGTTGGCCTGGTGGTGGCCTTGCGGCATGCCCTGCGACAGGCCCTGCGCGCCCGCGCCCACCGCGGACCCGTTGCCCGCCGAGATGGTCCCCGGCATCCCCGACAGGCTGCCGCCGCCGGGCGCCGGCGTGGTGCCGCGCGCACTCGAGCCCGCGCGGTGCGACCTGCGGCACGGCGGCGGGTGAGACCACACGACTCAGACGAAGACAAGGCGGTCCAAAGTCTTACAGCTGAGATGTAAACGGCGTCTTGGCATAAAGTTGCCTCTGATTTCAATGACTTCTCTGAAGCTGTCGCCCAGGATGGGTCAGCAAAATTATCCTGAAAGAAATGATTTTAAAAATGGTTTCTGATTCAACCGGCGGGCACCCACCTGTCCAGCATGGCCTCCGCGGGCGTGCTCTTGTCCACGCTGGGCTGCCGGGACCCGCTGGACATCCTCGCCGCCCCCATGGCGGCCCTGGAGTAGCGGTCCACGGACGAGTCCCGGCTGGGCGGCCGCTTGTACTGGTCGAAGTGGTCCGACATGGCCTGCTGGAAGTTGTAGCCGGGGCTGTCGTGCGACATGGAGCTGACGAGCCGCGAGTTGCGGCGCAGCGAGGTGCGCCGCCCACCGAGGGACCCGCCCCCGGTGGACATGTTGTCGGCCGCGCCGTCCTGAGACATGCTGTGCGCCATGCCGGGCCCCATCTGCCCCAGCCCCTGCGAGAGCCCCGCCGTGGCCTGCCCCAGGCCCATGGACACGCCGTGCACTGCAAAGAGAGGACGCGTGGTCAGAGGTTACTGTCGGCCAGAGTGACGTCCACGTCCACGGCGGCGTCCACGGCGGCGGGCCTCGGACACCGCACGCCGCGTCGGCAGCAAAACAAACAGAGTATTCGCAGAACGCTGCGGACGGCCGTGCGTCCGATGGCGGCCTGCCGGCGCCACGCGCCTTACTTGGCTGGAAGTTCGGCGCGTTGCTGGACTCCATGGGCAGAGGCGTGGGCGGCGTGACCGTCGTCTGGTACTGCGGCTGCAGCTGCTGGTTGTACTGCTGCTGGCCGTACTGCTGCTGCTGCAGTTGCTGCTGCAGCTGGTGCTGTAAGTGCTGCTGCTGCAGCTGCTGTTGTAATTGTTGCTGTTGCTGCTGTTGCTGCTGCTGTTGCTGCTGCATTTGCTGCTGCATGTGTTGCTGCATTTGTTGTTGCTGCTGCGTGGGCTGTTGGTGGTTAACGTGGTCGATGCTTCCAGTCTTTGTGAGAATTGACTTTCCAGGTACTGCGTCCTCTGCAGGGGGTCGGAATTTCGGGGCGTCCTTCCCTATTCGATCTAGGCCTGGAACACAGTCGGGACGAATTCATTAGGAGCACTGAAGTTAGAAAATCCTTGCACTTACATTATACAGTTGGATTGTGTTTTCGAAAAATTTCTTTGTAACAAGCCTTGGGTTGCCTGCTAGAGCTACCTGGCTGGTTGAAGTCGGGCGCGAACTGCTTGGCCGTTAGCCTGGCGATCTCGTGGTCCTCCCGGGCGTGCTCCGCGGCCACGTCCGCCAGCTCCGCCTTGCCTCGCGCCGTGGCCGTCCTGCGCGACAACAAGGCAGACAACGTTAGAGACGGCGGCGCGCACCGGGCGCGACAAGGAAGGAAGACAAGCCCACCTCGAGATGGCGATGTCGGCCTTCTGCAGGGCGATCTTGGAGGCGCGCTGCGCCGCGGACACGGCGGCGTCTATCCGCTCCCGGAACTTGGCGGACCGGATGAGGAACAGGTGCTTCTTCTTCTGACTGGTGATGAGCACGTTGTTCTTGTACTTGCCCTCCTCCCGCGTGCCGTCGCGCAGCGTCGTCACGCCGTACCCGTACTTCTTGTTGTTGAACCACTCGCCCTCGTAGCGCAGCCCGTCCGAGCGCTCGCTGATGCCGAATCCGCTGCGCTTGTCGTTCTTCCACTCGCCCATGTACGTCTCCGTCACGCTCGCGTCCATGTGCTCGTCCTGAAACACGGGCCTGGGTTCGAGTACCGGTCGGGGGCATTTCTTTTTGCCATGCGGGGGTGATGTGGTGCTGCTGGCATGCCATTTGAAACCTGATACAGTGGCAAACGCATGCCAGTTTGATAGGAAGAGAGAGGTTGTTTGGCCAGAAAGACAGAGACAGAGACTCCGCAGAGGTGACAAGTGCAACCAGAAGCTCCTTAGACGTTTCCCCGCTTCCCCATGGGACTCCCCATGGGACGGACGCATGCGATCCTCTTTTCGTGCTTACCTCGTCCATAAGCTGGAGAGCCCAATGCGTAGCATTGAAATGAAAAACAGACATGAGTCAGTCAGGACCTCACAGTTCCCTTTTTTGTGTTTGTTCCTTCCAGCGCGTCGCAAAAAGACAAAACACGCATAGCAGCACCGGCTTTGTGTGTTGTGCGGGCAGGACCAGCAGGACGCCCCGAGCAACAAGTTTGGCCGCGCGGCCTTGGATCCCATAAGCCCGTTTTTCCGACATCGGCGGCGACGGCATGGCGTGGCACGGCACGGCACGGCAAGGCACGGCACGGCGGTGCAACCTTCGGGGAATCCCAGGGGCGCCGCGTCCCGGCCGGCGCACAGCCAGTGCTGCCACGGCCCCGCGCCGCCACGCTACGCCACGCCGTGCCCCTGGAATCGATACCCCGCCGATGAACAGCCTTGCACGCCCTGCAGGCCCTGCAGGCCCCGCCGCTCCACCTTATCGGACTAATTGGTGGCGACGACGATCGCGGACCGCGGGCTGTGGCAGGCCCAGGGCTTGCCTAGGGCTTGCCTAGCCTGCCTAGGCCCCGGGGTCAATAAAGGATCGGCCTTGACAGTGATAGCGTGGCGTGCCCGTTACTCTTTGTCCCCGTTCATTCCACGGCGGAAGCCGCCCTCTGCCTCTCTCGCTCTCATCGACGGCCCATGTCGGAGAGACAAGGACAGAGCGGTGTAAATCGGCGTTACGGAATATGTGGACGATCCGAACCGCCGCCCCCAAATCGGCGCGGCGAGCGGCGAGCCTCGCGGTCGAGCTCGTGGCGGAGACAGCCTGGCGGCCTGGCCAGGCGGGGCGGGCCGTCCGTCCCACAGTGGGCCAGAAGACCGGTGGAGGCGGCCAAAACTCTCGACGCGTTTTGAGCTCCACGGTCACTAAATAGGCCTCGAACCGAACGTGTGACCCCACCAATGGATTCCTCGTTCGGAGAGCAATCCATTGCTGGGGTCATACGTTATGTTCGAGTCCATTCCAGCGACTCTGAAGCTCAAAACTCGTCTAGAGTTTTGGCCGCCTCCACCGGTCTTCGGACCCACCACTGTCCGCCCGGGCCTCGCCGTGGCTTTGCGCCGCCCGCGCCGCCCGTCTGGTGGCGTGACCAATTCGAGCTGCCTTTTCCATGTTTTAGCAGGCTGCTGCCGGCCCTGCCGGGGCCCTCCGAGCGACCCAAACCGAAACCCGCGAGCCGTCCGTTCGCCGCGGGAGCCTCGCTGCTCGCTGCCGGAAGGAGACACGTGTGAAGGGAAAACAAAATTTGGAAATAAACTTCCGCGCGCCTAGCCGGGGTGTGGTTGCCTGCGTGCTCTAAATGCGATGTTTCCCCCGTCAGCAAAACACTCTGTGGCTCCACTCCACTCGACACGCCACGCGAGTCACGCGGCGGCGACACGCGGCGTGCTCACCTCGATGACGAAGGACGCGTTGGAGTCCGTGTGTTGCGACGCCGACGTGAAGGCGGACTGGTCCGACTCGGTGGACACCCAGGACGCCGAGGACGCGTTGGAGCGCATGCTGCCCCCCGACGTGCCCCGCTTCTCGATGTCCCCCGTCGACCGCTGCTTTCGGAGTTTCAAGCCCTGGAACAGACCAGACGAACGCGTTGATGGCCGAGAGGGTCGTGCGGGGTTCAAGTATTGCGTAATCTCCTTTACGGCCACGGCCCGTTCCTTTGCACAGTGAAGCTTTGCAGTCCGCAGCGGCTGCTGCAGGAAGGCGCTCAACACGCGCTTCCGGGCTAACGGCGGCGATTGCGCAATACTCGAACAACCCTCGGGGGGCTTGCTGGACTCACCGACAGGATGGAGCGCTTGAGGCCCGACTTCTCCACCAGGCTCCTCCGCCTGGCGGGCGGCTCGTCGCTCTTGGCCTTGAGCACGAAGCCGCCCCGGGAGTCGTCGACGCGGCGGTCCCGCTCGGCGGACGGGTCCAGGGCGCCGCCGCCGCCTCCGCCGCCACTGCCGCCGCCGGGCTCGTTGCTCCTCAGCGACGACATGGAGGCCCGCAGCGCGCTCTTGTGCGGCCGGTAGTGCGACGCCTGGCCGAAGGGCGCCGACGCGCGCACGCCGTAGCCGTGCCGCATGCCGCGCAGCCACTGCCCCTGGTACGTGCCTGCAAACAGGGCCAAAAGGCGTTATTCACACTCCAGCTCACGTACGCCGAATTCATCCTGCTCCGTGTCAGGAACACGTCGACAGGGAAGGCCGCGCCGGGGAGGCCCGCGCCGCGCCGCGCCGGCACCAAATGCCGTGATGCGATTCCGGAGTCTCACAATAGCACGGCGGAAGGGCAAGGCAGGGCGAGGCGGGCCGAGGGCGCCGCGCTATTTATTATTCACGTTTTGTTTCGCCAGCCCCCCTCCCCCTCCCCCTTTCCCTTGTCCATGCACAATGCAGGGCGGCCCGGTACTCGGGGACCTTGAAGAGCGGGGCGCGAGAGAGGCCTAGCTGCGGGCCTCGCTGCCTCTCCGCCTGCCGGCCTGCCTCTTGCCCTGCTTTCCGGGCGGTCCGACATGACGACGAGGACGAGGAGCGTTTAATTTATTCCCGACAACACCCGGGTTGCTTTACAAGTCAATTTTGTGCGCGCCCGTTTCTGGAGCTGCTGGACGCTCTGCTGCATCCCGGGTACCTGTTCCACGGCCTCCGCGGTGGCGGAGTTGCAGTGGCGCTAAGCCACCTGTTGGCTTTGGTTGCCTCGGCCCCGTGCGTAGGCCAGCCTCGCGAGGCCCGCCGCCAACGCCGCCAACGCACCCTGGTGCACGGCACGACACAGGTGGCCCGGCACCGCCAGCCCTGCCGCCCTGCCGCCGCGTCCAGGCTTGGGAAAGTCCATTGAGGCGGTCGCCACGCTCGCGGTGCCGCGGTGCAGGGAAGGCCGGGGGCTGCGGGGCTCCGCGGGGGGCGGGGCCTGGGGGTGGCGCGGGGCTGGAGGCGGCAGACAGTGGGAGGGGCCGGGCCGCTGTTTGTTATGAGGCCCCCAATCGATACCTGGGGGTATCCCCTCCCGGCGCTCCCTATGGCTGCCGAGTGGCTGCCTATGGCCACCTATATGGTATGCCTATGTCCGTCTATATGCTCTGCCTACTGCCGCCGACATGGTCAGCTCATGTCTCCTTGCTCGGTCTCATATCCCAATAAACGTTGCGCAACCGGAAGTCCCGCTCGGTCGCTGGATGCTGATTCCGAATGATGCTGTTGTCGCTCTGTCCTCTCGCACTCATAGGGCGTTCCACGGGGATGCGAGAGAGACAGAGGGACGAGGTGGCTGTTCGGAATCAAGCCGCATGCCCGCCCTCAACAGACGAGCCCCCTTTTATGGCGGGGTGAAGTGGCGTAGGTCGTTGTCTTGGAATGAATCTTGCAGGAGCCACGTCGATGGCCGGAAAGACGATTAGAAGAGACAGAGCTGGCGGTGGCACCGAGGTGGCTCCGAGGTGGCACGTGCCCTCCCCCTTTCTTTCCTCTAGCTTCGTGCTGCGGTGACGGCAAACGCCCCGATGGCCTCTCTGTCCTGGCAAGGTCCTGGTGGGCCCTCCCTAGGGCCGCATCGGGCTGCGTCGCCGCAAGTCCTCTCGAGGTTCCTCCGACCAAGTGCCTTCGGGCGGCCCGGAGCCCCGCGACCCGGAGGCCAACAGGTGGAAGGGAGGATTGAACGGCGCGACCCGGAGGCCAGAGGCCAGCCCGACTACCGTGAGGACGACCAAGCCCTGGTGCAGGCAAACCCTCTAGGTAGGCAACCCACGTGGCGCCGGGCCGCCGGGCCGCCGGCTTCGGGTCGTCTCGCCTCGACGCCAGCAATGCGTGGCCGACGCCCCGCCCCGCCCCGCCCCGCCCCGCCCCGCCGCGCCCCGCCCCGCCCCGCCCCGCCCCGCCGCGGGACCGCCACTGCCTCTTGGCGATCCGAGCCGAGCCGGCCAGACCCGCGATGCCTACGATGCCCGCGAGTCGAGACGTGGCCGGCGAAGCGCCTCGCGGCGCGAGGCCCGGCTCGGCATCCGGCAGGCCTCGGCTGCGCTCGGGTTCGGCCGCGTGCTCGGCTCGGCGCGAAGCTATGCCACCCCACTGCCCCTAGTCCGTCCCACCCCCTTGCCCGGCTGGGCGGAACAGTCCAAGTGAATGGGGGAGACGGGCAGCTGGCAGAATGTTGTGCTGTGGAGCCCTCCCCCCTCCCCGCCTCCTTCCCTTCCCCGGCCTTCCACACACCGCGCATAGAAGGCTGGGCGCGCTATAAAAGCAATCCCTCTTCCCTTGCCTGCCTTGCCTGCCGTGCCTGCGCTGTTTAGGCTCAGCGGAGGCAGGCCTCATGGCCTCATAGCGGGGCTTTAGGGCACCACGGGGTCCTGCCGGGCGGCCAGCGCACCGTGCTCGTCGTCCGCCAGCGGACTGCAGGACTGCGGACCTCGACGGGGTGCACGTCGGCCACCCCGCAGGAACGGTCCCTGGCTGGGGGCGTGGGGCCGCGCCGCGCGCAGAGCGCAGGGCAGCCACACTGCGTGGATGCGACTGCACAAGGACCGCGCCACCGAAACCGGCTGCCAAACGCGCGTTCCAAGAGTCGCGGAGACGCAGAGAAACCCCCACCCCACCCCGAACTAAAGTTTTCATTAAAACACGCAGACGGCGTTGTTGCGCGCGCTGCTGCGGGATTTCCATTACGACCGTAGTTTCTTATGGAGGTTGGCAAGTCGGCAGGGTTTAATCTCCCCCCCCCCTCCTCCCAATCCTGTGGGCGCCCATGTGAATCAGCCTTGCCCCTCCCCCTTTTCCCCCTTCTCGCTGCCGCCCCTTTTTAACACCCCGAAACGGGAGCTTAATCGTGCGGTATCTTTTCACGACCTGCATTGCGTCAGAATCCCCCCCCTCTTCCCCTTGCACTCCATACGCCCAGACCAGCGCCACCCCCTTGCGGACGGCCTCCGCTGTGCCGCTGTGCCCGCTGTGCCGCAGACGTGGAGGGCGGGTCGCTTCCTCGGGAGGGCGACGCGCCGGCCGAGCCGGGCCCTCGGCTGGACCCCAGACGAGCCGAGACCGAGACAACAGCCTCCACAGTGTACTTACCTCCGTCGGCGTAGGTCTCGGAGCCGTAGCCATCCTGCAGCCCCGAGGCCCAGGTGCCCTCGTACTTGGCCAGGGAGGCGGCGGACTGGCGCACGCCGTAGCGGCCCTTGGCGCCCTGCGTCCACTCGCCCCGGTACACCCAGCGGCCCCGGGACTCCACGCCCAGCGCGTGCCTCTTGCCGTTCTGCCATTGGCCCTCGTAGGTGCTCCCGCTGCAACAAAAACAAGGCCGTGACTGTCTGACTGTTTGGCCGGGCCGCTGATGACGGCGACGGTCGCCTGCCCGTGACGAGGTGATTGTCGCCGCATGTCGTTGTTGCCTCACGCTGACACCGTTAAACCGTTGCCGCCGCCGGCGTGCCGCTCAGTGCCGCTGTTGGCAGAGCCCCCGTCATTATCATTGACGTCCGCAGTCCGCATCCGCGGCGCCACCCTGTCGGACGGGCCGGCCGACGGGCCGGCCGACGGACCTCCCCGATGGCTCTCTCAGAAACACATCCGCGACGATCTGCCGGCGGTCTGCCGACAGTCTGCTGACAGTCTGCCGACGACGGTTGGCCGACAGTCTGCCGACGACTCCGAGGTCTGCCGAACATCTGCCGACGTCTGCCGACGTCTGCCGACAGTCTCCGACAGTCTGCCGACGACGGTCTGCCGACAGTCTGCCGACGTACAACGGTCTGCCGACAGTCTGCCGACAGTCTGCCGACAGTCTGCCGACAGTCTACCGACAGTCTGCCGACGACGGTCAGCCGACAGTCTGCCGACGTACAACGGTCTGCCGACAGTCTGCCGACAGTCTGCCGACGTACAACGGTCTGCCGACAGTCTGCCGACAGTCTGCCGACAGTCTGCCGACAGTCTGCCGACAGTCTGCCGACAGTCTGCCGACGACGGTCTACCGACGTACAGCGGTCTGCCAACGTACAACGGTCTTCCGACAGTCTGCCGACGTACAACGGTCTGCCGACAGTCTGCCGACGTACAACGGTCTGCCGACGTACAACGGTCTGCCGACAGTCTGCCGACGTACGACGGTCTGCCCACGGTCTGCCGACGGGTAGCCGACGGGCAGCCCGGCAGGCGGAAGGGCAGCGATGGGCTGCTAATGGTGTCACTCGGATTACACAAATTGGATCAGCCGCAGCGGCGCGCAGCGGGCCAACTCGCTGCAAGTGCGCCTCCCTCCCAGCCCCTTGTCGGCCCCGCCAGGCCTGGCCCAGCGCCCCCGACCGCTCCAAGAAGAGGCGCAGGGACGCCGAGCTCGCGACACGTCTTGGACCGTCTTGGACCGTCTCGGGCCTGTCCTGTCGCTGTCCGACTTCCTCACCAGAGGACCTCCCCCTCCCCTTTCCCCATCCCCGTGCCCCGGCGTCCCCGACACGTCCCCCAGCACGCAGCCGTGGAAGCTCGTTAGGGCATTACGGGGATCATCGACGTCAGTGACGTCACCGGGACGACACGGCGTCTTGAGCCGGCCAAGTCTAACGAAACCCCCGCCCCGCCCCAACCCGGCGCCGCGAATTCCAAAAGAAAAGAATCCTTTCTCCCGGTCGAAACGCTGAAACGTTGAAACAATGCCCGGCCCGCCGCTGCGGAGCGGAGACGGGAGTCGCCAAGGGGCTGCGGCGCGGCGAGGGACAAAAAATATGTGGTGGGAGTTGGCGAGCACGCGGGGGCCATGCCGGGGCCATGCCGGGGCCAAGCCGGGGCCGGGGCCCACAGTTCAACCTCTGACAGCGTTCTGCCCGCCCGCCCGCTGGCCCCGCTGTGCGCTACCCGCAGCTCGCAGCCCGCACCATGTCCCGGAGCGCGCTCGAGCGCCTGCGAACTGGAAGTAGGCAACCCGCGTGCACGGCTGCGCGACGGGACTGCCTGCCTGCCGGGCGCTCGCTCCGGGCGCCGGACGGACCGGGGCTCCGGGACCACCAGACGGAAGCCGCGCCAAATGGCCGCTTTTTTCCGACTGCCGTTCCCGACCGCCGTTCCGGGGCCGTTGGTTTCGCCCGTCGTTGCCGGCAGTGTACTCCCCGCCCCTCTTCCCCCTTCGCCCGCGCCGGCGGCAAGGGGTTGGCAAGGCTCTCGCGGAGGGGGAGGGGAGGGGGAGGGGGCGCGGGGCAGCCGCAGCCGCCAGAAAGTGAAAGTGGTCTCAAAGGGAGCGCGCGGGGCGCCGCTACGGGTCGACGCGTCCGATTGGTGCGTCTCTCAGTCTCTCACGCGCGGGGCGCCGCCGTGCCGCCGCGCCGCCGCCCCGTCATCGGGTCGGCAATCCCGGGCGCGTTGATTGCAGCCGGGGGTCAAGGTCGACGCCGGCCTCGGGGGAGCCGGGGGTCTTGTAGTCCTTGTCGGCCTTGTCGGCCGTGTCGTCGCCGGGATGGTGCACTTGTTTGGCGATGGCCCCGCGGGAGATACAAGGGAGGGACATCGCAGGGACATGGGGGGACGGGCGTCGGGCCGGTCACGAAGGCATTAGGATCAATATTTAATTTGGCCTGCAGGCCTTGGACAGGGCGGGGCCTTCCTCGAGGCTCGAGGCCTGCTTGCTGGCCTGGCTGCTAGCCCGGCGGTGCTCGCTTGGACAACGCACCCCTGTGACCCCGCGCCCTGCCCACAGGCCCTGCGCAGCCCTGCGCCCCGCGCGCCGTGTACACAGGCCCTGACACACACCCTTGTGGTCTGCCATCGCGTGCTGCCACCGGCAACGCCGCCCTGGCCGAGCTGCCGACCACCAAGTGATCCGGGAGTTACGATGACAGCGGAATAGTTTAGTGACCTTACGCCTCGGACCTGCCCCGCCGCGCCGCGCCGCTCCCCGCCCCGCCGCTCCCCGCCCCGCCCCCCGCCCCGCCCTACCCCGCGCTGCAGCCACGGTCAATAGCCATCGCGGGGCCGCGTGTCTGCTTGCCTTTTAATGCCAGTCAATTAGATTATCCGGCGTTACGATTCAATTAGTCGCTTTAATGGATCCGCCCTGCACCCCCTCCCCCCTCCCCCCTCCTCTTCCTTCGCGGCAGCGCAACATTCGCGTCACCGAGAAAATAAAGCTGCGACTTTGACACGTGCTTTATGCGGCTTTATGCGTGGCCAGCCTACACACACTCACACATATACGCGCGCGCGCCTGCCTTTCTGTCCGCAAGCGCGCGCGCGCGCGCGTGTGTGTGTGTGTGTGTGTGTGTGTTCGTGCGGGCGCGCACGCGTGTTTGTGTGTGTAGCAGGTGGTGCCGTGCTAACAATACCCCATGCGTTGGATGGCGGCGGAGGCTGCACTCAAGACTGTCTCTCTCGCTCTCACACTCTCGGACACTCTCTCACCCGCCGTCTCTGCTTCTCTTTCTCTCTCTCCGTCCCACACAGACTAGCGCACGCACGCACGGACCACACAATCTAGTGCGACGCATACGACAGCCCGTATCACTCCATAATAAAGTCGAAAAAATTTAATTTGTCTCTTTAAATAAATTAAGGAAACCGGAAGTTATCTGGCAGGAACCAGGAAGCGACGATTAACAATCCCTGCAATTCCCTTCCTCCATCCCGCCCCACGCCGCGACGTACGCAGTCCCTTGCGCCCCCCGGATCCAAAGCAAAGCTCGAAAAAAACGAGAGGAGTTCCATCTCTCTCTCTTTCTCGCGGGCCGCCTGCGCGCTGCAACATTGGCGCGTGCTGTACGCTCAGCTATACATTGCTCCGCACCGCGCCGCACCGCGCCGCATCGCTCGGCATCGGTAGGCTAGTGGGTCCCGCGGGGTCCCGACCCCCCTCACAGGACTAACACCCCCCTCCCCCCTCCCCCAATGCCATAACGCGGGCCTGCAGGGGAGAGGGGGAGCGGTGGGGAGGGGCCGGGCGCCCCTGCATACTTGGCACCGCCCATCTCTCTATTTCGGTCGCTGGTCCCGCCACGTTGACAGACTTCCCTTCGCAGCGCCGGCGGAGCCACGGCGGAGCCCTCGCCGCGCGGCCCGGTACCCCGCGGTACCCGGCGGTACCCGCACCGCCGCACCGCCGCCTCGCCCGCCAGCCCGCCAGCCCGTCAGCTGACGAGGCGGCCAGGTAGCGGACGGCCGTACCGGAAGTCGGGCCAAGGCGCGGCGTCCCCCACGCGGCGGCTGGAGCGCCGCGGCGGCCGCGCGGGTGGGCGGGCCGCGGCCGGGGTGACCGCCGCGGGTACACCCAGGCCGACGGCAGGTCGCGGGTGCCGCCGGCGCCTACCTGCCCGAGGACCTAGTGGGTGGCGGCCCGGCCGGCCCGGGCAGACGGCCGCGCAAAATTAGCCGAAAGGCCGGATCTGTGGGCCTGTGGGACTGTGCCGCGACGACATTGTCAAACATCGTCGGCGCGGCACGGCCAGGCACGGCGCGCGGCGTGCCCAGCCGCACCGGATGTGTCACCCACACCCACCGCCGCGACGACTGACTCTGACTCCTGACTCACGCGCCGGAATGGAAGACACGCCAAAGCCAGGGCGGCCGAGGCGCAGCTGTGTTACTCTCATTCTCATTTTCGTCCGAACGTGACAACGCGGTGAGAAGCTGGTTGCACCGCCCGAGGAGAACACACTGCGATTCCAGGTCCTGGACGAGGCCATGTGCCGTGGCTGCACCGGTCACAGCAGAACCCGGAGACGGCCTAGCTGGAGCCGCTCTCCGTGGGCGGGTGGCAGGTGGCCCCCTGGAGGCGACGGCGCGCTGCTTGGTGTGCGCAGCGCGGCGCAGCGCATGGCCGCGGCGACCGGGGCTGACGTGCCGCGTGCCTTCCCTCGAGTCACTCAAGATGCCCCCATGAGTAACGGCGTGGTGTGCTCGACGGCCAGCCCTTACGTGTCCTGCCGGCGCTGCTCACAGACACTCGACCGCGGGCCGGTTTACTCGTTACGTATTCACGCCATTTCTGTCATTTCCAACTTCTGGTTTTATCTGCCTTGATCCCTGCTTCCAATGCCAGCCTGACAGTGTGAGAGAAACCCCCAAACATTGCCTTTTGGATAAAACGCTATCTTTCCCCGCGTGGCAGGTGAGGCACACCACCAACACACGCTGCGTTCCTTGGAGCCGGCCCGGTCCGCCTGCGAAACGCAGGGTAGGCCACACTGCAAGACGCCTGTGCTCGACGGGACAGTGTACCCTCCAGGCGCTCGGCGAGGCTGGAGCCTTGCAGCGTTGCAGCGTTGCAGCGCACCGTCCCGAGTGCCCCGCAGTGCCCCGCAGTGTGCCGCTCGGTTTGGCGCGGCCGGTCCTCCGTTCGCCGCCGCGCGCTGGGGTAGTTTGCAGCACATCTTGTTACATCGCCTTCCCTTGCCGCCACCTACCCCGCCCCATAGACATTTTGTCAACACTTGCTGTACTATGGCCTCCCATGTACACCAATCCTCGCCTGCCCCTCCCCTACCCCCTGCCCGCCCCACCCCACCCAACAGGTTCTTTCCCACCGTTTACCGGCTGCACCTTGCAAGACATGCCATCACTCTCAAGAAGGGAAGATCATGCAGAAAGGCGCCCAACAAGTGAGGCTAAAACCGCTAACATATGGACTGTTTACATCAGGTAAATTGAGGTTATGTTCCCGCATCATTTTTTTCTGCGTCATAGGAAACCAGCCCGTGTATGGGCGGGTCCATCGGCGTTGTGGACGGCAGCGCTGCCAGAGAAGGCCTGCACCGCAGCCCCAGCGCAGCAGCCCGAGCGGCTGGCCAGAAAGTGAGGTTAGGTCATCCGCGGCCGAGCACTGCCGTGTTTACCAGATCGGGCTGAGATTAGGTCCGCAGCGCGCAGCCACCCGAGAGTGAGGTTAGGCTGCGCGCCGCGGGGACGGCCCGACGGCCCGTCGTCTGAAGGCGGTGTTTACCTGGGCCAGGTGTACACGCCGGACACCTCGAAGCCGTAGTGCCAGGACCCCGAGTAGGCGCCCTGGCCCTTGGGGCCGGTGCACACGCCATGGCCGTGTGCCTTGCCGTCCTCCCAGCCGCCGCAGTAGGTGCCGCCGTCGTCGAAGTCGAAGCGGCCGCCGTTGACCGCGCTGGCCCCCTTGGAGGCGGTGGCGGTGCCCGTTGCCCCTTGCGAGGCCGGGGAGGCTTCCGCCTGCATGCTGCCACTACCTCAGCACGCCCCGCTTCGGCCGCATCCCGCGAGGCAGCCCAAGAGGCAGCCCTGCCCCAGCCTGCTGGACCTGGAGGGCCTGCAGCCTGGAGCCTGCAGGCAGCGGGTCCCGGCCGGGCCCTAGGCGCAGGCCGCGGCACGGGCCAGGCGAGGCCCTGCAGGCCCTAACCCTGCCTCAGCTGCCTGGGGGGCGCTGTTGCTACTGTGCATTCCTGGATCCTCGCTGGAGCCCCGCTGGAGGCAGGACGGTTTCGTCGCAGACACTGCGTCGTCGTGTTCACTTGGACCCGGTCGGCAGGGAGGTGTTTTGCGGGTCGTCGGTCGGTCGTTGTCGCGCACGGGGGGCACGGCCGTGATCGGCGCAACGCGGCACGGCTTGGCACGGCAGCAGCGCGCGCGCGGTCAGCTCGCCATGTCGTTGTCTCGGCCGAGTCGCCCAAGGCACTAGCGCACTAGCTCGCCTCGCTCGGGCCGCACCGCACCGCGACGCGACGCGACGCAGAAAATAGCTCCGAGACTGCCTCCCTCCTGTGGAAAACGGCGCAGCGCGAGCCGCGCCAGTAGCGCCCCCTGCGAGGCGCGGCGCGGCCAGCGCGGCCAGCACGGCGAGGCCCCTGCCCCTCCGCCAGCCCGCGCGACCGTGCGCAAGCGCCAGCAGAGCTAGCGGAGCTAGCGAAGCGCCCCCGCTCGTGGGGCAGCCGCGCTAGCCGCGCACGCCCGGCGACATCTAGCGGTGGCCGGCGGAGTCTCGGCGCCACCCCTCGCCCTCGCGCGCCGCGTAGCGCCGACGGCCACCCCGCGCCCCGACACCACCACCACCACCCCCAACGGCCACCGACTGCCCCCGAAAGGCCCCAATGTGTGTTGGGGAAACCCTGAGAGTTGAGCCGATTGTTACAGAGTCTGCATGCTCGAGCCACCAGCACGCAACACCCCCTCGGCCCCGCGGTCCAACTCCCAACGGTTCCCCTGCTTTCACCGGCCGCCATAAAATGCACAGCCGCTTCCGCACGCGCGCCCGCACGTTTCATTTCTCATTTTTGTCTCGCTGTCTACTTCGTGTTACAATGAGACGGGAACTGCGGCCATTCGGAAGCTCGCCAGCTCACGGCGCAGGAACGAAGGGTGGGGGCGACTGGGCGACCAGGGCGACCGGGGCGAGGGCCGCATCGCCGCATCGGCTTGGCGGTGAACCCACAGGAGCCCACCCACCACCAGCCGTCCTGCTGCTGGCTTTGTGTTGATGTGGACCAGCGCCATGCCGTACGTCCTGGTGCCCGGCCGAGTGCCCGGCCAATGGGCAACGGGGGCGACGGGGCCGCCGGAGACGAGACATTGCCTGTTAGCCAAAGGCAGCCAGCGGAGACAAAGGGACCGGCGGTGTGCCGGGGCTGGGCCGCCTTGGGGCTCGAGGGGCCGCCCGGCCGTCGACCCCCACTGCGGCGTCACCAGAGTCCTCCAGCCGCCGCGGCGCCGCCGGGGCGCCACATCCAGACTGGAGCACTGGAACGGGGTCGCCGCCGCGTCGCCGCGTCGCCCCGCTGCAGCGCGCCGTCGCCACCACATCGCCGCGGCGTCGCCAGGGTTGCCAGGATCAATTCCGGCCCGGGTTGCGGACGCAATCAACGGTGCGCGCGGGGGGATGCTGCTGGAGCTGGTCGCGTACACTGCGAGTGGCGAGGCGGGCGACTCCTGGTGCGGGGGGCGCGGTCACCGCGGGTAGGCACACTGCTGCTTGCTGACATTTCGCCGATCGGGGTGCTCCTCGGGCGCGGCGCGAGGCGAGGCGACGCGAGGCTGCGCCACGCACAAGACGTCTGTCTCTGTCACCGAAAGGTCACAAGGCGCCGCGAGGCGACGCGAGGCACCGCGGCTTTGGCACTTTGGCCCGGCACGTGCACGCCGCCCGACGGCGACCCACGGCGACCCACGCCGCCACCTTTTCCGCGCGGCCGCCCTCAATAAACAATGCAGCCCCGCAGAAACACACAAACACACCGTGAATAAGAAACGCGACGCGTCGTGACGCGGGGAACCAGGGGGGCCGACCAAATTCGCCACACCGCCAACGCGCCAAAGTCTGGGGAAGTCTCCTGTGAATTCGATATTTGAGGCGTTGCCGTGGCGACCCGCACAGCAGACAGCAGGTCAGTGGGTTAGGCCTCGCGGCGGGGCTGCGCCAGGCTGCGCCCGAAAACGTCGCGGCGGCGCCCGTCCCGCTCCACGCCGCACGTGTCCTGCGGCCCCGCGGAGCATGAGAAATTCAGCAGGCCGCTCCGGACGCAGCCGCGCGCTGTCAGTGCCGTCAGTGCCGTCAGTGCTGCCAGGCCTGGCAGGTGTCTGGGCGCCAGTCCGGGCAGGGCCAGTCCGGGCCTAGGGCCAGCCTAGGGCGGCCAGGCCAGGGCGGGAAGCGCACCCAGCACCCAGCCCGCTACATCGCCGTCGTCACCATGCCCGTCGTGTGCGGGGAGCGGCTGGTGCGCAACCACGGCCCCTTCCCGCTCATCCAGTCCGAGGGCTACTGGAAGCAGCTGCCCGACACTCGCACCGTCCACGTCCCGGTAAAGCAGCCAACCGCCCGCCACCAGGCCGAGTGGTACTCACTCGCCACTGGTGCACGTCCGCGTCATGGCGCTGCCCGCACTGCGCCGCTTGCGCCGCCAGTGTTGTTAGAGTCCACGAGCACACTGCCTTTGCGGCGTCGCCCGCTCGCGTCGTCTGCTCGCGTCGTCTGCTGGCAGCCCTCCACCGTAATAAAGGCCCGCGAATTGTTTTGATGCCATTGTTCTGGCCGCTGGGCTACGCGGCCACGCGCGCGTGATGCTGATTACGTGGCGCGCGTTGAAAAACGGCCTGCCGAACCGAATGCCGATGCGCCGATCGGCATCGGCGTTGGCAGCGTGGGCACGGCGGCCAAAATGAAACAGCCTCTCCTTTTGGCAGCCCCCGGCTCCTGACGGGCCCTGCCCGCCGCCGCTAGACGCCGACCAGGTGCAGGCCCTCCTCCGCCACCAGGAGTACCTCCGCCTGCAGCAGGCGCGGGGCCGCGCGCGCAAGGAGGACGGCGCCGACAAGGTGAGGGGCACTGCGGGGCGTGTCCACGCGGCGGCCTTGCATTGTCCACCCCTACTGTATTGCTATTGACGGCTGGACCACGAGCTCTTTTCCGAACTGTGCCTCCATAGCTCTGTCTCGCTCGCCACCCTACGCGACACCGCATGAGTGCAAGGAAGCGCGACGAGGGCACTGTTCGGAACGGAGCTGCTGGAACGCTTCCAGACCGCCACACTGTGTGCTCCACAGGATGAGTCAGGGGTGCTGCCGGTGGGGCAGACCATCGTGGACCCGACGGCGTCCCCGCGCTGGGCGGATTGCCTCAGCCCCTGGGAGCGCCTCAACACGCACCACACCCTGGCCAGCGTCCGCCGGCACGCCCAGATGCACCGCGCCTACGAGCCGCGGGACCAACTGGACTACGCCCTGTCCTCGGCCTACCACGTGAGTACTCGCGGGAGCCGCCGCGGTGCGTTCAGTCCCTCCTACACTGCTTTCTGACTCGACGAGCTTCGATGTTCTCCCAGCACGACTCGTCGCTGTGGGCGGACGGCCGCGACGTGTGCCTCCAGCCCGAGACGCTGGGCCGGCCGACCTGGCGCGTGCTGCGCAACCTGAGGGTGCTGCCCGAGGACCCCGTCGAGGACCGCGGCCACCCGCTGCGGCAGAGCGGCCTCTCGTCCAAGGTGTCGGTGCACAGCGTCAAGCTGGCCATCAGCGGCAACCACATGTCGCAGACCAACGCGGGCTTCTCCAGGAAGGTGGACGGCACCTTCTACAGCTAGCCCTCCACCAGCTCCAGCAGCCCACTCCGGCCCAACGGCCTCGGGGCGCAGCTTCAGCCCCTTCAGCCTCGACGGCCAAGACGACACTAATTGCATTCAAGTGTACCCATTCCACTTAACAGAGCTTACCGGTTCGGTCTAGTCTCCATGTGATAAACCATACCTAGAAATAAATTACAATAAAAAAAAACCCTGTGGTACAGTTGTCTTGCCTGCATTTAAAAAAAACTAAACGATGTGAACGAACAAGACGTACACCAAATAAAACTAACAGAGAGAGACGTTGAAATCATACTCACTGGTCGATTTACGTAAAAATCTGAAAGGTCGAGTAAATTGGCAAATTTACTGCTCGCCACATTTGGCGTTGTTGTCAAAACAAGCGCCGCCATTGGAATCTACTTGGCTAGGTTAGGTTAGGTTCGCTCATGTTGCGAGACGTGCTTTAGTGACGTGTTAAGGGCAAATGCACTTTACGGCGTCTCTGATGTAATTTATCATTCAAACTTACCCTTCGGGAATGTTTGTTTTAAGGAACAATTCAAAATTTCCGCTCTATAGCTTGCGGAAGTGTCCGGTGAACCACCTACGGATTGCGTCTGCTACTTCCGGTTCTCTCTCGGACCGACCGCCGATGTGTTGTTTTTGGTTAAGTTTTACGTTGGTCGTTTTCAGTTCGTATTGTACATATTCAGTTAATACACCTTGATAATTCCCCCAAAAATACCCGCGGAAACTCCGCATTTTTCGGTAAGTTCTGGCACTGTTTTGTTGCCCTATTTTTTAAAAAATATGGCTCCTGGAAGGTTGTTTATGTCCCCCAATATTTGTAACCTATAAAAAAGCGGTCGCTTTTGGAAGTATATTTTGTGTTTATATTATGGTTTGTGCTGTTTCTTTGCGTTTCATTCGTCTGAGTCTTCTTTAATTTGGTTTAGTAACAATTCTTCTTTTGCTCACCTTGCATACTTTAATGTTTGATTGAATTTGATGATGCACACAACATCTCTATTTCGAACAACAATTTCTATATTTCGTTTTAAAAACTACAACCAAATATATTCAATTTCATTTTCTGAAGCTTATTTGGAACCTTGCGTTTTACAAATTTATTCTAATAAGCCATTTTTTACAACTTGTTGTTTGTTTTCAGATTGAAGATGACGGCTTATTTGTCTAGAAAAGACGTTGAAGAGATCAAACCTCACGTTGATAAAACAGTTGAAAATTTTTTAGGTTTTCATGAACCTACTTTGGTTACGACGGCCCTCAATTGCCTTTCGTCTGGCTATGACAAGCAAAAAACAACAGGTATGTCTTATCCAAACTGTTTACATTGCAGAAGTTTAGCTTCAAATTGAAAGTTTATTTCAATTCTTTTGCATTTACAGATAAGCTTGCTGCACTTCTTGACTCAAGAAAAGCAGAACATTTGACAGACAAAATATTTTCTTTGGCGGAGGGTTTAAAGGCAATTCATCGATCCCGAAATGATAGTAGGAAACGACACCATGATGAAAAAGATGACAGAGATTCAAAGAAAGTTAAAAGGGAGAAGGAGAAGGTGGCTGATGTGGAAACCAAGAACTCCACCGCAGATATTTCATCAGATAGTGCACCAAAACCTAGTCCTGGCCAGCTATCAGCAATTCAGGTATTCATAAAATTTAGTTCAAACTTAAACTTACGTTTGCACCCTTGTAATCCAATATACTATAAAGTTATGTTCTCTGTTTGTCTTCCAGATTAAAGAGATGATGGCAAATGCCCAGAGAATGATTGAAGAAAGAAAGAAGGCTCTCAATGCTTTAAAAGGAGATGATAAATCAGTGAAACCAGCTGTAGCAGCTGTTGCAGCTCCTGCTGTGAAAAGTGCTCCCGCTGATCTAGAAAAAGCAAGAAAAATTGCCCAGCTTCAGGTACTTAACAGTTTATTTTGTTTTATGTGCCTAGTTTGATTGTTACTGCTTTAATTATATTTAGTTTCTATTTTTAGGCTCAAATTCAATCAAAATTGTCCACTGGTGTCTTACCTGGAGTCCTGAGTGGGATAAGTTCAAGCTTAGGCAATAATGCTAACAGCCTGATTCCCACTCGTCAACCCCAGCAAGAAAAACCTGTACCCCTCATTTTAGACAGTGAGGGTCGTACTGTCGATAGTTCAGGTAAAGAAGTTCAGCTTACACACCTAGTACCATCTCTCAAGGTAAGTTTAAAAGTTTGTCACAGTACCTGATGAATCTATGTAGTTCTTTTATCATTCATAGATAATCTTATTTTTTCATTATTACTATATTCTTTCTACTTTATTTGTAGGCTAATATTCGTGCAAAGAAAAGGGAAGAATTCCGTCAACAACTTCAAGAAAAACCTGTAGAAGAACTGTCTGAGACTCATTTTTATGATCCTAGGCTTGGCATTAAACCCTCCGTTCGTAACAAGAGAGCTTTGAGGTTTCATGAGCCTGGCAAGTTTCAGCAGTTGGCTGACAGAATGCGTATGAAGGTAAACCTCCTTTCTTTGGCCATTTGGTAGAGTTAGTGGAAGATCAATAAAATATCTTATGATTTTTGTTTAGGCTCAACTGGAAAAGCTGCAAAGTGAAATCTCCCAAATTGCCAAGAAGACGGGTATATCATCTGCTACCAAACTTGCTCAAATTGCTCCTAAAGAACAGGCTGAGGATCATGTGCCAAATGTGGAATGGTGGGATTCTGTTATACTTTTGAAACGGGATGGGTAAGTAAACTCTGTGGTTGAAATGTGGATTGATGCTTTCTTGATCATTCATGTTTATTTTTACATCTTTTAAATCAGGTACAAAGCAGATGAATCTGGCACAATTCCTATCAAGGAGCAGGGTATCACACATCTTGTGGAACATCCCATTCAAATGCGTGCACCAAGTAATAAACACATATGCATTGTTTATGTTTTGCTTCAAAATCTGAACGCATTACCTATATCCTAAAATTTTATTTGTTCTCAGCTGACCCTCTTAAACCTATCTACATGCCTGTCTTCCTTACAAAGAAAGAACGTAAAAAGCTGAGGAGGCAAAATCGACGAGAGGCGTGGAAAGAAGAACAAGAAAAAATACGTCTTGGTTTGGAAGCACCGCCTGAGCCCAAAGTATGTTCTGTTGAGAACTTCTGTTCCAAGCATCCTATTCACATAAAGTTAAAAATATTGTTTGACACTATTTTCTTGTTTATTCTTTCCAGCTAAGAATATCAAACTTAATGAGAGTTCTGGGAACAGAGGCAATCCAGGATCCCACAAAGATTGAAGCTCATGTGAAGGAGCAAATGTTGAAGCGTCAAAAGGCTCATGAAGAAGCCAATGCTGCTCGGAAACTCTCCTCTGAAGAGCGTAAAGAGAAAAAGATGCGGAAGCTAAAAGAAGACACCTCTCTTGGTGTGCATGTTTCTGTTTACAGGTAGGATTTGTGTATTTTTAAAAAGTTGTTTGGGTTTTGACTCCTTATTTTTTAGTTGATTTACCACAGATTATTGATTCATTGCAATTTTGTCCTATGATAATTTTTCATTTTTCTTTAGAGTGAATGATCTTATGAACCCGGCTAAGAAGTACAAGGTTGAAACGAATGCTAAACAGCTCTTTATGACCGGCTGTGTAGTATTGTTTAAAGATTGCAATGTAGTTGTTGTGGAAGGTGGTCCCAAGCAGCAAAGCAAATACAGAAGGTAAGTTTCCATACATTCTTTCCATTCCTCATAATGTTTTTGTACTTACTAAGAATTTAATGTTTGCACCTCAGGGTAATGCTACATCGTATCAAATGGGAAGAAGACTCAGTAAAAGATGCAAGTGGAAATGAAGTCCCGAATAAATGTGTGTTAGTTTGGGAGGTAAGAAACTGAAACTATTATTGCTGTTCCTTCACTTTTCAAACAAAATTACGTCATATAACAACATTTGGCTCCCTTTGCCTTAGTTTAATATGTGTTATTACATTCATTTTCCAGGGTACAGTTAAACAAAGAAACTTTGGTGAGATAAAATTCAAGGTGTGTCCCACTGAAATGTTGGCCAGGGAACATTTCAAGAGAAACAACGTTGAACAATACTGGGACTTATCATACAGTGGGGCCGTTTTAGAAGCCACTGATGATTCATAATCATGTTTCCAATAGGCTATTCTGTCTGTATATAGTTGTATATTTTTCAATACATTTGACCCTCAAATAAAATTGTCATTATTTACCTAGCCTACATGCATAGTTTGAATTTAAGAATACTTTCAGCTTAGGTAAACAGTAACTGGGCTTGCATCAGAAATGAGAGTCACAGCTCAGATTTAACAGTGGTGGGTAAGAAATAATTGAGAAATTTTCTTAACAAATAATTTTATTTGAGAAAAGATGAAACAGTCCCATAGGGAAGAACAGTCATTGTCCCAACAAAACTTTCATACAGAGGCAATTAGCCAACAATGGAGCTGGTCCAATTGACTCGTAACATACCAAGAACCACACTCAATCATTACGACTCTATTGAAAATGAAACTGACAGTTTCAGCAACAGAATCAGCTGATCACATTCATTCCTTCTTATTCACAAAATTTTGTCCGTTATAAAGAGCACAGCCACAGTGAGAACATTAAAGGGGTGGTGACAGTCATGCGACGCTAGGTCCTGGAGGCCAGGACGCAGGACACGTTGCTCTCACGATGACGGCTTTGGTATGAGGAGAGAGGCGACGGTGCTGATCCCCAGGATCGAGTCCAGCTCCTTGTCTCCGGTCGAAGGCTGCGGCGCGAGCAGCCCTGGGTTTCTTAACCTCTCCGCCTCCTTGTCTTCGTTCCTCTTCATCAGCCAGTAGCCGAAGCCCAAGCAGATCATGGGGAGGACGGATATGGTATCCAGCATTCGGAGACCCATTGTGATAGGCGACAAGCCCGCGTTCCAGGAATACGCCACTGTGAATCCGCCTGGGGCACGTCAAAGTCGATTTTCGGACGTCGAACACACAGAACCGATCGGCTGTCCTGTCTGTCCTCCTGTCGGCTGCTGCGCCGTAGCCCTGGCAACAGTCAGCTGGCCGTTATTTGCAGTGCTCCGGCAGTGCCAACACTTGACACATGCTAAGTGACATTCGGTACAGTGTAATGGAACAGTTCACATGCTTTGATAGAAAAAAGGATTTTTAAGTGATAAGAGACTAGGATATTGATATTTCAAGCATAAAAAAGGAGTGAAAGGTTATTAGAAGGAGCCTGCTGGGGACTGGGAAGTTTGTTGGCTTACGACAACCCTGTACTTCCGGTACGAAAGAGGGGGCACGAACGGTTTAGACTTCGCAATCAACGGACACAAACGGTTTAACTGCCGAAAACCATGTTTACATCGGGTACCGAAGACGAAATGTTGGAGCGGGGTTTGAGGACACTCCTCGAGGGTGTGCGTCCCGAGGAATCAAGTGGAAACGCGCTGCTGCGGGACATCGGCGAACCCTTGACAGAATGCAAGTGAGGATAACACAGTGTACGACCAGTGCTGTCTGGAACCTTGGCGCGGGGCCCTGCCTCTAGGTACATTCATTTTCACTTTTCATGTAAGACGGAGTGCCGCGCTGCACCGCATAGAACTCCTGGTGCTGCAGCTGCTCCGCCAGCTCGCGGACAACGAGTGCCCGATGCTCCTCATCCCCAAGGCCTCCGACTGGAGTGCCTCCGAGCAGGACGCTGCCGTCGCGGGGCAGGACAGCCAGGGCGGGGACCTGTCCCCCGCGGCCGCCGCCACGAGGGTGCGCTTCGACGTCCCGGCCTCGCAGCACAAGTTCGCCGTCATCGTCATGCTGCTCTCCCGGGCACACAAGCTGCTGAGCACCAAGAGCCAGGGCACGAGGAGGTAGGTGCGGAGCGAGGCCTGGCCGCCCCGGCCGGCGTGCAAGTGTTGGGTGACTCGAGGCGCCTGTCCGGTTCCCCGCATTGCTGCAGGCAGCTGTACTACGAGGAGGTGGCGTTCCTCAAGTCGCAGCGGCAGGTGGACGACGGCGCCCTGGACGTGAGTCGGCTCGTCGGCCTGCCGCCCTGGAACCTGGGCCTCCTGGCCACCGCCAAGGGGCTGGTGGCGGGCGACCTGACCCTCACCACCACCGACGGCGAGGTCGTGGACTGCAGCAGCAAGCCGGGAGGTTCGTTGAGGAACTATTTCTGTTAGATAGGCAACCCGCACCGACCAGTGACTAGCTTGTGGCTCCGACAATGTTTCTTAACTCACTGATCGCATCGAACCGCAGGGGTGCTGATTCCTGGTGACGTGAGTTCCATCGACAAGGTGCAGTCCGCCGCCCGCTTCATCCTCGTCCTGGAGAAGGACACCCTCTTCCAGCGAGTCCTGCGCGAGGGGGCGGCAAACCGCTTGGGCCCCTGCATTCTTATCACGGTACAGTAGCAGCCAAAAGGACTGCATTGAAAAACAACAACGGAAACAAGTTTAAGGGTTTGAACGCGTTTCTGTTGCAGGCCAAGGGGTACCCGGACGTGAGCACCAGGGTGCTTCTAGCCAGGCTGGAGGCACAGTTGAAGGTGCCTATTCTGGCCGTGGTGGACGCGGACCCCCATGGCATCCACATCATGTGCGTTTACAGATTCGGCACCAAGGTATGATAACCGATCCAATGACAAGGTCGTTCTGTGATTGCTTTCGCTCCTAATGCAGTGTAGAGTTTTCCTTCCAGACTTGCCCTCTGCCTATCAAGTCCATGCGCTGGCTCGGCCTGCTGCCGTCAGAGCTGGTCGCCCTAGGCGTGAAGAACATCCCCCTCACGGACAAGGATGTGGCCTTGGCAAACACCCTTCTGGAGAAGAAGTACCTGAACGACGCCATCCGAGCCGAGGTGGGGCTGCTTTCTCTTTAGTTCCTACAGAAGAGACATTGATTGTTTACTTATCACATCCCTGATTGCGTCTTAGGTGGAGGTGATGATCAAGCATGGAATGAAGGCAGAAGTGGACGCCTTGCTCCATTTTTCCCCCAGCTTCATAACTGATGTGTACTTACCAAACAAGATAGCCGCTTCAAATGTGTTGTAGAATTTCATGGTAAATATTTATGATTGTCGTAAAAATTATAAATTAGATACTCTAAATTTTGTATAAACTATTAATTGTCATTGTAAAGATACAATATTTAATACTTCCATATGTGTAATGGAAAGACAACTTGCTAACTGTAATATAATACTATGTGAAATTTTTTAACAAGTTCATTAGATAAATTAAGTCACAGTTCATTAAAAATAAAACAGATTTGAGATCGTGTTAAAACACATGAGGCGTACTAGTACGCCAAATCTAGAGAGTTAAAATCAGTCTTCTCTCTATAAATTAATGTACACCAGCTGACTAAGACACTTCATACATTCAATTAATATGAAGACGAAAAAATGTTAATCAGTCTTAACAAGTAATTCATTTGGAATCGACTACTCTAGAAACTGAAGAGAGTGCATGGCATGCTCCCCCAGGGAGTCAACGACAAAGCACGCTCCATCCTGGAGTGCTTACAAGCACACTCTACCCAGAACATGTTTGGCAAGCATGCTCCTGGGTAGAGCGTGTTTGCAAGCACACTCCAGGATGAAGCGTGCTTTGTGGTTGACTCCCTTGAGGAGCATGCCATGCACTCTTATCTGAAGTATCGCAGTCAGATCATGTTCCTCTTAAAACAAACTAACATGCTAAAACAATAGCATTTTTGCAAAACAAACAAATACGCTAAATCAATCCAATCACAATAAGTGATATCACAAAGATCAGTTCATTCAACGGTGAGTACAAACCAGTCACCGATGGATAAAATTTCCTACACCAAGTCGAAGTCACACTGGAAGGTGTCACAAGGGCTGACGCCGTACTTCTCCATGTAGAGGGCAATGCCGTCGCTGCTGCTGGCCTCGGTGCTGCAGCTGGGGCCGTTGCTGGCCGCGACGCTCGTCATGCCGTTGATGGTCTCGTCGTGCGCCAGGAGCCGCCCTTGTTCCTCCTGCATGTCCAGGACGCCGTCGAGGACGGCCTTCTCCGGGGCGGACAGCGGCCCGGTGGCAGACACGAACACCCTGGGGCCGAGGACGGACACTGCCTGCGCGCGGCCGCCCTGTCGGAAAACGCCGCGGCCGTGGACGGGCGTGGCGGCCTTGACGAGCCCCGGGGCCACGGCGCCGTGCCCTTGGCCGTGCCTGCCGAGCGGCCGGCTGATGGTGAAGGATCTTCCGCGCGAACTGACAGGGAACACCAGCCGGTTTCGTGGGACCAAAACCTGAAATTGAGAAACGGTAAACAGAGTCCGTTAAAACGATGGTTTCAACGTGTGAGGGTCGAATCGTGCTCAGGGCTGACGAGTTGAAATACCCTTGCCGGCACGTTGACGATCCGGGACGGACTGAGGGAGCCGGGGCGGCCTTGGCCTCGCTGGGGCAGTGCTTGTTGGCGGACGGGGCCGACGGGGCGCATCGGGGCGGCCCGGCCGCGCGCGCTGGGCACGCTCGGCACGGTGCAGGAGATGGACGCCGTCCTGCTGTTGGGGGTGCGGCGAAGCAAGGCGTGCCAGGCGGGCTCCTGGTTTCCTAAAACCAACAAGCAGACGAAATGAGCGACACGGTACGGGCCAAAACACGCATAGAAAAACAACAGCAAGCCTCTCACCAATAGCGACGCTGGGCGGCTTCCTGGTGATGACCTTGATCACCTTCGGCTTGGCCTCGCCGTCAGAGTCACGCTCGTCGGAGTCCCCGATGATCTCGGCGTCGCTCTCGCTGTCATCGTCGGCCACCACCATGTGGTCCACCACGACCGCGCGCCGCGCCGGCGTACTGTGTTCACGACAAGGATCAACATCAGGATGACAGACATGCCGCCAGCGCACAGTGGGCCAGAAGACCGGAGGGGGCGGACAAAACTCTAGACGCGTTTCGAGCTCCGGCCGGAGTCGCTAAATGGGACTCGAGCCGAAAGTGTGACCCCACCAATGGCTTGCTCTCCGAACGAGGAATCCTTTGGTGGGGTCACACGTTCGGTTCGTGTCCCATTTAGCGACTCTGGAGCTCAAAACGCGTCTAGAGTTTTGTCCGCCTCTACCGGTCTTCTGGCCCACTGTGCTGCGGTTTGGCTTACAACCGTACAAAACACGGAGCATTTCGCTGGCCATAGACCGCGACACTGCGGCACCTTCATTTTCATCTACGTAGGTTAGGCGACGGCTGTCACCAAGCTAACTCACCAGGGCGCGACGGCGGGGAGCCTCATCCTGGGCGTCTCAGGTGGCGGCGGCGAGCAGTGCGGGTCGCCGAGCCGGGGGACCCGGCCCGTCCTCATGGCCAGGATCGAGTTGTTCATGTGCACGGCCAGGGCGATGATACAACGTCTCGCAGTTCCTCTTCCTCGCGACGGGCAAGACGTGCGTGACGCTACGCTAGGGCCGAGCCGCTGTGGCCGAACCGAACGGCCGAACGCGACAACAACACAACGCCAACGGTCACGGGGGGAAGGGAGAAGGGGGAGACGAGGGGGAGGGGGATTGTTGCGCGGCGCAGCGCGGGCGCGCGGCGGGGTGGCGGGGAGCGAGGCTTGTGGCGGCAGGAGGGAGGCGTAAGGGGAGGCGGCGACGGCAGGGGAGGGGGGAGGGGAGGGAGAGACAGGGAAAGACGGCGGCGCGCCGCGCTGCTCGAACCTGCGTGTCGCTCGTGTCGTGGTTGCGCGGTGGGCGTAAGGGTTAAATCTCACACTTACGACAGTTCAACCCCTGTGTTGGTCAAACTCAAACGCACCCCCTCCCGTACCCTGGACCACCCACCTCCGAGGGGCACCACCCATGAGCGCTCAAATGTTCCCCTTGACGTTACAAAATTGAGCCTAATTTGGCCGTCCGAATGCATCATTATCATCATCGACGCTTTACCAGAAAATTTCCCTGACCCCTCTGCCTGCGAGCACACGCACGGCAGAGCTCTACATTCAAGTGGGTTTGACTAGATGGATGGGGTTAAAAATGCACTTTGTTGAAATTTCTTTCCTCCATTTAATTGTCTTCATAAAAAATGAAACAAAACATCATGTATAACAAGAACAACCATATTAGTTCAGGAAACAGTAACTTCGTCACTTTGTTAGAAAAAGTCTAATAGAAATAGTTTTGGATAAGAATGAGAAGAGTACTGTAATAGTGATTGTCTCAGCGCAAAATGAGACAACTGCGTAACAGTTAACAGGTTCTACAAAATATCTTTATGTATAAAAGAAGTTGAGTCAGATCAGCAGTCATCTGCCTCCTTCGTACCAACGTTACCGCACGAAAAACAGACGAAAATGGACTCAACCCCAATATGCGAACAGGTCCATCTTCCCGACATGAACACGCCTATTTTTCGTGTGGGCCGTATTCGCACAAATTTCAGTCCCCACAATTTTATCGGCGCCTCAGAACCAAGCCAAACGAACCGAAGGGTGAACTCGGCCAACTCCGGTCCGAATGGCCGCAGAAGAAAATCCACATTCAACAACACGTATGTAATAGGAAAACAGTTATGCGTTAACGGAAGTGACAACATTTCTTCTGAAAACAATAATTTCGTACTGCTTGTTGAAAACTTTTCGCAGAACCAACAACAGGGGGAGAGATTATTACATAAACACTTATAATACGAACACAGCAAAATCGTCTTAAGAAGGGACCTACTGGAACAAGTAGTGGTAGAGCCAAGGAGCATTCGATACGCATAAAGGTACGTTCAAAACAAACACCATTGGCAGAGTGTAACGAAAAACAAAAACAACAACAAAAAACACAATGACTTTTATCGACATTTTCATCACGAATTTTACAATCAATAACTCACGAACGTATCGAGGGGATTTTAGCTTATTGCTTTTTGATTCTCAAATATTAACACGAAAGTCCAAAAATTTCTTCTTTATACATGAAACGTACAATAATAAACCACTCGCATAATTTCAACAAATTCTGGCTAATATGTCTAGATCACAAGTTTGAGACTGGAAACATTTAACGAGCCACTAAGCCACTATTTTGAGGCCCAGGACTTCTCTTACATTAGGACAACAAATGACAACATACATTGAGGTTCTTAACATAATATAAATATTACCATTTAAAGCAGTACCCTGAATGAATGCATTACACTTCTCATATTTTTCACTATCTTGAGCTCTACATCACACATGCTGCCCGAGCCATTCCATTCACCAAGGGGTGGCAATTCGCAAACGGGCCACAGTGAGAAAATTCGACGGTCAAAACCGACAAAAGAGCCGTTTTCGCCATGTTTTGTTCGTAGGAAACGAGACCGTCGTCCATACCGTAATGGAACACTATGTCTTCCCTGAGCCCAGTTTCAGAGTCTTCTCACACCACACAGGCGCGGTGGACTCACAAGGCACTTGAACTCTCACCTACTTCCGAATTCACACTCACACACACTCACACACGCGCATTATTATATTCATTCACATGTCTCTCTCTTGAAGCACCTTCTCGAACCGACACTACAGACCAACACCCCTTAATGCTATAATTGACCTATTAGTGCTATGAACATTGAACGAACGAACATGCAGTGGGCGACAAAAGCGACAGGGGCCATACAACAAAATAAACGGGGGAGGGAGTGTAAACAAGGGGCCGCTTAAGGTAGGCAGCCCGCCACGCGGCCTGCGATCACACTAGAGCCCAGATTGAGTACAAAAGCCGAATGCAATGAAAGTAAATATGCAAGGAGCCAAAGGAACATCAGAAGGGCGACGGGATGCTGCCGCACGCAGGAGGACCTCAGTGGTTTTCAGAAAGCTATGGAACCTCAGTAAGATTTCGCTGATTTTATTTTCAGTCTTGGAAAAATGCCTTAGGATTTCGATATAAGTCCTTTTGGTTTAATCTCTGTCTGAGATAAGATGTAATTTAGTGGTATATTATTTTATCTACACTGTTTGGACAACACGTATGTCGTAAGGTAAGAGTTAGGATGACCTTGCCTACACTGCAGGTCCTGGTGTTGAACGATTTGGAACTCAAATTTAAACTTCACCCCTCAGAAATGTAAGATTGGGAAACAAATGTGTCCCAAACTCAGTAAATTTTCCGTTTAAAGTTTTGCGATGATTGTCGCTGACGTCTGAGAAGGGCGCGGAAATTATTGCACCGCAAAATTCTACACCAGTATCTTCGGCGCGTAAAGTTAACTAGTAAAAAAACAATGACACTCGAGTAAGGGGAAAGTTAGGCATACCATCTAGGCTTGAACCAGGCAACTAATGGGCGTCCAACCGGGCCTTAGGGAGGATAAACTACTGCGTAGGAACTTAACATAGAGTCCATGTAATTAGTATTTTCAGCACATGCTGGTGACCTGCACTGCAAATCCATCTATCTTGAACAACACTACCAAATTTTAAACATCTTTAGAACACCTCTGAAACGAGCACAAACAAACAAAAAAGTCACACACTATTTAACATTTACGTTCGCTGTTCCGATACTGAATCACTTCTCTCTAAGAACGAAACGAAACAAAAAGTATGGAATATAAGAAGGGACGCTGTTTCTGAAGATCCGCACGGACCCACGGGGTCACTATGCCGCCTGGAAGGGCCGGTCAGGGTCCTCGTCCAGGCTGAGGCACTTGAGGAAGTAGCCTTCCATGGACTTGTACATGTGCTCCAGCACCCCGTCCAGCTGGTGGCCCTCGTCGGGGTAGCTCTGCAAAGACGACCAAGACGACCACGACGCCGCGCGTCAAGTAAGGAGGTAACGACAATAAAGCGCGGTTTTCGATTTTTGAAGTTACCTGGTAGCGGAAGACGACGCTCTCCTCGGAGAGCGCGCGGGCGAGCGCGGCGCCGTGCAGGAAGGGCGCGGACACGTCGGCCAGCCCGTGCAGCAGGTAGAGCGAGTGGCTGGGGATGTAGCGGGCGCGCCGCGTCGCGTCCGCCTCCACGTACCCCTTGAAGTTGTCCGACGGCAGCCCCATGATGCGCTCCGTGAACGCCGAGTCTGCAAGCCGCCACAGTGGCATGCGTCAGCAGACAAGTCCGAAGAGTCGTTTTGTCGCTCCGTCTCCGTCGCACGCATGCGGCGTCCCGTAAGGGTGGGACGGAGACAGCGACAAAACGACTCTTCGTTATCACTCAGCAGACGGCGGACGTCAGGCGGCGTCAGCCCGGCTAGACGACGCGGTGCGACGCGGTGCTTGGCGGACATTGTACTCACTGTAGTAAAGCCAGTCGGAGATGGGCGACACGCCGATGCCGCACTTGAAGACGCTCTGCTGCGAGCCCAGCACCATGGCGGTCACGTAGCCGCCGTACCCCCACCCCCACAGGCCGACGCGCGTCCGGTCCATGAAGGTCTGCGACTCCAGCAAGTGCCTGACCACGCTGATCTGGTCCTGCACTTCCGGGCCGCCCAGCTTGCGGTGCAGGCCCCGCTTGCTCTGGCCCCGCGCCCCGCGCGCGTCCAGGCGCACGTAGATGACGTCGAAGCGCGACGACATGTAGGTGCCCCAGTGCACGGAGAAGCGGTCCGTCACCGTCCTCGCCCCGGGCCGGCCGTTCCTGTTGAGGAGAACGAGCGCGTCACGACTCTGTCTCTCTCGCACTCGTGGGGCGTACACACGGTAAAAACGGTTCCTGGTTTTCCCGGGAACTTCCTGGAAATCGCCTATGGCTCTGCTATAGGTTTCCTGGGAAAACCAGGTACCGTTTTTACCGTGCAAGGCGCGCCGCGGAGGTGCGAGAGGGACAGTTCCCCAACTTACACTTCGACGAGCACGGGGAAGGCGGCATCGCGCAGCTCCTCCCTCCAGGACGGCGGCAGCAGCAGCTGCACCTGTGCGCGCAGCCCCTGCGCCAGCGGCACCTCGAAGGACCTCATGGTGGGCAGCGCGAGCTGCGAGAGGCGGCCCGCCCGGGCCGGCGTCGTGGTGTACAGCATGCGCAGCACGCGGTGCGTGGAGGCCACGTGCACGCCGCCCAGCGGCAGCCCCGGGCCCTCGCACTCCAGCACGTAGTGCAGCACGCCCTGCTCCGGGCTGCAAAGAGGGAGCACGCCGTTAGCTGCGTCGCCAGGGCGGTGCGCTGTGCGGCGCGGCCTGGGGGACTCACTGCGGGGGCGAGGTGATGGCGGAGAAGTGCGTGCAGTTGACGTAGTGGTCCCGGTCGGCGCCGGTGAGGCCGGCCAGCCCGCAGGTGATGCACTGCGGCTCCAGGCGGCGCGGGTCGTCCGTGGAGGGGTCCCGCACGATGTACAGGTGCTGCTGCCCGGGCACCGCCTCGTGCGTGCCCAAGTAGTACCTGCCCGCGCACAGACGACAACGACAAGTCAGCTTAAGTCGCGCCGGAGAACGCCTAGCCCGTAATGGAAATGGTAATGCCGGGTAGGCAGCCCGGCGGCGGGCACATGCACGCGTGCGCAGCGCGCTGCCTACCCGAGGGTTCGCAGGCGCTCGGCGCTCGCCGCCCACTTACACGATGTGGTTGACCGTGTCCCAGGCCAGGATGGCGGTGACCTCGTAGCGGCCGTGGCTCAGCACGGCGGTGCGCGTCTGCGTCCTGGTCACGTGCTTGACGTGCGTGTAGCGGTCGTTGTCCTCGGCCACGGACGCCAGCAGCAGGAACGAGTCGGCGCCGGGGCCGAACAGCGGCTGCGCCTGCAGGTCCAGCCAGGAGTCCTCGGGCGCCCTCTCGGCGTGGGCCTGCACAGCGAAGCATAGCCAAGGCGCTCAGTCGGGGTAAACCGGCCGTGAAGTACGGCCCTGTCCGCGCGGCGCCTCGCTGGGGTGGACGCCGGACGGAGCCCACAAACACATGGGCCGTGAGATGCCCTCTCACGTAGTTCATGCGGATGCCGCTAAAACTCCGCGAGACGACCCAATATCCCCAGAGGCGGTCTTTTGCCCCTCCCGCCTCTTATCCCGGCCCTGGCCGGCCTGAGATAGGCCGAGATCCAATGGCAGCCCCTTCCCTTGATTTACGCGGCCCGCACGGCCTCGGCCCGCACCGCCCTCACCTCCATGCAGGTCCAGTTGGGCGGGCTGCACACGCTCACGATGCTGAGGTTCTGCGCGCGCCGCATCCACACGGCCCCCACCATGTCGTTGTTGCCGCCGATCCAGTCCGCCGAGGTCAGGTAGTACTCCCTGCGGGCAGAGCGAGCCGGCCAAGAGTTGACAAACGCGTCGCACACAGCCAAAAGGGAAAGTTTGGAACAAACTTTTTATTTTTATTTTCGAGGTTGCGGGTGCGGCCCCTGGCTGCTGGATACTTACTGGTCTTGGAGGACGGCGGGTGGCCTGAGCTCGGTCGCCACGCGGTCTGTCGAGTTGCGAGTGTCAACGACCCAGAGCTTCACCTCAGGGTTGGCCGTGCCCGGCTGGAAGCGAAGCACGCGCGTGCCGTTAAGGACGTTGCACAAGTTTTCAATCTACAGATGACTAAAAATATTATTTTCTATCATCCTTCTCTCTAGAAACTGTGGAATAAATTGACACGATATTCGTGAACAAAACTTGTCTATTTACCTAAGGGTACTAAATTTGACTGTGGTCTAAACGTGGGCTCTAGTGGAAATGTGACGACCTTTTCCGTCTGATCCTAGTCTAGACTTTCTCTCTAGGCAGTCGTCCGCTAGTTGGACTACTCGAGGCGAAAGTGACTATCTACTCTCGTTGTCGTGAGGTGGGGTGGGGGTCGCCCTGGTGGCAGGCCGCAGCGGGCCGGCGCGGCGCCTTACCGTGGGGTACCGGACGGTCCTGGACTTGGGGAAGAAGGACGACGACGACGCCCTGGAGTCCTTGGCCTTGAAGTCGAACCAGGGGTAGTTCATGGTGCGGACCAGGCTGTCGTTGAAGGAGGCGTACAGCAGCATGCTGCCGTCCGGCGAGGGCCACACCGCCTCGGGCGAGGACAGGATCTCCTCTGCAACACAATAGCGGGTTGGGGAGGGCCGCGGGCTGGTGGGACTGCGTCGTCTGCGTGGCGGCCGGGCTGCGGAGCGGAGGAGGCGAGGCGGGGCGAGGCGGGGCGAGGCGAGGTCCATCGAGGTTCGCTGCACTGGCTGTACTGGCTGCACGCGCGGGGCCGGGAGTGTCAGGCGAGGCGTTCAGGGAATCAGTTGCATCACCTGACTGCTCCGACTGACGCCCCCAGCGCCGCCACCAAGACCGCAGTGACGCCCTGCCGCCCAGGCCGGGACCCTGGCCCTGGCCCTGGCCCTGGCCGTCGAGGGCACCGGCCGCCCGAACCGCCCCGTCGGCTCCCCGGGCGAAGCAGTCGGGATAGTGGCTGGCTGGCTAGACGCTCCTAGGCGGCTGTCGCTAAGGTGTCTCCGGGACGTCGTCTATGACCGCCCGGGACACCGCCTACAGTGTCTCTAGCGCACTCTAGCGATTGTGGTGTGCGCGCCTTCTAGACCGTGACCTACTTGTCGTCTACGGGGCGTTCGCCCTGTGCTGCACGCGCACACTGCACCGCCTAGGTGCTCTCTAGAGATCGCTACACCGTCTACGATGCTGCCGGCCGGCGGTCTTCACGGCCACGGCACGGCCACGCACAGTGGGCCAGAAAACCGGTGGAGGCGGCCAAAACTCTAGACGTGTTTTGAGCTCCAGAGTCGCTAAACAGGATTCGAACCGAACGCGTGGCCCCACCACTGAAATTCTCGTTCGGAGAGCAATCCATTGGTGGGGTCACTCGTTCGGTTTGAGTCCCATTTAGTGACTCTGGAGCTCAAACCGCGTCTAGAGTTTTAGCCGCCTCCACCGGCCTTCTGGCCCACTGTGCCACGGCACGGCCACGGCAAGGCCATGGCACGGCCACGGCCACGGCACGGCCACGGCCACGGCATGGCCACGCCACCGACTCAGACCGACTCACCCTGGTACAGCCAGTCCGCCACGCCGTTGTAGAAGACGCCGGCCTCCCCCGTGTCCGTGAGGCGCGCGTCTTCCTCGCCCTGTGGCGAGCCGCGCACGTAGATGTCGTTCTCGCTGATCATGAGGAGCCCCGTGGTGTTGCCCAGCCACGACGCGTACTGCAGCGTCGTGGACACCACCTTGGGGGCGTGCGAGAGCCGCAGCGGGATCTGGTGGCTGCGAGGACAGGCAGAGTTAGAACTCGAAATGGAAAAGAGGGAAATGAAAATAAATGAAAACAACAACCAAAATAAGTGTCGGTGTTTGAAATATCACGACCGCTCATCACCATCGCGTAAATCTGTTGAACGCGGCCGCGTCACTGAAGTGATCCCCGGCGGCACATCGCCCGCCTCCCCACTCCACCGAGGCCCTCGCCGTCTTGAACCCAAACGTGTGAATCATGAGGGTGGCCCGCGGGGTGGCCCGGGAGTTGCCAGCGCGACACGGCTTGGCCCCAGGGGGCACGCCCGCGGCCAGCAGACCCATTCCGAGAACCGTCTTCATCGCTCTGTCTCTCTCGCACTCAGGGGCGTCCGGTGAAGGTGCGAGAGAGACAGAGCGACGACAACGACTCTCGGAATGAGTGTGCTGCATGGCGTGATGATGCGCATTCAATCCAGGGTAATGGTCTCCCCGCCAGGCGGCCGCGGCGTGGTCACGGCACGGCCACCGCCTCGCTGACCGCCTGGCCGGCCTGGCCGCAAACAAAAATAGCGGCTTTGAAACAGACGGCCAATTTCCTCCAGCAAATGGGCCGTGGCGCCGCGCCGCGGCCGAGGCGGCAAGGATAAGCGGGGACAAGGATAAGCAGATTTATGAAGATAGCACCCCGCCGACCAAGGCGGCCGCGTCCTCGGAGCGGCAACGGCAGTCCCCCCTTCAAGCTTCGAGCGCCGCAGAATACTCACTCGTTGGTCACGTCGTAGACGGTGTACTGCGCCGTGTAGGACTGCCGAAAGATCTGCAACAGGAAATTTTTGATTTGCATGGACAACGAGTGGAGCGGCCCGGCGGCGGGGAGGATCAGGCAAAGGCACCCGGACGCGGCCGCCATGGCCGCAATCTACGGCAACCCAGAGCCTATCCGAGTACAAAATGTCGGCCGCGGCGCGCGCGCGGCGGGCGGCGCGAGGCCGGGGACCGACACGCCGAGCACCCGCGCGACGCCGCGGACCCCGCAGCCGAGCACGCCGAGCACGCCGAGCACGCCGAGCACGCCGAGCACGCCGAGCACGCCGAGCGGGCGGTGCGTTGGGGACGCGGCCCTCTGTCTCCTCATCGGAAGGCGGAGGCGAGGCGCGGCGCGGAGCGGCCCGGGAATTGAAAGCAATCTCAAAAACGCTTTCCGGTGACGGAATAAGTGATTGTCCCCATTTTGCCGCTGCCTCGCCCGCTCCCCCTCCCCCTGCCGCCCGTGTCCCTCACAAAGCCCTGGGCGCACAGGGAGCGGGTTGCCTTGCCTGGCCTTGCCTGGCCCGGCCGAGCAACAAGTAGAATGTCAACAGCAGGTGTCGGCCAGCGTCGACGGCCAGGCAGGGCTGGCAGGCAGGCAGGCAGGCAGGCAGGCAGACAGGCAGGCAGGCAGGCAGACGTGTGGCATGACCAATGTATTCCCTTTGAGGGGGCATCTGGCGAATTAGCCCACAGCTCAAAGAGCTTTGGTCCGAACGAGTGGCGTATCGGGCCGGGCAGCGGGGCAGTGGAGCAGCAGAGCCACCCCCCGCCCAGATTGGGTTCCAAATCCACGCTGCTGCTGCTGCTTCTGGCCTGAACCGGACTGGGCAGCCCGCAGCCCGCAACGCATTCCTAGCACTGTGAAGTACGCGTCCGGGGCAGCCTCGGACACGGCCGGCCCTGCGGTTCACACCATGGCCGTTGCCCCAGCTACGCCACCACGCCCCGCCCCGCCCCCCGCCCCGCCCTACCACGAGGCGGCCTTCTACAGTGCCACCGCGCCACCCCCTCAGGTGGCTCCGGCAAGTTCCGGGCCTGCCAGTAATTGCCTTCATATCCGACCAGGCATGCTGTCGGCGTGGCGCTGGTGTGGCGGGGCGGGGCGGGGCGGGGCGGGGCGTGCCGACGCTCTGCAACTCAATCGCGACGAGCCCACTTGAGTTAAACTTGGCGTCTCATCCCTGCAGAGCCCCGCCAGAGCCGCTCTCCACTCACGGCGGCTTGCCTGGGGCTTGCTGCTGCTTGCTCGCGGCTCGGATAGGAAAACTGGCAGAGCCGCCTCAGCCCTGTCGGGGGGACGCGACGTGGCGAGCGGTGACGCCCTGGTGACGCCCCGGTGACGGCCCAGTGACGCCGCCCGAAGCGATGACTCTCGCTAAAAGTGGCATCGCGGCCATGACAATATGTCACGGTCGACGCGGCCCCGGCCTGCCCCAGCCCCCGGGCCGGGCTCCGAGGATTTGTCTCCGCGGCAGATTTCACGACGTCGCCGACGACGAGCGGGGGAGGCACGGGGGAGGCGAGGGGGAGAAGCGGCGCCCAGAGGGAGCGGCAGGGAGGTGATAATGTCAGGCCGTGTCCGCTCTTTGGCGGCCCGGCCAGGCGTGGCGGCGCGGCGCGGCGGCGTGCCCTGGACGGCCCTGGACGGCCCTGGACGCGTTGGGCTCGCACCGCTCCCCTTTGGCGACGCCCCCGGCGGCGGGGAGAAGCCGTGTCGGGGTGATTCCTCTCTCTGTGCGCTTCGCCGCTACACGTGGAGGGGACCGGGCCGACCGGGCCGAACGGACTGGGGGGCGGCCCGGCCGCCGTCCCTCACCGCGCGTCCATTCCGTTCGAAAATGTGTGTCCGAGCCGGCCGGGCCGGGACAGCGTGAGTAATGATGAAAGTTGCAGGCCCGGGGCGGGGCGGGGCGGCAGTCGGCGGGGCGGCGGAGGCGGCGGGGGCAGTTTGGCTGTGGCGACGAATGGGCGTGGCGGTCGGACGTCGCCGAGGCCCGCAGCACGACGGCGGCGGTCGGCGGCCGAGCGTCAGCGACACCACTGCAGTTTTGTGGTTCGGACTAATGAGCTGCAAGAAGCGAACGCACAGGGGCATTAATGTCCCGGGGGAGGAGAAGGAGAGGGAGAAGGAGAAGGAGGGGGACTTTTTCGTTCCGCTCCGCCGCCTCGCAGACCCAAGTCCCAGACTCCCAGGACCGCGCACCGCGCCTCCACCGACAGCTAATGGGCCTAATGGAGCGAGTTAGTCTCTCACACACACACACGCACGCACTTCAGCACGGCGAGGAGAGGAAAAACGGAACAACAATGACACGAGCTTAGTCTCCAGTATTTCTTTTCAACACTGCACGGGGAAAGGCACACAACCACGAAACTTATCGCGTCGGAAAGAAAAATCGACGTGGCTTGTTCCGAGACACGGTGACGCCATGTCGACGCGGTGCTGATAGTCAAACCAGCAGCACGAGCTTTTACAGCGTGGTTCCTGCCTCGTGCGCCTTGCTGCCTGGCTCGACGAGGCCTGCCTAAACTTCCATCCGAGAACGGTGCCATATTTCAGTGCCGCCAGCCAGACCCCGGACCCCGGCAAGGGCCCCGGGGGCCGCCACCTTCACCACTCCGCCAACCAGGGCCGTGGCGCCGCGGACACGGCAGGGCAGGGCGCAGAGCGCAGGGTGGCAGCCCCACTCGTAAACCGCGCCTACCAAGTCGGGGCCTAAATTGCATTCCAAGTTTGTCTTTATTGGGCTTCGGGCTTCGGGCTCCGCCACGGCTCGGCCGTAGATTGAATCTGGCCGTTAATTGCCAGTGCCGTGCCCGGGCCGCGTTATTGTTACGCACGTTGCGTGCGCGGCGTGGCGTGGCGTGGCGCGGCGTGGCGTGGCGTGGCGTGGCGTGGCGTGGCGTGGCGTGGCGTGGCGGGCGTGGCGGGCGTGGCGTGGCGCTGGCGTGGCGCGGGCGCGGCGTGGCGGGCGTGGCGGGCGTGGCGTGCGGCGTGGCGCGGCGTGGCGTGGCGCGGCGTGGCGCGGCGTGGCACGGCGTGGAACGGGAAGGGAAAGGGTGGGGGTGACCTGGCCCTATCAGCAGTCCCGGTGACTCTGGCCGCAACCGCCTCGCAGGCCCCGCAGCTCCACTGAAAAAGACCAATTAGTCCAATTTTCCGCCCCTTTTTCATTCCGTCCCCGCTGGAGCCCGCTGGAGCCCGCTGGCTGGTGCCCGTCCGCTTCAATTCGTCCGACGAACGCGGAACGCGGCACGCGGCCGGCATCGCAAGCGCACTTCTCGCTGACTTGCGCGGCGTGGCGGCGTGGCGTGGCGTGGCGTACCCGATGGCGTACCCGCAGTCGGGGCGGTCGGGGGCTGGCCTGCTGCAGTTAGGCAGAACGCCTCCCTGCCCCCGCCCGCCCCTTCCCAGCTGTCCCGTCCAAACATTCCCCGCCCCTTCCCCTCCCCCCTCCGGGGCTGCGGACTGCCCCCTTCCCCTCCGCGACGGGGGAGGCGGGGGGTGAGGGGCGGGGCACATAAAAAGTTATTCTAGTTCGCGGGAGGAAAGACATAAAAGGCGCCGCCGCCAATTGAGGGGCATGTATACGGGACGACCGTCCCTCTCCTCGGCCGGAGCCGGGTCGGCCGGGCCGGAGCCTCCCCGGCGCGGCACGGCGCGGCACGGCACGGCGAGCGGGACGGTGTAAAGTTGTTCCCGCAGCTTTTCAATAATGGCGAGACATGGCTCGCTCGAAACACGTTTATTCATTCCACTTGGTTCCTCTGGGCCTGTCGCCGCCCGTCGCCCCGACGCAGGGACCACCGCACAGTGGGCCAGAAGACCGGTGGAGGCGGCCAAAACTCTAGACGCGTTTTGAGCTCCAGGGTCGCTAAACAGGACTCGAACCGAACGTGTGATCCCACCAATGGACTGCTCTCCGAACGAGGAATCCATTGGTGGGGTCACATGTTCGGTTCGAGTCCCATTTAGCGACTCTGGAGCTCAAAACGCGTCGAGAGTTTTGGCCGCCTCCACCCCGGTCCTCTGGCCCACCGAGCACCGGCCGGCCGGCGTGCGGGGCGCTGCAAGTCCTTGATCCTGCCTCACCTGCTCCACCGTGTGCTGAAGGAGGACGTAGCGCAGGTCCTGCGAACATTTGAAGCTCTTCACGTTGAGTTGTCTCTGCAACAGAAAACAAGAGGAAGCGCAGTCAGAAAATCATCAACAACTACACGGAGAAGACGAGAGAACACCACGAAGTTCGCACTTCTTCTTTGTCGCCAAATTCCACCACCACCCGACCGGGTAAAAGAATTCCGGTCCACAAACTAACCGCGCTGCTTGCCGCGCTGTGAATTTGACGAGGTTTTGAAAGGCGACACGCGCGCGACGTCGCGCGTAAGTGTGCGTGTTCGCGGCGAGGCGCGGCACCAACTTGGTGCCGAGTTGCCCCATTAATTGGATTATCTCATTGAGTGACTCGGCGACTCGCGCCGACTGGAGCGACTGTCTGCCTCGGCGCCTCGCACCTCCTGGAGGCGTCGGGGGAAGTCTGTTACTCGGAGACTTGATTTTGTTACAGAATTACTTTTCTGTTTTCTCCTGACTGGGTCTGGGGAGGAGGGCGAGGAGTGGGCGGGCCGTAGTGTCGCACAGTCTGTCTCCCTCGCTCCGCGGGCCCCGCCTCGGCTCTGCCTTGGCTGCGGCGGCGCCCCTTCCTGCACCAAACTTTTGATCGCCCATTGACTTCTCTAACCGCGGACCGCGCGCCGCGCCACGGACAGCGAAAGAGCAGGATCGGTTTTTGAAAGGAAAAAGGCTGCCGCGGGCGCCTGTCCGCCCTTCCCTTGCAGGGCCTTCCAGGCTCGGCTTAGCTCGCAGTCAAGCCCGCTGAAAAGTAAGGAAAAGGCGGAATAAAAAAGGCGCCTTTTTAATAACCCATCGGCAGCGCGCACCTTTTGTCCAGCCGATCGGCGGCGCACCGCCCGAGGCCTCGGCCGTCGCCTCGGGATCAGGACTTTGAGTCACTGTCACTCGGAAAATGAACAAAGTTTGAATCGCCGAAGCGTATTTGTCTCCGGAGCCAAGGGGGAGGGGCAGGGTGGCTTGCCTTTCTGAACCAAGTTGACCTGTAGCAGGAAAGCGAAAGCGGGATGAAAAAAAAAAAAGAAAAGAAAAGAGGGAGAGAAAGGAAAGGAAGAGCGGAGGAGTCACCGCTTTGCTTCCGCTGGCCAAACAAACTACACCCCTCTTCAGCGCGCGCTCTCATGCGGGGCTTGGAATTATTTGCAGTGCCCCAGAAAGGCACACAACAAAAAACAAAATGACATAAAAAATAAAGGTAAAATATATTGACAGACATGCGTCGGGCATGTGGCTGCCCTCTGCTTTCGAAAGGTAATATTACCTTTTACTGGCAAGCGGCTGGCCTCTGCTTCAAAAATAGAATATTTTTATTTTCATCATGCAGAGCTAATCTTTGCTGCCGAAAGGCAACATTTTCCCACCTCTTTGACCTGATAAAGCTCTTCCATCAATTAATTCTTGAAGAAAGAGAAAAGAAAAAGAAAAGTTGCCGGTCTATCTATCCTACTGCCGAGGCAGTAGTAGTTGAGCTTGAGGGCCCTGTACTTCTTTTTTCTCTTTTTTCTCTTTTTTTCTGTCAGCTCTAAGACAAGGGAGAGGGGGGGGGGGAGCAGAGCAACAGTACGAAGCCCTGCTCTTGTCTCCAGAGGGATCCCGACACAATAGCCGCTAATCACCCATCATCTCCTACGCACTTCCTTCTCCACCCTTCCCTCCCCCACCCTTCCCCCTTCCCCTCTTTCTCGCGCGTGAAATCCCTTCCGGGCCCGCAGCAGACTCGAGCAGGCGTATCCCCTGTACACTCTTATCTCGCCGGCAAACTCTTTTCTTGATATTTGCTGGAGCCGCTGGAGCCTGCTGCTGCCTGCCCGGGGGGTCCGCGCGCCAGCCAGCGAGCCAGCGAGCCAGGCTAGGCAGGCAGGCAGGCAGCCAGCCAGCAGCCGGCCAGCATCGCGGCACAAGCTGGCGCGGCTGGCAGCAAGTGAATGTTGCTGGTGACAAAGGCAGGCCGCTACGGCGGAGAGTGAAATCGTCGGAAGCTTACAAGCACTGGAGCGGCAATCGCACAATCTGCCCTAGGCCGTGAGTCGGCTATGGCTGGCTGGCTGTAGCGTGATGGCCGGGAATGGCGCGTCTGCCCGCGTCCGCATCGCCTAGAGCCTCCAGCAGCCTCAGCACCCCAGGCAGCCTTAGCAGACCAGGCGCTCACGCGAGCGTCAGACGCAGGAGCAGCAGCAGACAGCAGCGCAGGATTCAGCCCCTCGATCGCGGCACAAGCTGGCGCGGCGTGGCAGCGAAGTGAAATTGTTGCTGGTGAAAAGGCGAGGCCGCTCGGCGGAGAGTGGGGCGAAATCGTCGGAACGCTTACAAGACACTGGAGCGGCATATCCGCCAAACAACCTCCCCCTCCTGCCCCATAGCCCGCCCGTGAGTCGGCTATAGCGTGGCGTGGCGTGGCGGGGTGTAGCGTGATGGCCGGGGAATGGCGTCACCGATCTCGCCCGCGTTCCGCATCTCGCCGCCTCCAGCAGCCTCCAGCAGCCCTCCAGCAGCCCTCCAGCAGCCCTCCAGCCAGCCTCTAGCAGCCTCCACCCCAGTGGCGTGCGCAAAGGGGGGGGGAGGGGGGGGGGGGGTAAAGGGGGGTCATGCCCCCCCTTTGGCCACTAGAAAAAGGGCCCGCCGGGAAAGGGTAAAAGGCAATTGCCCGTCTTACCCCATTTTTTTGCTCATTTTTTTTCAAAAAAAAAAACCCAACTTTCACCTTTTCGTTTTTTAAAATTTTCGATTAAAAAAACCCATTTGACAACTGGAAGCTTTAAAGAAATCACTATAAACCCTTGGGGGAAAAATGGGGGGGGGTGGGGGTGGGGAGGGTTTTTAAAAAACGAGTAAAAAACGGGGTCCAACCTTAAATTTTCCAAAAATTTAAAAAAAATGGGCCTTTTTTTGGTTGTGGGGTAGGGCATTTTAAAAAATTTTTCGGGGAATCCCCCCCCCCCCTTTTTTTGCGAGCCCCCCCAACCTCTAAACGGGTAAAAAACTTAAAAAAAAGGGTCTTTCCCCCTAAAGGAAAACTTAAGCCGGGAAAGGGGCATTAAATTTTTCAAAATTTTCCCATTTACCCCCCCTAAATTTTGCCCGCAAGGGAAAAAAAGGAAACCCCTCTTTTTTACCCTTTTTTTCCAGAGCCTCCAGCCAGCCTCCAGCCAGCCCCCAAACCAGCCTCCAGCAGCCTCCAGCAGCCATCCAGCCTCTATCCGCCGGCCCAGGCCCCCCCCCCCCCCCGGGGGGGCCCCCACTCGCCCCGCCGGGGAGGGCCCCCCCCCGGCCCCACGGGGGGAAATCCGCCCCGACACCCCCCAAGGCCTCCGGGGCGGAAACCCCCCTTTGGGCCAAACCCCCGACCCGAAAAGGGGGCCGGTCCGAATGACGCGCCCAACCGGGGCCGCGCGCCGGATAAGGGTGGGCCCCAACCCCCTTGCCGCGTTTTCGGCGGCAACCCGCGGGCCCCCCAGAAACGGGCGCTCCCCCTCGAATGCCCCGCGCTTTCTTTATTTTTTCAGGGCTCCCGGGGGCCCCCGCCGGAAAAGGAGGAGTGGCGGCCCCGAGGTAGGCCCCCATTGGGCCCCCCCTGGTACCAGCCCGGCACCACCGCCCGGTGGCACCGCCAGAAAGGGGGCTCCCCCATCGCACCCCGCAGGGTAGGCCCCGATCCCCGGAATTGGGTATGGCAAACCCGTGGGCTGGCCACCCCCAGGAGGCCACCGAGGGCGGCTACCGCCATCGGCTAGGCTACCGCCATCGGCTAGGCCACCGCCATCGGCTAGGCTACCGCCATCGGCTAGGCCACCGCCATCGGCTAGGCCACCGCCACGAATACTGACCAGGGTGTGGTTGCTGACGAGCAGGGTGGCGTTGTTGGTGTGGGTGTCGAGCACGGACAGCGCGCCGTCGTCCGCCTGGTAGACGAGGTGCGTGCTGTCCACCCAGGCGGGCGGCAGCCTCTGGCTGGACAGGTCCCCGGCGAGCAGCTCCTCCAGGCGCATGCGCCGCCCGGACCAGTACAGCAGCTCGTCCACGTAGCCCAGCAGGTAGATGGCGGTGACGATGCCCGAGATGACCAGGCCGATGACCAGCAGCGAGAAGATGATGCTGCGCCAGTTGTGGCCTTCGCCCGAGCCCGGGTACAGCAGCTCCTGCGACACGAGGGTCGGCGTCAGGGACAGGCCTCGGGGACAGGCAAGCTTGCTCGGAGGACCGGCTTGTAAATCTAGCCGTATTTTAGGGCATGAAGTGACTTAATTTTGAATTCAAGGTTTATTTCGAACATAAAATACTGAATTGAAAACGTGGTTTTGGTTCCACGACTTTTTCCTCCTCCAGCAGGCTTACCATGTTCGGGTTACTGGTACATGCGTCTATGAGTACGTTAATTCGAGCATTGTGAACTGTTTGTTCTAGTGTGATTACATGTGTGCGAAGAAACTAGTCAAATTGTTACGGCTACTGGAAAAATGTTAAAAGTTGGTTGCACTGTTTCCTAATGTATGTTTCCGTGAGTTGCTCGTGGTTGTTGCATGGAGCGCGTTTTAAGTGAGTGACTGCAGTGTTTAACTTTGCTCCTCGCGCGAGGACGAAAAAAAAGGGTATCGCGGCGCCAGTATTCGAAGCCAAGACCGACCGCGGGCCGCGAGCCCATCCAGCCCCCCGCCCCTCCGCCCCGGGCCGACGGCGGCCTTTGCTATGCTGATTGTGAAGCATTGTGCCGACAGCCCGCATTGTCGCCGGCCGGCCCATAATTTGGCGCGCATAGTCCCTAGTCCCCGTAGTCCCCGTGGTCCCCGTGGTCCGCGGGTTCAGACAGCTACGCCGCGGTGCGCCGCGGGACAATGCACGCGTCAAAATAAACAACAACAATTAAGCCACCGGAAGTGGTCCGGGTGGACTGCAGCAACACGCCCCCGGGGCCCACGCGCCCCCCCCGCCCCGCCCCGCCCCCCCCCCCCCGCCCCGCCCCGCCCGCCCCCCCCCGCGGCAGAGGCGAGGCCTTCACGCAGCGCCCCGCGGCTCGCGCCCCGCTGCTCGCGGACCGCGGACTCGTCGGGCGGAAAATGGAGAATCGATCAGAGGCTCGGATAAGTTGGCCTGGCGGAGAGAGAAAGGGCCGCAAGGGCCGCACACCCGTATCTTTGCTTTGGCAAAGGGAGCGAAGGGATTCCGGGCCGCGGGCGGCGGACGTAGCTGCCTACTTGCCGGCCTCCTCGGCCTCCACGGCCCCCTCGGCCGCCGCTGCGGGTGAAGGGACAAGATGAAATTAAGACGGCAAAGGGAGGCCGCCCCACCCCGCCCCCCCCCACCCCACCCTGCCCCGCCCTTTGCTTGTTTGACACCCTCGTTATGGGGCACGCCCAGGCCCGGAGCCGCCGGGACTCGAACCTCGAACCCGTGCGTCGCGAACCAATAACGCGCTCAAAATGGATTTCGCCGCATCGCGCCCGGCCAAGGTCTCGGCCTCGGCCAGGAGGAGGCCGTGCGGGCCGCGGCAGTCTTACAAGCCGCCCACCTCGGACCATCCCGCATTGGACGCATTCCAGCACTTCCAGGCAGAGATTGATTCGTTATTTTACGCGGAGCCATCATCTGGGAAAAACCAAAGTCGACTAAAAAAAAAGCCCGATGTAAATGTCTGCGTCATGCCGGTTTTCACTTTTGGGTCAGAGCGAAAAAAACCAAAAAAACAAGGCAAAGAAAGTCGAACACAAAAACGGACGCCACTGATGGCCGACGATGACTGATGAGCCCCCTTTGGGGGGCCCCTGTTTGCTGCTTGCTGCTTGCCCCGCGAGGCCCTCGGCCTCGGCCCTCGGCAGCAGCCCCGTGTAATCTGGCCGCAAGCGAGGAAGCGTGCATGCTGCCATTGTAGTGCCCCCCCCCCCCCAATGCCGAACCATTCATCGCGAGGCTGGGGAGCGCAGACTGGCCGGCAGACTGCCTGTCACGCTGCGGCTCCTTCGCACGCGTCATTAACCGCCTTGTTTGCTCCGCAGTCACTTTAAAAAAGTCTTTGCAGTTGTTGTTGTTTTTTGTTTATATAAAAAAACACGTGATTGTGAACTTTTCCACTACGGCCGCGCGCGTCTTCGGTCACAGATCTGATTTAAAACGCGCGCCCCACACTAAAAACAAGAGTTCTTTCCTAACATTTGTATACAAAATCTATCATTAACACTTTTTTTTTTTTCAGTGCAGTGCTGCTGCCTTTGCATCCCTAGGCCGACCCCACACCCCCCCCCGGGAATTTGGGGAATTGGCAACCCCGCCCCTGCCCAGGGGACCGGGGGGGGGGGGGGGAAGAAAACCAAAATGTCCCGAAGGTTCCGAGTGAGCCGAAACGCCCGCCGCCCAAACGGGGCCCCGGGGGCCCCCCGCCCCCAGAAAAACCCCCGGGAGCCCTTTCGTGCCGGGGGCAAACCCCCGCCCCTGGCGCCCCGGGGCGCCCCAGAGGGCCCCCCAAAGGGTGCGCCCAAAACCCCTTTCCGGAACCAAAGGGCCGCCGAGCCCCCGTTGGGGCGCGCCCGGGCCCCCCTCCCCCGTGCTGCCCCTACAAAATGCCCCCCCCCCCCCAAATGGGGGGAACAGCCCCGTTTACATCCCCCGAGTTTTGGCGGGGGGTTAAAAAAAGGGTAAATTTCCCCCCGGGGAAAATTTTTTCCCCCCCCCCCCAACGGCAACGGAACCCTTTTTTGGGCCCCTGCCCCCCAACCCCCCGGGCTGGGAATTTAGGGAATGGGGAAGGGCCCGAAGGCCCCGGGGCCCCTTTTGGGGGAAAAAATGGGCTTAATTTCCGAGGCATGCACTCAGGGTTAAAACTATTCCAAGCATTTCCCCTTTTACCCGTCCCTCACCCCATGAGTGCAAAAAGGCCAAACGTTCAATCATTCAAGTTTCCTTGGAAAGATCCTGTGTGGTAATCTTTCGTGCGAAAACGTCAGATAAAACTCCTTTTTTTTCAAAAGGGGAGATTTTCGGGGAAAAGGTTTAAAACAAAACAACCACAAAATGCTGCTCGCTGGGGGAAAAAAGGGGCATCAGGGCGGCAGTGCAAATTTTGGGGGTAGGAACCATTTCATCGGGGCTACACTCAAAAAAAAATTAGCAAAACCTGCTTTCTAAAAAGAGAGGGGCCTCCGTCATGGTGAAAAAAAAAAAGAAAAATAAAAAATTAAGTTGCACAATAAAAAGTCAATTTAGGAGAAACCAAAAATGGCAAGAAGGGCGGAGAAAAACTCTAAACCCGGCAAATATAAAAATACAAAAAAAAAAAATCGGCTGCCGTTCCCGGGAGCCGGCCATCAGGGGCCCGTTTGGGGGCCCCCCATCCGGGTAGGAAGCCCCGGAGTTCCTACACTAAAGGGGTTACAGGGGGGGGTTTTCTCGCAAAAAAACTGCTTTCCGCGTGTCCCTTTTAAGCAAAGGGATTGTTTTTTAGCCCATAACCCAACCCGGCCGACCTTTCAGGAACCAATTTGAGCAAAAGGGCAAGGAGCAAAAGCCAATTTTAAAAAAAGGTAATAGGAGGAAAAAATGGTTGGGGAAACCCCCAGGCCCCAAAATTGTTTTCTGGTTGTTGGGCCCCCGGTTTCCTTTTTCCCGCGGAGGGTTTTTTCGTCAAAAAAGCCCCCCCAAATGGTTTTAAGGAAAAGGGCTTTTGGGACCCCAGAACAAGTTTTCGGGGGAAAGGGGGAAAAGGGCCGAGGGAAGGCGGGGCCGGGCAAAAGGGCTCTGGGGGCCTGCCAAAGGGGCGGGGGCCGGGGGGGCCGGCGGGGGGGGATCCGAAAAGGCCCGGGGCAAAGGGGGGGAAAAACCCCCGGGGGAACCCCCCCCCCCCCCCCCCCCCGGCCCGGCCTTTGGGGGGGGGCCGATATACTGGAGTGCGGACGAAGGCACTTGCAGTGTACTGGAGTCGTCATGCAGGTCATGCTGATGTGGCCGGCAGTCGCCAACGTGCCCGCTGCGGAACCAACCTTGGAACCAACCTTGGAACCAACCTTGGAACCAACCTTGGAACCAACCTTGGAACCAACCGGACCGACTGGCGCGTCTTCAGAGTGACTGTCACACGGAACGTGACGCCGCGCGCCAGGGCTCGTGACACGTCACGTGACACGCAACGTGACGGGCAGTGTGACGAAAGCAAAACTCGTTGAGCGTCACTTCTGCGTTGGAGGTGATCATCATCAATCGTGCATTGAGAGGAAACTTAAAGAAAAACACGCAGCTTAAAAATATCTCCGAAATTGAAATCTCTAGCCCCGTGCGTGCGTGTGACGTGACGTCGACGAGCACGGCGCCCTTGTCGGTTGGTTTCGCAGCGGTTCCCGTTGACCGCCTTTCGTCTGAGGTATAAACCGAGCCATGCAACAACAGCGGTGACAGTTCCCGTCGTGCTCGGGCCTCGGAGTCCTGCCCTCGACCCCCCAGCCTCCGGCCTCCGGGCGACTTGGGCCTCTTCGTGACATCGACCTTTTTCTTTTTAAAGGGAAGTGATAATTACCACAAAACTTCCAGGTGCAACATTTATGCTCGTTGATTTGCAGAGATAGGGCCGAAAGCTGCACTCGTTTCTGCCGAGCCGCGTCATCCTGGACACGCCACACGTCGGCGGCCTCGGCGGCCTCGGCGGCCTGGACACGGGCCGGCCGCGCCACGGCGCGCCGCGCCGCGCCAGAGCAAACTCCAATTTTCAGGACAACAAAGTAAGTTAAAAGAGAGGAAACAGGGTCTGGCGCCGCAGTGGGACCGCAGTGGCAGAAAAAGGGGAAAAGGACGAATGCCCTCCCCCACCTCCTCCCCCGTCTCCCCCCCCCCTCCCCCCGCCCCTCCGCGGCCGCCGCATTCAACGGGGCAATGTCGCTCCAACTCTCTGCAGCTCTGCAGCTCCCGGTCCCGTCCCGACTCGTTAGAGCAGCCGAAGATGGTCGGGTTGCAGGACATTTGCTGCGGGGAACTTGGGCGGCGACGACGCGCAGCTTTGGAAGGCAAATCGTAGGACGGGCTGCGGCCGAGGTTCGAACCACCGTCGGCGACGTGCGTCGACACCGACACCTCACGCCTCGCGGCTTCTGGTTGGCGGCGCCGCTGCGGACGCTGCGGGGGACACCGCCGGACCAGCCGGACGGCGGGGCGGGGCGGGGTGGGGTGGGGCGGGGCGGGGTGGGGCGGGGTGGGGGCACCTAATTGCATGCTCATGCATAACCCATGGCGCACTCTGGTGGTACTTAATCGAACTATTAGTCC